TTTAGGATACTGCAAGTAGACAATTCATTTACATGAACAAATGTACCATTAAGTTTGGATACTGCAAGTAAACAAATCGTTTACGTGAACCAAACGTAACTTACCATTGACTTTAGACCCTGTAAATAGACATTCCATTTAAGTGAACCAGGCTTACTATTGACTTTGGATACTGCAAATAACTTAAGCATTTTATTCATGCGAACCAAATATATCATTGACTTTAGATACTGCAAGTATATATCTCATTTTCGAGAAACAGATGTAGCATAAACTTTAGAAAAGTATTGGATTAATATGCCAGCTCCGCTCATTATTGCAAGCAGACAACTACATTTTACACGACCTTCTCACCGCAGTATTTCACCTCCCTTTTTTTAGAACCTTTGGAACAGTTACACGGAACTGTTTGGGATAATGTTCAATACAACTGTGACAAAAAGTATAGAATAGGTTAGGCGAAACCGTTATATTACAAATAGCTCCGTTCCTTTTCAACTTTATTATTTTTCCTGCATAAAAATTTAATTATTATGATATACCTTTTTTCCTCCTCCTCATAATAATAACAAGTCTTTTATAGACATGGACATAACCTGTAAGTTAGTTAACTGGTTTCGTTTATTTAATTATTCTTACATTACATCACGAAAACCGGCTTATTCTTAAAAGACAATGATATAATAGCATATTAAGGAAAACTATTCAAAGAAATTGCACAGTTTTGTTAAATTTGCTAACAATGAGAAAGGTTATAAGGTATAAGGTATTGTTGATGGAGCAGGAGTCACAATGAAAAAGCACATCCAAATTAAAATCAAAAGTTTTACTATTATATTTATAGTTATATTTTGGATACAGTATTGTGAAGTTCATAATTATAATAAATTTAACTTACCTTCTTCTGTTTCAAAATTCAGCTCCCCAACTATTATTTCAATGGCATGGGCTTCTTCCAGATGCTGGATCAAGTTTTCAAACCACGAAAATTGATGAGAGCAATCACCCTCTGGGCCTTTGGGCAAATAAGCCTTTTCGGGTTGTTTGAACAGTCAGATTGTTCACTACAACAACTATCATGCACATTACGTGTATGGCGCGTTAAATTAAATTTACTAGCAAAAGTGTTTGTCACAAAATGAACATTCAAACTTTTTTGTATTAATATCAGACATACTGATCCAGTAACTCTTTAACTTGAAATAACACCATCGATTTGAGATAAAGTTTCCAATCACTTGACAAAATGGAGGTTAAAGACAGAGATCCACGAAAAACAAAATGAACGCCTAAAAAGGAAATGGAATGGAACTCTTTGTTTGTAATGTAACGGTTTTAACAAATCTATTCCAAACAGTTCCGTGTAACTGTTCCAAAAGTTCAAAAAAAGGAAGGTGAAATACTGCGGTGAGAAGGTCGTCATTTTACACCTAGTTCAGGTAGCCTACCTATTTATAGTAGGCCTAGCCTAAACTGGTTTTTTGTACCTTAAACATAAATGTTTTGGAGATAAGCACACCTAACAAATATCCTCAGTAAAACGTTAGGATCTATTATATTTATAGTTTGTAAAAGACTAAGTTTACAGAATAGTATATATTGGGACTTCTAGCTTTTCTGTGGTTTATGAATTTAGTCTAGTGAATATATGGGTGTAATGCTCGCACAGTAAACAGAATGTTTTTAGTTCAATCCTAAACAAAGACATTGTAGCCTTTTGATGCTACCAAAGCTGTCGTTGATCATACCTTACCTTACCTCCAAACCTAAGAAGGTTTTTGGCCTCGCCTACAAGATGCCTCCACTGCTGCCAGTCTGCCGCTAGGTCGAGAGATGCCCCTATTCTGTGTATTTTGTCTTTCCACTGCCGCTTCGGTCTTCCTAGCGGGCAAATACCTCTCTTGGTTGTTCATTGCTGGTCTTCTTCAGTATACTTCCATCTTCCCTCCTTTCTTCATGGCCTGTCCATCAAGTTTTAGCCAGTATTATTATAGAATATAAAGATAACAAATATTAAGTTATTTGAGCTACCAAACACGCTGATCTAGATGACTTATTCCTGTTGAAAACACCAACTTATGACCAAGCCAAATGGGAGAACAATGCATTTTGAATTAAACATGGTTAAGGATAGTTGTATCATATCACCTATTACAGTAAAAAAAAAACCAATGTGGAAAATATCTGGTTGGTTTATTATTACTATTCCTTTTAATAAAAGTACAGGGGACCGAGTCTTGCTCGGTTGTGGTTAATTGTTGTTAAAATAATATCATGATCAGACAGATATTATCATTTAAAAAATAGTTTTATTACAAACCAAAAACAAAATACCCCCGCCGTAGCAATCCTACAGACTAAGTGAACTTCAACTCGTCTGATTACATTTTTACTCAAATATTTCCATAAATAAGACATCTAGGCTATTCCCTATTGAAATAACATTAGATTTTTTAACAAGTGTTTTGTATAAGTGTTTTTTGACCATACGTCAATAGTACTATAGGATGAAAAAAATCAATTTTCCAAATTTTATCAATGTATGTCCATAAACAAGTAAACTACAAGAATTTTCATTTTCTCCATAAGAATAACATGGGAACTTTAAATTACACTATTTTTTAGTTTTCTCCTTGACTGTTAGATATATAACAGCGCTCCAATATACTAAATTATTTATTTTTTTAAGCTCTACAAAAACGGTTTGAAAAGAAATTGCAAAATTTTTTGTTTTAGGGTAAAAAATGGGAAAACCCCCATTTTTACCCCATAAAACCCCCCATAAACTCCTGTTCCCATGGTCCGATTATGTTGGATCGCAAACTCGTTGGAATAAACGTAGGTTTACTCATTTGTACCAAATTTCATCAAAATTGTATCATTTTTGCTTGAGTTATCGCCCTAACGGACACATAAGCCTATATATATGAATTTGAACGGATGGTGTTTTTGGCCTCTAGGGACCTTAAAAGTCAAAATGAAAAATTAAATCCGTCCCGGGTCCAGGCCTTACCATGAGTACTACGGTACTGTAATAGCTTATTCCCTATATGGGAAATTCACTAAAAAAGCTCATAGTTTGTTGACGTTTTGAATTTATAATGAGCAGTAATAATGAAATGCTACGGAATTGTTGTGTTTAAGGCTACTTGTAGGCTACGGGGAGTAGAAGAGGCCACTCCCACGCCTTGTGGTCATTTGGATGTTTCAAGTGACCCCATTTTCTACTAGCCAGATTTCTGGATCAGTTTGTATGTTAACAAACTACCCTCTGGCCACGGACCAGTTCGGACACACTTTGTGTGCATTCATGTCACGTCAAACAGTTCCAAGTTTGTTTGTTTCATGATAAGTTTGATGTTTGTTTTCATGATTTGTTATTTGTCAATGTACAGGTTTTGGAACCACATACAAGGACTGGTTGATAAATAGATTTATAAATTCTCATTTGGTATTTTTAGATATAATTTTTGAACTCCAAAAACATTTTGGTTGCTGCAATCAGTCTTCTATTCCGATTCCTCTTTTGTTATCCCAGTTGACCGAGAGTTCTAGATATTAAAATTCGAGAACTCTTTCCAAATCATATAGTTGTTGACCCTCAAAGGTCCAACTCTCTCAATTTGGGTCCTTCCAACTTCCAAGTAGGTATTCCAACTTCTCTTCACCTATTTTAAGTCCAATCCTATTTGCTTCCTTTATTATAATATCAGTTAGTTATAGCTAGACTAGGTACAGTAGACCCCCTCTTAATCGACCCTTATGGGACCGGACCTAGGTCGGATAACTCAAAAGGTCGGATAAAACGGGCAATCCCTAAAATCATAACATAATGAAGTGCTATTCATTTGGAATTATATAATCATTATTTTGAAATCATACTTGCATTATTTATCAAATAAACTACTCTTATCTCCTGTTTCATATTGATAGAAAAGTCACAAATAAACACAAAGCACGGTTAAGTCAAATAGGCCTACTTTCAGTGGAATATATTATAATACTACGCAAGAGTCAACAAAATTCCTATTTCAATAACTTTAGTACTGTAATGTATTAATTTATGCTTTCCAAATACATCGTAATACAGTACAGAACCTTTTGACGACATTAAAGATACAAGCGACCATTTTGTTACAAGACAGGACGTTTATTTGTAGCCTCTCACTGGAGGCTCAAGCACAAAAACTATCTTGACCTTGGAGTTGTTAACCCCCCTTCCCTACAAGTTGCATTGTTTGTTTACTCCGGCGATAAGATAATCAGTTCTATTATGATGTTATAAGTTTGCCGCACAGATAACAAATCAGATCAGATGTGCTCGAGCTACGAACTATGATGACAAACTGACAACAGGCTATGCTATATCTTTTGTGATCAACACAAAATAACTTATTGTTAGTCATATCCTGTGGAGATAAGCGTATGGTTCAGTTCTCATCGCCCAGCGTGGGAGCGGAAATGCCGAGATTCCTAGAAAGCGGCGGTTAAACCGAGCTGCTCTCAAAGCAAAGTCGGTTAAAACAAACTGTATTATTTTACAATCGTAGGCGGATAATCCGATTATCGGTTAATACGAGGTCGGTTAAGAGGGGGTCTACTGTATGCCCTCTTTTGATTCTACAAGTAATGCAACGTCATCGGCAAAAGCTGTGTGCTTATTTTAGACCAAAGGTTTACTCCAGCTTCTATATTTTTGGTGCTTTTTAAGGTTTCTTCTATTACAATATTGCGATACGGTGAAAGTCCATCTCCTGTATAGGGTTTTTTCTTGTCTTTGATCATTGAGGGTTTAATATGCAATCCGGGCTAGGCTGAGGAACCAGCTGATCTTATTCATTAACAACACTATTGTACCATTATTTTAAACTTATCCTCTATACAACTATACATTAAAGTATTTTGTTTGGTAGATATTTTATAAATGTAACATCTAATCTTGGTTAGAAGAAGTATATATCCTTTCTTATGACATTTTTTGCAGGTGAGGAAGCAGGATATTCTGAAGACCACTCAGAAGAGCCTGAAAAACTTAAGGAAGAGGATATTCACACCATGGTGAGATAATAATCTTTATAAATCATAAATATCTTTTTGTCTTTGACTATACAAATGGATTCATCAAAGATGTAATAATAGATAGACCCAGTTGCAGTTTAAAAGCGGTTTCACTCAATTTTTTACTGGATTTATCAACTATTACTATGCCCTTGACCTCTAGGAACTAGATCTTCTCCTGTCAGGGCCGCATTTTGCTGTTCTGCGCCCCTAGGTCTTATGATTATAGGCCTACATTTTACATAGTTTTCAAAAGTAACTTGGTTGTAATTCCAGACTAGTAGTTAGTGCAAGAGTAACAAGATGGGTTCAATACTTGGAATATCTACAAACAGTTTTCTGTTTCGATCGTTTTCTCTTAGAAGCGTTTTATTTTCTTCTTCCCCAACAAAATGCTTTTGCAGTGGAAAGTTTTAAATCTTGCAGTGTAAAGACTTAAGCAGTATTGAGATTGAGGGATCTGGCTACTAAATGCTAGTCATTTTCAGGATTTTATATCCTAGGGTAGAGAACTTTCTATCTAGATGCTTTTCAATCATTATTACACACAACATATTTAATTGTGTGTGATATTTTCCAATTTCTCTCATCTGCCTCTCTTGTATAAGAAACCCCTCATCTTCTGTAACATTTAGAAAGAATTATCATAAGAAATGTTCTAGGTTGAAAAGATCAAAAAGTATACCACACTGTATGACTTGAGAATGGAAGACTTTGATGCAGATGTTGTGGAAGTAATTAAAACATTCTTGACAACTCCAGAAGATTTATTGACAATCTACTACGATGAGGATACACTTCAAGCGGGTCTGACTTTTCCGGACGTAGAAGTTGATGACATTATGTATTTTTTAAAAGAAGAAGACGAGAATGGAGGTTTGAAACAGCTTACACCAGAAACGTTTTCATCATCTATTATATTTGGAACGATGGACTCCCCAGTAGAGGGGTCGCTTTTGAGGGTCTTGGAAACGGTTTTTTGTCCACTTTTCATCAACACAACATCTTGGCCTGATAGTATCCTTTAATACCCATTATTTATCCTATGATTGATCAAAAATTATTATTTAAAATAGAAAAGATTCCTATTTTAAGAGGCTTGTTGTACACGGAAATTACTTAATGGCTATATAAAACGATTTAACGATTAAATGCCTGATCAAATCGACGTTAGTGAGATAATACTTTTGAGTAAGGTAACAATTAATTACTCTTATATCCCTATTAGCACTGTAAATGAAAATCAGAGCAAAAACTCTGTAGTATTTTTTTACTACTACAGAACTTTTTATATTTGTATGAGAAATGTTCATAATGCAACCCAATAAATATTGTGTTATACAAGCCCACTTTTCTGTTAGACTACTTTCATCGGTTATTGTTCCTAAAATGAAACTATCCTAACCATACAATAATCAGATGTCGAAGTAAAATTACCAATACTTACTTACTTACTGCCAAGCTCTTGGTACCCAAGGAGGTACTTTGCCTCGCCAACACACTGCCTCAAAAATTACCAATGTAACTTGTAATGAAACATCTATTTGCATTAGAAAATATCAAACTCTATTAAATGCTACATTTATCATTAGTAAATAAATCAAATTAAATATTTTATTTGGATTAGTTTGTTAGGGGACTGGAACTGAAATGTAATTTAAGTTCATAGAAAAATGCTGCTATGTGCTAAAGTAATTTTTGAATAAGTAGTGTTTGAAAATTTTTTTTCCTAAACCGCTACCTAGGTGTGAAGAATGACTTCTGTTCAAATCTGAACTCGTTCCTGAGTCACCTGACTGACACGAGGTACAAGATAGCAGGTTTGACGGCTCTCTACATTCCGAAAATCGCCACTCGTATGTCCCTGTCTGTGGCTATAAGAGACAGGCGGTTCATCAAACGTATTGAAGGCAAGTGGTTCAGCCAAATACTGTTAGTGATTAACCATTAGAATTAGAAGATGAAAAACTATCCACAAGGTATGTGTTATAAATAAACATTGAATTAAGTCTTCTAAATACAGGGTGTTTTTAAAAGAATGCCGGGATTTTAAACGGTCGTTGCTCGGGGACTATTCAAGATAATTAAACGATTTAAACGTCAAATTGAAGGGAAAAGAACAAAGTTTTTTTCTCACTCTTTGATACAATTCGGAATGATTTGATAAAGTTAAGATTTTTACCAATCTTATATGAGCGTAGGCCTAAAACTGGCAAAGTAAGGACGATTGGCGGGTTTATCTGATGTCTTAACTGAATCTTTTTAGGCACAAAGACGATCTTTTACAGATAACATCATCAAGTGACCAATTTAGGTTTGTTCAACTGAGGACTTCGTCGGGCAATCGATTTTTTCGGACTTCTGGTGCAGAATTGTCGGATTTCTTCGACTATGTGATCATTTGCTTTTAGCCGGCTAGGTGAATGTCTTTTAAAAACACTACGGTGCCACAAAACTCGTTAAACCAGCTTCAAGTTTCTTTATCATCAAGTAGATTTAAATTTAGTTTAATTTAGCAATGGATATAAACTCTGCGAACCACAGATTACAATCTGTGCCTTCTGTTGCGCCGTAAACATCATACTGGCAACTGGCGTCAAGCATATGAGTCACAATAGCGGCCTATCACCCCGCACCTGTTTTGCGCATGCCAATAACATAACTTCCTCCCTTGCTACACGGGAAACAAAACTTAGTTATTTTAGCTTCAATTTGACATATAAAACATTTAGTTGCCTTGAATAGTACCCAAGCAATGATCATTTAAAATCCCGGCATTCTTTTTAAAACACCCTGTATATCTCATATCTCTAAAAGCAAATGGTGGCTGCCCCCCCTGCTTTTGTTTTTGATGGTAATTTTATTTTGCAAAATAAAATAAATTTAAACTGGTTATTTTGTAGAATGAACAATTTTTCACATGCTCATTTGGGCTGTGCCACTGTCCTGTAATCCAGCTACTGTGGATGTGATACTCCCTGGTGTGAATTAAAATTTGCACTAGTGAGTACTACGACTATCCGCAGTACTATCCTGATAATTAGGTTAATTACAAGGCAAAAATGAGGTTCGGATTGCACTTGAACACTGTAGGTCCCTTTGTTGCCATTGGCTATTTGTACTATTAATTAGCAGCTGTATCTAAGGAACATGTCGGCCTTAGTCAATAAAAAGACTACAAGATCGCACCACTCATCCTACACTCATCTCCATTTATATTTGGCTTAAAATATCTACATTCGGATGATCGCCATTTCAGAAAAAAGTATTAAAATAAAGTATTTAAGTACTGGCAATATTGTGAGGTGAAATTTGTTAGTAATGGTGAATACCAGATAGTTTGTAAAAGTTAGTAGATTATTGGATGGGATGGAATAATGTATATGTATTCTGAGTAATTAATTAGTTAATTTTAATTGGGTTTTGATTCTAGACATCGTCATTGAATGGACCTGCCAAATCCAAGTGGCTCTCAATGATCAAGACCAGTCTCGACCTTACAACATGTTCACACCGATTGATGAATTCGAATTCTGGAAATACCGATGTAAGTTTCAACACAAACATGGGTCATTCCATATGAAATCAACCAATAAAAAATTATTTTCAACCTGACCATCTTAGATTTTGATGAAATTTTGCATACTTGTAGTATTTTGAGTCCTGAATCCAAATATGCTTTTTAAAAAAATCTATCTTTTATAGTTTTTATGATATAAATATTTGAAAATGGTAAAAATTGGCGTTTTTTACCGTGCGCGCAAATCTAAAATGTTGTCTAGGATGAGTTCTATTAATCCTATCAAGTTGTACAATGGCTCATTTTAAAGAGGATTCAAATGGCTTTAATCTGATACCAAACTCAACCTACTTTGGTAAAAATTAATTTTTTTTGAAAATTTCAAAATATGTTTTTGAAAAAAAATTTAAGATAGTGTTTTTTGAAAAATTTGAAAATTACATATATTAAAGAATGTAATCTAGTAAGTACATTATAAAAATTTCAAAATGGGATGATAATGGGATCAGCAGTTATGATAAAAATACTTGACTATGGTTCACTGTTTCCAAGCATTTCGGCGCATACAGCGTGTAAGTACTAACCTAAATGTATCATTAAATAAGAGTCTATTAATTATATGATTAAAATTAAAAATATCTGCCTATATTTGAATTATGTATGTCATATTTTGCTATACCGTATATAAGCTAAATCTAGCAAGTAAACAACATTATTCAAGTTAACAGAATTTCCGTCAACCTTTGAACAAATATGGACCAATGGATTTTGGTTCAGGTTCCTCAGTCTTTTCCAGTTAGTTGTGTTGCAACGATTTACTGTAATCAATCTTTAAGTCTGCCTTTTCACTAGGCTGGAGACTCTAGTCAGCCACTAGATCTGTGCAAAATCACATTGTGAAGCACTTTACGTTTACACTATCAGGTTGCAGCGACCCATCTCGACTGTAGCGACTCGGTCTTGAGACAAGAGGAAAGACTGACAAACATAAGTTAGACCTGTGTACCTGTCAAACAAATTACAACTTCTCAAGACGGGGTCGCTACTGCCGAGGTGGGTCGCTGCGACCTGATAGTGTAAACGTAAAGTGCTTCACAATGTGATTTTGCACAGATCTAGTGGCTGACTAGTGTCTCCAGCCTAGTGAAAAGGCAGACTTAAAGATTGATTACAGTAAATCGTTGCAACACAACTGGAAAATACTGAGGAACCTGAGCCAAAACCTATAGGTCCATGTTTGTCTGTCTTTCCTCTGGTGACAAGAGAGAGAGACAAACAAGCATTGATAATTTTGTCACACAATATACTGTGATCAATCTATTTAAATCCTGTAGTAACCTTATTATTGATACATATATAATATTCCATGGTAGCCTAATTATTTAGTTTTGGGGAAATGTCTGCTCATAAGTACCTATAAATAATGTATTCTCACTTTAACAATTAAAATTTTTTTAGTGAAAACTGATTTGTGGATTTAAATACCACAACCCACATACCACATTTCTGTATAACTTCTATTTTTATATGTCAAAAATTAAAAAAAGTTAAGGAGAATTTTCAAAATGTCCATCCGGTTATTTTTTAACTTTGCAAGGGTATTTTTTAAATATCATAGCAGTCAAATAAAGGAATTGGATTATGACTGCTAATAATAACTAAAGCTCAAAACATCTGTTTTCATTAGAAAAATCATTTAAAAAAATAACACTTAAAACTTAAAACCCAAGTATTTTTTTTTTCATGTCCGGGAAATTTTGCTCCAGAACTAAGGGTCGCGACGCCATAAGTAAGGGTCAGCCAATTGGGTAATTTTTTCTTTCTTTTTTTTTAAAGTTATTACTGCTTACAAAGTAATTAAAGCAGGTATTTTCTTAATCCCAGATAAATGGGCTATTCAATTATGGTTTTAAGTCATAAATCATAAACTTACTGGGTTTGCTGTAGACATGGAAGTTTGGACGACTTTTTTTTACTAAAAAATTTCAGTGAAAAATAAGTATTTTTAATTTTTTGCAGAACCATAGTATGCACTATTAAATATTTTTTTTTAGGTAGAGTATTTATCTGGGAATAGAAAATTATAATAAACATTATCATTTAAAGATAAAATTAATATGAAAAAAAATAAAATATGAAAATTGGAAAGTTTGTTCAAAGTAGCCCCCATGTTCAAAGGTTGACGGAAACTCTGTTAACTTGAATAATGTTGTTAATTTGCTAGATTTAGTTTATATTAGAGCAAAATATGACATACATAGTTCAAATATAGGCAGATATTTTTAATTTTAATCATACAGTTAATAGACTCTTATTAAATGATACATTTACGTTAGTACGTACACGCTGTATGCACCAAAACGCTTGGAAACAGTGAACCATAGTCAAGTATTTTTATCATAACTGCTGATCCCATTATCATCCCATTTTGAAATTTTTATAATGTACTTACTAGATTACATTCTTTAACATATGTAATTTTCAAATTTTTCAAAAAACACTATCTTAAATTTTTTTTCAAAAACATATTTTGAAATTTTCAAAAAAAATTAATTTTTACCAAAGTAGGTTGAGTTTGGTATCAGATTAAAGCCATTTGAATCCTCTTTAAAATGAGCCATTGTACAACTTGATAGGACCAATAGAACTCATCCTAGACAACATTTTAGATTTGCGCGCACGGTAAAAAACGCCAATTTTTACCATTTTCAAATATTTATATCATAAAAACTATAAAAGATAGATTTTTTTAAAAAGCATATTTGGATTCAGGACTCAAAATACTACAAGTAAGCAAAATTTCATCAAAATCCAAGATGGTCAGGTTGAGAGCCTTGTTGATTTGATATGGAATGACCCACATGTTTATCAGCTCCAATGATTTTTTATATTAATTTTTCTGTTTTGAATTTCCTTGCAAGTGATATTATTTATTTTGTTTTCTTTACTTGTACCTGATAGCTGTAGGTAATCTCTGCTATTCGTAATTTCAGCTAGGACTAACAAAGTTAATGGAGAGTGTAATTTGCAAAATATAGTCAACTCTGCTTGAACTTGTTTTATTTGTTTATCAAATCGATATGAAATAGAAGCATCATCGAAGCTATTATTGTTAGCGTATAAATTAGCACTTTACCAGAATGCATTTATTGAGTAGGATAATAATATCCTAAATTGTCGTTTATCATGGTTTGTCTTTGCCAGATGAGAACTTGTGGTGTATCAAAGCCCAAATGGAGAGCGAGGACTTGATCGCAATCACTAACATCTTGAAGGCCAACCAATCTGCTCACATTGAGAGATTCCAACAAGTTGTGAGCAACATCGAGGTAATTGGTCTGAATAGCAGGCCTATTGTATTTATTTTGATAAGCTGTTTTTGTGTCTCTACACAAAGTATTACTTTTCCAAAATGTAAAAATCTGAAGCCTTTATTCTACCCAAATCAACCAAAGTGAGACTATTTAATAATAACTCGTTTAGGTTAACATGAGCATCAGAGAATGGGATTAAAAGGTGGTAATGTGTTTAAAGGTGGTCATTACATAATGTTTTTTTTTTTAATGCTTATCAGAAAGCAGACACTGGGCAATGTTTGAAAAACTCACAGTTTGGGACAGGCTACAGATGAGTGGTCACTATATCTATATCTATAAAGAAGAACTATGTATGTACCTTATGAACTCGGAAACCGCTCGACAGATTGTAATGAAACTTTCAGGCATTATTAAGCATTATTCAAGGATGGTTTATGTGAAGTTAGGAGCAGATCCATCAAAAGGGCTCTGTCCCAGAGGGTTTTAAGGGGTCCAATGTCAGACTTTGGAAACTACAATGTTTACGAATAAATATAATTTAAAAGCAGTTGTTTACTTTCGCCAATTAACTCTTGGTTTTTTAGGTTAGGTTAGGTACAAAAAATAATATAATAACTGTTCCTAAGGAAATGTTGTGCAACATAAAGGCTGAAATAAGCTGTCAAACGTATGTCTTTAACCAGAGTAATATTAGTACTGGCCACATTGATACATACAATCTTTATCATGTAACCCTTGTTATCAAACTATTGAACCCCACTGAAACTCTGCACTAATCAGTTAAAACTTGGCATAAATTAATTAAAATTTGATTACAGCAAGCGTTGACTGAAGCCAAGAGCAACGTGGAATACCTTCAGATTCTTGAAGAGCCGTGTAAGGAGCTCGAGCTGGTCGAAACTCCAACCAAAGCTGTAGAACTAATCCCGAAGATACTCTTTCTGATCAGGGTGGTTCATAACCTTTCTCCCTACTATGGTTCTGAGTAAGTCAAGTAGTAAATAAACTATTTGATATTTGCATATATAATGTATAGGTTCCACACAAAAGTTCTGGGAACAACATCTTATAACATTTAAAATTAAAAAAGTTACTAAAAAGTGTTTATAACTCAAAAGGTAATGCAACAAATCATTACAAACAAGTATCGGTAATGTACTTTTTGTAGTAAATATAATTTCCTCCATCATATTGTCGACAGTCCAAAACGAATAAAAAGAAAGTCTTAAATGAGAACATTGGTCAAGTGGTAATTATAGGTCTCTTAGAGGAGAATGCAATGCCATAAAAATCTGAACGCATAAGGTTTATCCTAGCCTAAATGAAACAAACTAATGACAGAAACGAGTTTTATGGCCCGATTTCTTGATTGTTTAGTTTAGCACTGTAGCTCTACTACTTTTGCACACATTACGTATGTGTATGTGAAACTATTTATTTTTGTGTAAAATTTGGATAGTTTGAACAACAAGAGGTAGTCCTTTAAGCTCCTGTCACACGGAGCTGGTTTTCTCGCCGCTAGTAACTAGCAGCTAGAACCAGCAGAAAACCAGCATCGTGTGACTGATTCTCTAGTTGCTAGAAACACTCGCATGAGCTGGTATCTCCAGCCGCTGGAGGTTTTAAACAGTTTAATATTACAAGCGCTTGAAGAGTCACTAGCAGGTCATGTGACCACCCAGCTGTAGTCTCTAGCACCATTCCAGCTCTGTCTGACAGTATCGTGCTAGTTCTCGCATTAAGAAATTGAAATTAAAATTAATTGAACACATTTAAACTAATCAAGAATAAATTTAAACTTTCAATGAAATCTTTTCACGCATTGTCATAATTTTCTCGTTGTTACTATTGCTACATATCACATATGAATTAAATGAATGTGATTTTTTTTTGTTATGAAAGATACAGTCCTTTTGTTATACGCCTACCACAACTTATTTGATTTTAATTAGTTAATTTCCATGCCCGTAGTAGATACAAAATAATAGTGTTTTTATATTTGCCTATTAATATTTTATTTTTTTGTGGCACTTTTTACTTCTATGATGGCTAATCATTGACAAAACACCACTTGTTTCCACTAATCACTAATACCAACTTTTTTTGTTACCTACGGAGTGTGTTGTTACATCCAATTACAACCCCAGACTTGTAAGTTGTAGCGCTAGTTCTCTAGCTTCGTCTGACAGGACTTCTAGCGCACTGGAGAACTAGCAACTAAAGCTGCTGGTTCTCGCAGCGAGAACTAGCTTCTGGAACCAGCTCCGCGTGACAGGGGCTTTTAGTCCAAATTCAGGAGTTCATGGGAACTTCCTGCCAGTCCCCCAACCCCAACACTCATTAACCTCAGCCAAGAAGTTTTGGGCCACTACCTCTGTATTTTTTCTTAAGTACTAAGTACTTCTCCAATCACCATTAACCCATGCAACTAATCTGTATATAGTTGTATATACAAATAGCTGTTGTATCTTCCTTTGCAACGGGAAGTGTCAGCAGAAGAGAATATCATATTTCTTTACATCTACTGTATTAAAGTGTTTTCTACACCAGAAGAAACTGGAAAACATAATTTTTCAATTTGTTTCTAATTTAAACTACACAAGGTGGGATATAGACACCAAAAGCTAGACAATTTGGGCCCCAAAACAGAGGTTTACTGTAGTCTTCTAATGTGATTCATTATACTTATATTGGCTTAGATAAAATGATAAAATATTCATGATAAGGTAATTTAATGTTTCAAATAAAAACTGTCTTTGTATTGCAGCAAAAAGATGGTGGCACTCTGCATGGGTCTTAGCAATCAGCTGATAGCTCTGTGTACAAAATACGTGGACATGAATGTTGTGTTCAGTGGCCGGTCTCGGGCAGCCATTGCTATGTTCAGGACTTGCATCACAGCTTGTCAGGTCTACAAGATGATTTATCACAGGGTAACCGACTCACAAAGTTTATAATTTGCTTGTTCCAACTATCCACATTTAGTTTTATGGTCAGTTTTTCCTCCATACCATTTATTATCAATATTACTGATAGGTTTACAATATTTCCAGTGGCGGCTCTAGGACCTAGTCTAGAGGGGGGCTCCGGGGGGTTTTGGGGGTGTGGAGCACCCCCCAACAAAAGAGGGGGGTCCGGGAAAAAATTTTAAATTTTTAAAGCCGTTTGGTGACTTTCTGAAGCAATTTTAACGCCTAAAACTGTGTCCAATAATAGTCCAAAAACTCCCATTTCACCTGTTGTTTGTCATGCATGAGCAAATAGACATAAGTAGAGTAAAGTAAAGTATATTTTTTAAATAGTTTTTACCAATTTATTTAATAGATCAGATTTATTATCCTAATAGAACTAGGCCTATATTAAATATGAATAGATATTGCAAAACATAACAATTAATCCTCTATTGTGGTTTCTATTTCATAATTCAACTTTTTAAACCTAGTTTTAATTTGTACTGCTCAATTTCGGAATTTTGGGGGAGGGGTTTGACCCTCTAACCCCCCTCCCTGCCTACGGCCTTGTAAAATGGGACTACACTGTATTGAAAATATAACTAACAATTGATAATTTAATAGTAAAAAATCCACGGCAATAATGAGTAGATAACCAAACGGTAAGGCCTGACATTGATTGAATTGTATAATTTAAACACCCACGGCAATAACGAATAGAAAACCAAACCATGAGGGTAAGGCTTGACTAATTGTATTGTATATTAAAACATCCACGGCAATATGAGTAGAAAACCATACCATGAGGATAAGGCCTAACTTTAATTGTACTGTTTGAATGTGAAATCCATCCTCCTTTCTTTCTGCCCGGCGAAGTGATCTATTACTTTTTCGTTGAAGTTTAAAGTTGACAACAGCTTTTTTTCGATAGAACACATAGCAAGCGCACTTAATCTGTCTTGTTTCATGGTACTCCAGGTAAACGTTTTAATTCGTTTCAAAGTAGAGAAACAACGTTCACTTTCCGAAGTAGTCATAGGTATTGTGCTTATGATTTTTAAAAGTTTGATTGACTCTGGAAGCACATCTTTGAGGTTGTTGTCATAGACAAAGTTGAGTAGTCTTAATGACCCTGTGGCCGTTGAAAAATCATCCCTATTGTAAATAACATTTAACTCCTGTTTCAATTCAGTTTTATTTAGGCTAAATAGTTCCGCAGCAGCGTGTAACTCTTTTTCGGGAAACTTGGTTTTAAACTCCCCAAACAAACTTGGCTGAAACAGTTTTGCCGCGGACAAATGATTTACAAACGTAAAACGGTCATCAATTCCCGACGTAATTATGTCACACACTTCCTTTGCGACGACGCGTTTTTGATCGTCGTGTCTTCTCCGCTTTTTGCTCGATTCGGGTTCACTATCTCTCGGTTGATCTAACATGGTCGAGTTTCTTACGCGATCTACCACAGTTTTGAAATCGCCGACAAACTTAAACGCCTTGACGCAATCAATTGTTGTTTGCTGCAGTTGGTTGTACAGAATGTCACTGTGGGGCAGTATTTGATTGAAAAAGTCCAGCCAGAAAATAAAGTCTTCGTCTTTTAGAATACTTCTTAGGCCAACAGCTTTATTTATTGTGGCATAGTCATTGGTGTCATCGTCGAGTATGTAACTTAAACATTCCTCCAACTCTCTTTGATAATTAAAAATTGTGCTTACAATTCTGGATTTAAAATTCCACCGAGTACCTGAGCTTTTTGGAATACGACGTTTTACTATCTCATCGAGAACTGCAGTTCTCTTTGTTGACTGGGAAAAGAATGATGAAAACCCCTCGATATTACTGAAGAATATCTTAACCTGCTTAATTTGTGTAGCACTGCGTTCAATGATTAAGTTTAATTGATGTGCGTAACAGTGGACAAAATTTGTATTCTTATATTTAGATTTTACACGAGCTTGTACTCCCGTGTGTTGGCCACTCATTACGGAAGCCCCATCGTAGCTCTGGGCAATGACTTTATCAGGAGTTTTGTCGAGGTTTAATTGCTCTAATACTTCAAAAATTGTTTCGCTAACTGATTCTGCATCATGGCTTTTTGGTCTAATAAAAGTGATAAATCGCTCGTGAATCGTGCCATTCAGCTCGTACCTAATAACAAATACTAGTTGGGATAAAGTGGCACAGTCTGTTGTTTCGTCGGCTTCAATAGCAACATAGTCGGTTTGTGTCAATTCGTCACGAATCATTTGCAGACAAACGTAATATATTGAGTCCAATAACTCGTTCTGTATGGTTTTAGACAGACCCAAAAACACTCGGTTATTTGTTTGATTTATGTGCTGTTGCAATGTTACATCCAGCTCCGCCATAAGGTTAACCAAACCACGAAATATGCCAGGATTTTTTGAATTTTCGCGTTCATCATGTCCTCGTAATGCTAATTCAAACGCTCCACAAAATTTAATTGCATCAATTAGCTTACTTAGAATGTATCGATTTTTCGAAACATCTTCATTTTGTTTTTGTATTTTTAACCTATATGCATTGTCCAATTGGCATCTAATATCAACTTTACCTAAAACAGCATATTCTATTGACGCATTTATGTGTTTTTCACTTGTTTTGTGTTTTTTTACTTTTTCCAGTAGATGTTTAAGGTCTGAAATGCCGTCTACAGTCCATGCTCTATCTTGAAACCCCATGACCAAACAAGTGTAGCAGAAAAATGAATTTTTAATAGAACAACCACATAGCCAATCTGCATGATTGTACATATGTGGCGAAAATTTTCGTGTGAAGCTATTCTTATTCTTTGAACTGTTTTGAATTTGGTTTATGTTCATGAAAGGTCTAGGAGGTCCTAATTTTTTCAAAGAAATTCTGTGGTCAATATTTTTGATCCCTTCATTGATAATCAGGCTAACTTCGTTAGTGACGTTAGCCGTCGACGACAACGAAATGCCGCCGTCCATTATTATTTAGATTTAGGCCTTCAACCCACGGCAAATTTACCCGTAATAACTTATTAAGACTAATAATAAGTATCTATAACTAAAATTGTCCGAGTCACTTTACCTATGGTTAGTTTACTTAGTTTTCGGGTTGATTAGGTTAGCCTATACTAAAACTACAGACGTAACTTATTGACTCAAAGATACCAACTAACTAACTCAATCAATTAAGTATAACTATTAATAATTTCTACTTAGCTCTTTCAATCTTCAACAAACTACCGCTGCCTTACGCCTCCATCACTATCACTAAACACTATTGATCACAAAACAACAGGTCGTTTGGCACTAAACTATAACTGAACTGTGGTCATGGACATGGAAAGAAGTGAGGTTAGTTAATGTTTATGGTAGTGACAGTGTGGATGATGGCTCCAGCGCTGCCAACATGGTTCTTCCTATCCTAATCGTGTGTGATGCAGAATTATCCAGTTTAGGGTGGCTGCCCTGATTTATGGATGCGCGCGCAGCTTTGGACTCTGCCCCAGAGTCCCTATTGTAAAGCATTGGAATGACGTCACGGCACCCTCAGCGCTGTTAGGTGTTTCTACCATAAGACTACATGCATTGAGTTTGGGACGGAGGTTGCCGCCGTCCGCAATCCACATTATGAAAGCGACTATCGCAAAACAGTCATTACTGGATTCAAAATTTAAAACTATTTCATTTCATATTATTATCATATTGATTAAGTAGTCGTAAGTAATTGTAATTTAATTTTAATTACGACATATTATTTTTTTATTACATAAATAAAAAAAATATTGATTTCTGTATTGTTGGGAGGGCGGCGTCCGAGAGTCCTTATGGGCTAGCCGCTACTGAATATTTCCCAATTCTAATGGCAGCTCTTGTCACATCTAGGAATTTAAATGTTGTTCTAGCTATTCCAAACCATATTTAGTCCCAAACCAATATAATTATTGAATTGCCACTGTAGTTTGCTATTCACAGTATCCAAAAACCACATAACTTAAGAAAAAAATTAAATAATTAAATGCGCTAATAATCTTTTGAGTTACTAATGCTGATGAAGACTGATTGTTCTGATGTCCGTTAATGTACATTAATTTGTTCAGATATAACTAAAACTACAGTGGAAATGTATGTTTATTTTAGCTGTATACTTTAAAAGAAATGTTAACGAAAATGCAAGTTTTCTGCCAAGACCTAAGATGTTCTAGTGTTACCAACACACTGTAGCTAAAAACCTGAATTTTGTATGGTTTTTAGCTACTAGTCAAGTACGATAAGAAGTTTAAACATGTACAAAAAAGGATTACTTAAACTACTTGTGAGTTCTGCTTTTCACTTATCATGGTTTTATGTTTTGATTTTCTACTTTTAGGCGAGCACTTGTATGGAGAACACCGGAGGTTCAAAAACCAGTGAACAGATAAAAGATAATCCACAAGTTTTCAACAAAGTGGATACTTTTGTGCAGAGGTGTCAAGACATGGTTGAGGTGTGTGAAGCTATGGCAGTGTTTGGAAGGTAAAGCACATCTACAGCTACATGCCTTTCACTGAAAAAATTCAATCTTAATCTTTCATGTTTTCCCCCAATGGGGAACAAGCTCATTGGTGGCATCTTAACACCTTTGTTTCCCCTTTGAAGACGATTATTCCCATGATTGAAGTTTTTCTATTCTGATAGTTTTTCTTGTATAAAATTTTTATTTCAATCAAAACATTTCCTTACTTCCTGAATATTTCTAATTGGGCCTATATGTATCAATCAAACAATTTTCTAATTATTTGTACAGTATTTAGGAACACTTGCTTCATTTTTACGATTATGGATTTTCAAGTGATTATTTTTTTAAATATTAAATATTATTTTTCTTTAATAAAATCACATTTTGTACTTCTTGTTTATCAGCGCCCAAACCAAATAGCTCTAATGAAAAACTAATTTCAGGATGGATGAAACCATTGAGATTCCCAAACCATCGTTTGCTTTGACTCGAGGTGCTGAGTTTGAAGCAGTTTGCGACGCTATTGAATCAAAGTTCAAATCCAGTTTGCAGAAAATAGAGAATGACCAAGACTCTATTTTTGACGTAAACTCGTCAAATTGGTATGAGAGTATCTTGCAGTAAGTACTATTGTGTTTTATTAAACTTAAAATACTGATAGTGTCTGCTGGTGATTATTCACCTTAATAGCCTTTAATATTGTTGTTGAAACTGGGTCAATAAGTAATTGATTATTCAAATTTTTGAATCAGTAAACATTGAATACTATCTAAAAATAGGTGCTTTTTTACCTTTGTCAACAGCCCAAACTTTAAATAGAATAATAATCTAAAAAACATATTATTTTTAAGATTCCGAAGAGAAATGAAAGAGTTGGAAGTGATGGTAGAAAATCTCCTGGCAGAAGTGTTTGAGACTATTACCAGCGTTACAGAAGGTATTGACGTGCTGCAGAATATGTATCAGTACTCAAAACGCAAAGATCTTGCCACCGAGTTTGAAAAGAGAACGATCAAGGTACTGCAGTACTATCAGTTATTTGAATTTTGAAAATTACTTTGCCAAACTTTATCTCAAGAGTTGATTAGTTTCATAGACAGTTTTAAAATGTAAATCACTTTTAAAACACAACAATGATTGGACAAATATTCTGTGACACTTTTGTTTTATGTTAATGAGTGTGTATTACGGGTTTGAATAATAAATATTTTTACAAAAAAAAGTTGTTTACGACTGCCTTAATCACCATTGTACAAGTTTTTGGAAATGTAAACAAAAAGACATCTAAAAACACTTCAAAGCATAGAATATAACTACACTGATACTGTTCAATTCAAGACGGTAGACATATTCATAAGATAGGTACTAGTAAGTGGTGATCGATTTTGATTGGATACTCCATCATCAGACCCAACTAGGAGAAAGTTGCTTGGCCTGAGACATCATTGGTTGGTATTTAGTACCATATGTTTGTGACGGTGGTAGGTGTTCAAGCTGTTTGCCACCGAGATACAAGAAACGCGCAAGGAACTGGTGGAAGATAAGCGTCAACATCCAATGGGCCTGCCGAGGTACGCTGGCCGAGCACTCACGGCCGTCCTCAAGAAGAAACGACTCAAGTCCATCATGAGAGTGAGTTGGAGCCAGACTGTCAAATTATTTTGGTGTTATTTAAATCGTACATTTTAGAGGTGTGCGGATAGTGAAATTTCATTTCGGATCGGATTCGGATCGGATAGTTGAGGCTCGGTTCGGATCGGATCGGATATTGGGAGGTTCGGATTCGGATATTTTCGCATTCGGATAGTTCGGCGCGGTTAATAATAAGCTGCATATGTATTTTTAACCTACAAAACAATGTAAAGCTGTGTAAATAAACTTAAATGACGATTTTGAACTATAGAATTTCAAATTAGCCAAGTCCACAGTTTTCTCTCTCTTGAAAATCACAATTCACAACATTTATTTTCAAAAGTTGGTTGCTTGAATTAAGTACACTAGCAGCCGAAATCTTCACAAACACCTTAGCTCAGCAGGACTGGTGTCAAACGTTTGGGCTTGTTTACTTGAGGTTATGATTTATCTTGTTTCCTGGTTCTCACAAGCCAAGGAGTTCGATCTCAAGTTTATTTTCACATTGTATTTCCTTACGTTTTTGGAACGGATTATTGGGCTTAAGTGGCATTTTGTGGGTTTTGCCAAGTGTAGAATCACTAATGCACTAAATTGGCTCTAGCTCACGATTTGATGTTGGGCAATTAGACTTTATAACTGTGTAAAAGGTGTGTATCCCTGAATTTATAAATTGCATTCTACACATATTCACTGCCAAACATAATTCAGTAGAACCTTGATGAACCGAGAATTACACTAGCCTAGACATAACTTCATTACCCCAAGTAAAATACCAAGATAATCTTTATAATTGTATTTGAATCGTATAATCTTAGTTTGTTAAAAATGGATTGTATGTTCAACAATAATTGCAGTCCATTATTGTTAAGCAGTATGGTCCCGATTTTGAAACATCACAGTTCATTTGACAAAATTATAATTGAATCAGCCCAATGTCAAGTCACGCGCGCTTGTGCAATAGTTTGTTTACAAGCTTTCTCCAGACCACGGGGGAGGGGAGGGGAGGGTCTGATAAGCCGTCTATTGTTCACCCCCAAGAAGGTCCGACCCTCATTAGTGCCGCTCGGCTGCACTCAAGTGTTTTACCCCCTGCTGTGCGCTATGTCATAAAAGCTGATAACGACGTTGAATGCGTGATAAGGGAAACCCAAGAAATAGAAGAACAAAGAGAAAGAATAATGACGTTGTTATCTTTATTCCCTTTTTACAATTTCCGTTATTTTTTGTTATCTTTATGTAAGATTTTATGATTTTGTTTTATAGGTTTATAAAATAATTCTTTTTAACTACGGGAATATAAATTTATAATTTATCAACGTGCTTCTCTTCTGAAACAGCAATGCCGGATGCATAATAAAGGTCAATGACCTAAAATATCACGATTGTGCAATATTGTATTTTGATGTTGAAATTAAAATCACGACAAAAGTTTGTATATATCCATGGTCCCTATCGTTTAATAATTTAATATGTACACAATAAATGCTAAATAATCGTGGTTAGTTCTAACTTTATTTTTTATTATTCAAAGTTTCTACACAGTAAGACAATCCAAAGTCAAACCGGGCAATGAATGCCCAAAAAACAACGTATCTTGTCCTGTGATTGGAATACCACTCGCCGGCCAGTCCTTTCGGTTTAGGGAAGTAGTGCAAGTCTATATATAGCTTCAAGGTCTTACCCACCCCTTCCCCCTCCGGTCCTACTTGACTCACTACCCGCGCTCCTTTCGAGGTTATTGCCCAACCCCTCCCACCCTTCTATTGTGTTGCCTTTCTATTGTTTCTATTCTGACTTTTTTTCGGGAAACATTTAATCTATTGTTTACGTAACATCACAGTAGTAGGCTAGATTTTTCTACTTTGAAACAGTACCGGTACTGTAAAAAAACTATTACGCAGCGCCCCTAGTATCAGGAGCAAGACAAGTACGAGTTGACTTTCATTTGACCATGGTAGTTCTTTTCTGCTTTATGTCTGTTCGTTCCAGACGAATCTAATCGTAAAGCAAAACAGCCGATAACGACTAAACTAGTTATCAGTATTGCATCATACGGCTTCTTTGCCGTTTGCTGTTAGGTCGTTGGAAACGTATTGCTGTAATTTTGTCCTGGGAAACTAATGGTGGTTATGGAGGTTTTCTGTCCAAAACGTCAAAATATATTGTCTATCCGAAAAAGTCGGATATATAACGGATAGTGTCGGATATCGAATTTGGGCTCGGTTCGGATACGGATATCCGAACCGAACCGAATCCGACCCGATTTTTCGGATATCCGCACACCTCTAGTACATTTGTAAGTTTTTGGTAAGGGGAGGTTCCAAATCCTGGTCTGGTTACTGTCTAACCCCATTGACAGCCAGATGACAAATAGCATGTTGGTCTGGTAACAATCTAGCTTAGGATCAAACCAGTGATCAACTAGACAATTTATAGTAGTAGAAGTTACAATAGAGAGAATCACCACTTTTAGAATGTGTTAAGTCTCAATATTAAAGATAAATAAACGTACCTTACCTCATTGTGAAAAATTTCCTCCTGTAGGAAAGAAAAGAAGCTATTGTTGTAGGTGGCACGGTAAACACCTAGACCAAGGACCAGTTTACTTTTTTGTTTTGATGGCTTCGGAGGACAAAAACAGTATTCATTCAAATTAGTATATATGTTTTTCAGACGGTCAATGAAGCACAGTGGCTCAAATATTGCCAGATCGAGGAAGATGTAAGGAACCAATATAAGAAACTGATGGCTTCTCTAAAGGAAACTGTCCTCTCCCACCACAGGTATCCTACAACCTTTGACACACACTTAGTAATGAATTCCATCTCCATACAGTAGACCCGGGACCGGACCTAGGTCGGATAACTCAAAAGATCGGTTAAAACGGGCAATCCCTAACATAACAAAATTAATTGCTTGTAATTGATTATATAATCACATCATTATTTTGAAGTAGTACTTGTATTGTTTTTTTTGTAAAATTTTTTCGTATTGATAGAAAAATCACAAATGAGCACGAATCACTGTTAAGTCAAATTCTTTAAGTGGAATAAATTATAGTTGTAGGCAGGAGTCAATAAAAATTCTTATTTTAATAACTTTATTACCGTAATATTAATTGATGCTTTCCAAATCTATCGTAATACAGTACAGAACTTTTCGTCGAAATTAAAGATATTATCAACCATTTTGTTACGAGACAGGATGTTTATTTATAGCCTCTCACTGGAGGCTCGAGTCACAAAAACTATCTTCACCTTGGAGTCATCGTCAACCCCCCTCCCCTGCCCTCCCTACAAGTTGCATTGTTTTTACTCTAGCGAAAAGATAATTCTAGATTATATTACAAAAATAGCTGCTGTTTCAGAAACATGCAAAATAACTTATTCTTAGTCACATCTTGTGGGAAAGGCGTATGGTTCCCATCCCCAAACATGGGAGTAGAAATGCCGAGATTCCTAGAAAGCAGCGGTTAAACTGAACTGTGTCAAAGCAAGGTCGGTTAAAACAAACCATAATATTTTAGGATCGAGGGTGGATAATCCGATTATTGGTTGAGGGGTCTCCTGTATTATTATTTAAAATAATTAACAATCAATCTCTTTAGCTTTTGTGAAGATGTATTTTTGTGTTTAGTTTTCAGAAGAATTCAGAAATGAGCATATCAATTCTTACCTATTCACCTAATATGTCAGACATTTGTATTTCGTGTTTTGGATAAAAATTGTAAAATTTTGCTGACAATTTCCTTGTTAATTTACTAATCAGACAAATTGAGCTTGTATAGAGTAAGTGTTCGATACCTATGTATGTGTTGGTTGCAGACGCTGGATGAGTTTCACTTCTCCCAACATATCTCGCAGATTCATGAGATCGCTTCTCACCTGGTCCACCAAACGTCCAGGACTGCTGGAAGTCAATATTGACAGGTTTGTTTAATTTTAATCAGAGTAAACATATTTTTTATATAAAAAATGTTAAAAATGTCAATATTTTATTTGAGCTGACAAACAATTTAGTTGTAAACCCTATGGCCTTCGTAATAGTGTTTGACATAATTTTCCATTGGTTTTTGGATAAATTTAGGCCTGGTCTTAATTAACTTAATCTTAGTTAACATGTAACTTATGTTACTGAAACCCTTGCAATCAATATACCGGGTGTCCAGCCTAAAGTTTTCCAATAGCTAACTTTTTAATTTTAAATCTGACAAACAACTTCTTATGGGGGACTTCCCTTTATTTTTTATTCTGCATTTTGGGGTGATTTCGAAATTTTTCTAAATGGCCGCCATTTTCCAATATGGCGGACAACTTTGTTTTTTCTTATGGAACACAAACCTGTACCTGTATTTTATGGTGTTTTTGGATACTACAGGTTATTTTAAGACATTTTTGTTCTTAGGTATTTTTTCATAAAACCAATGGTTAAGGAGATATGAACGGTTAAAGTTTATTTTCCGCCATAAGAAATGCCTTAAGTTTTCCAAGAAGAGTTTGCTATATATATATATATATATATATACAAACTCTTCCCATTAATGTATAATAAAATGTGATGAGTAATTTTTTTATTTCAAGCGATTTTAGTGACATGCTACAAAATGGGTCGCAATTACCTAGTTAGCAACGGGACAAGAGTTGCTACTATGACGCATTTAACTTTAAGAATTTTACCATTAAAATTATTTAATTGTTTCCAGGAAACTACTGAAGACTCTTGAGGAAGCCAAGTTGTGGATTCAAATGGAATTTCGTGTTCCTGCTCATGTAGACATGGTTTTGGAGAAACACAACGAACTTCTGCTGCTCTACAGGAGTGTGGAGGCTGTGATGATGGACTACAATAGGATCATATCTGGTGAGAGCTAAAAGTCATTAACCATCCCCCCCCCCACCAACATATTCAAAATCAAAACAAAATCAAAATCTGGACCTTTTCCGTTAATTCACTACCACTAGTGGAATGTGGTTAGGTAAGTTGTTTTTTCTAACTCTATACTCAAGTTTAATGATCACTTTTGCTACATTAATTTTCTTGTGTATGAAAGTAAATTTCTCTTCCCTCCAATTTGCTCTCAAGTAAATATTACAGAGGTATCCTTTGGGTGGTCATAGGAAGTTGCATTTTATAATTTTTGGAAATGTTGAGTGTTCCCAAAAAAAGGAGGATTCTGGGGCCAACTTAAAAATGTTAAATGCAAATCCCCTTCAAGTGACACCTCATTTTGAAGTGCTTACAAAAACTTAACAAATGGTGAAAACCAGAATTTCCAATCGTTTCTCTAACCAAAATGGTAGCTAATTTCACCATTACATTGATATTTCTTATCTTTTTAATGTGTAACTTTCATTACATTTGACGGGCTACAACTTTGGATAGAGAAGAGATAGCAAACTCTAGTTTTCACCATTCTAAATGTTTGTAAATGCTTCAAAATGAGGTGTCACGTGAAGAGGGTTTACTTTTAAACATTTTGAGTTTCCTCGAAAATACACTTAAAATTATCAAAAATCATAAAATGAAACTTCCTGCTAAGTTTCCACGACTAGCAAAAGGATATCTCTGTATATTTACTTTGGTGGGGGGGGGGGGGATCTTGACTTTTTATTCACCTTGTATATTACATCAGCCAACATTTATGTAACATGTGGTTATTTCAATTTTCCCTCTTGACTGTTTATATAAATTAAATACAGATATCTAAACCACTTTAAGTATTAAAACTTCCTATTTAATCCAAGCTCAAAAGTTATTTTAACAAATTTCACTTACAAAATTGTATGTTTTTCATAAAGTGTCTTTTTAATATGATTCCAAACTGTCTCAGCGCTGTCAGACCAAGAGAGAATGCTGTTCCGGGAGCTGATCAAAGAGTGCAATCGCAAGATAATCCCCGGCATCACCAAGCTCACCTGGAACACTGACATGGCCGATGTTTACGTTTCCGAGTGCTGTGTCCACCTCGAGTTTCTACAGAAGTTTGTGGACGACTACAAAAGCTGCAACGTAGAAGTGGTCAAGCTGTGTGAGAAGATCTGTGATACTCCTCTCATCAACATCCCACTCCACGACCCGTTCATGCTGAAGGAACTGGTGCGTGTCATGGCCGACTATAGACATTCGGCTACCAGGCAGCTGGTCGATTATTACAACGAGATTTTCAAGTACTTAGTTGTCGTTTACGAGGGGTTTGAGTCTTACATGGGGTCAATGAAGACACACTGGCTGCTGTATGTGGAGAAGATGGACACACTGGTCGAAGAGGCGTTCCGTTTGTGTGTGAAACACTCGTTAAAGAGGTTGCTGGAACATCTGATGGGAGACGGGTCTACTGGGCCGACGCCTTTGGTGGTGGTGTCCACGTTCCTCAAGAATAATAAGGTAAATAAACATTAGCGTTGTTCAAGCCCAAGCCATACAGATTGTTTGTGTCTGTTAGGTTAGTTCACATTGGTAGATTAAACCTTGCCAAGTGTGCTTGATAGGCCTATGATTGGTCAGCAATTATGTTTGAGAGTCATCATGTTCTTATGTATATTATTCTGTGCATAACACAATATGCTTGCTATGTAATGTACCAGTGTAATATTGTTGTGTACTAGTGCAAGTCACTTGATAGTTTGGAAACAATTAGTTCTACTCCTCATAATTCTTTGCAAATATTAACTTACCGGCTCAGTATACAATTTTTTTAATAAATGTTTACTTAGGCTAAAATATGAATATAATGTCAGAACTTTATACCTTGGTTATATATATTTTTTTACTTTTACTCGGAAACCCAAAGAGATCTTTTTTAGCATCTCATCTACTAGCTAACAGACTGATGTTTCAAATGCCAATAGGTATTTAAGTCCATTTGATCCTGCTACATAAAGCTATTCAAATAGACTATATTGCTACCTATATGTCAAGGGTTTCATTGTACATCATAATCTGCATCAACAAAAAATATCTGAAGGTAAAGACTGTATAATAGACTTAGTCGTTTTAATTTTTGCTATAAGGGTTCAACAGTCTCATGTCTTTTATCCTAACAATTAAAAAGTATAAATGCTATTAATAAGTTGTATAAGCTTGCTTGTGTTTGTCCTCAGATTGTATTCAGCCCCACATTGGAGCAGATCTTTGCCATGAGCAAGAACATCTTGCCTGAACTGATGGTGTGTTTGAAGCCTTTCCCCAGACTGATTGACAAGTTCCATCTACACCAGCGTAACAAGAAGATCCCCTATGCTGTGGTCATTGACACTGACTATGAGTGTCGCAAACTGCAATCAGACATTGAAAAAGGTATGTAGTATTTTTAAAACATATTCCAAAAGAAATATTGAACATAGAAAATCAAAACAAGTTCAAAAGTGAACTAAAAGTTTTTTGATCAGAAATGCATTTTACTCTCTCGAAGGGTTGTACGATTTAACTGATGTGAATGCTGATGTATGTAGATAACTGTCAATTGCATAACTTAACAATTCAATGCAATTTACTGAGTTAGATTAAGGAACTATGACCCTATTTATTGCATTGCTGTACTTGAAACAAATAAAGAAGTTTTGAATAGTTAAAAACAATTTTTTTGCAATCATAATTTTGTTGTAAACTGATATATTGCAATAATTAAAATATGGGGTATTTCCTTCATTTAGCTCATGCTTTGCTTTGCTGCATTTCCAAGAGGATCAGAAGCAAGCTCTTGCAGCCAGGAAAAACTGAATAGGTTGAGATTGCTAAGCTCTTTTGTTAAATAGATGAGAGTTATGAAACATAGGCGGTTTTTGTAGTTCAAGGTTCTTTTAAGAACAGTCAAAATAGTTATTTGGTTGTTTCCCAATCAAGTTGATCTTCATAAAATGCTTTATCAAACCCAATTTGTATTTTTGTACATCAAAGTTAAATTAATCCATATGTGGCAAACGTGGTTTGATATTCTTATTATTCTGAAAATTAACAAAATGTCTAGAATCAAGAATCAAGATCTTTATTGTCATTGACCTTTTACAAGGAATAGACATAGTCAACAATAGAAATAAAAACTAAAGCTATAAAATACAGTGGGTTCTAAATTAAAAATTAATATTAACATCAGAAACTAAGTACTCTGTTATACAGTAATATGGATTTTGGATGAGCCACTCAAACATTTTAGACTTAAACCTATTAAACGGAACCTGTTTTGCTGCCAGACCTAATTTGTTAAAAAACCGTATGCAATTTATTTTATGGCAGTTATCTGTTTTGGCCAATCTATGGGCAGGGATATCTAGATTGGATTTGCCTCTTGTATTGTAAGAGTGTATACTCTCTCTACAAGTGAATTGATGAAGATTGGCTTTAGTGTAGAGGAGTATGTGAAAAATATACAAATTTACAACGGTCATAATTTTAAGGTCTATAAAAAGAAGTCGACAGCTATCCACAGGGCCAGCCCCACAGATTGTTCGTATGACTTTTTTTTGTAGTAAAAGAATTTCATGGGTGTGGGGGGAGTGTCCCCATAGTATAATCCCGTAAGAAATATGAGATTGAAAAAAACCAAAATAAGTAATCCGAAGGTATTCATTACTAACAAAATCTCTGAGTTTCCAAATTAGATCATTTACTCTGGAAATTTTTTTACAAGTGATTTCTATGTGCTCTTGCCAATTTAATTTTGAATCAATTTGAAATCCTAATAATTTTACAGATTTTAATTCATTGTCAAGTGGGGATAGACTCAAAAGACTTTTCTGTGTTTTTTCTTGATTACACGTCAATTTATTTGAAGAAAACCAATTTAGTGCTGATGTTATTGATTCATTAGTAATTAAATCAAGCTCATGGATATCTCTATTTGTTGCAATCAAAGTTGTGTCATCAGCATATACAACAGTGTCTACATCAACATTCCTCGGCAGGTCATTTATCGAGATTAAAAACAAGAAGGGTCCCAAAACCGAGCCCTGTGGAACACCTACTTCAACCAATCTTAAGCTAGACTGACTGCCTCCAACAGATACATACTGCTTTCTATTAGTTAAATAGGATTTTAAAATTTTTAAAGTTTCACCTTTAATACCATAAAATTCAAGTTTTTTGAATAAAATATCAAAAGGTACAGAGTCAAAAGCTTTTGTAAGATCAAATAAAGTTAATGAAACAGTTTCTTTATTTTCAAATGCATTTAAAGATTTATTAATTACTTCTAAGGCAGCTGCAGTTGTTGATTTACCCTCTCGAAATCCAAACTGTGAATTTGTCAATAAATTGTTATTTTCAAAATATTCATTCATTTGTTTATGCATGAGACACTCAAAAATTTTGGAAAAGATCGGCACTATTGAAATAGGGCGATAATTACTAGGAAGATTTTTATCACCTTTTTTATATACTGGAATAATTTTAGAAATTTTGAGAAGGTCATAGAAATAACCAATTTTCAAACATTTACTAATACAAAAAGCCAGAGGCTCACTTATAAAATGAATTATTTGTTTGATGTCTAAAACTTATTGCACATTGATATTGATATTTAAAACTTTGACAAATGTATGAGTTTCACACCATAAAGTAGAAGGATACCTGGTTACTAATTTAAATGTAACACCTTTTGTATTTATGTGTAGAGGTAGAGGTTGCCATGAGTGAATTGAGACAATATCTGAAGCAGTGGGATCCTCTGAGAGAAATATGGGAGACTGATAGAGACATGTTCATGGCTAGATACGAGAAAGCCAAACCTAGCCCTGAGGCCTTCAACAACGACATTGGCAAGTGAGTATCCAACAAACTTGGCCACCCAATCTGTTTGCACATACAGGGTGATTAATATAAGTGTGCCAGCCGTTTTATTCAAAAACTATAAGAGATATCAAAAAAAGTTAAATGGTAAGTGCCTTGGATTTTTTATTTAAAAAATTGTAGTCAAGTCAAAAAAATTATTTTAGCCGCCATTTTTCCAATATGGGCGCCAACTTTGATTTTTCTTATGGAACACCCTGTATTTTATGATGTATTCTGGTAAAAAATGTAATTTTAAGACGATTTTATTATTGTAATTTTTTTCATAAACCTAACCGTTTCAAAGATAATAATGGTTAAAGTTTTTTTTTTTTTTTTTTTTCAAGATTCAAGATCTTTATTTGTCATTAAGCAATACAAGTATTACAATAGACATCGTCAAAGTTTTTTTCTTTTTTTTTTCTAATAATACATACAGTTAATTTCCTGTTAGAGTAGGCCTAACAGCAAGAATGCACCAAGTGAGTAGCAATCACTCTTTAAAAAATAACAGTTAAACATAATTAATTCTAAAATAAATAAATTAACAATTTACATGTCAATGATCAAAAATAAAATCTGTAAATATAATAACAATAAAATCTTTAAAATTTCGTTAAAAAAAATTCGTAAAAATTCGTTTTGAAATTTCTGCATGAGAAAGAGTTTTGATAAAGGCCTTAGCAAGCATGCCAGCTGTTTTATTCCAAAACCATTCAAAATTTCACAACTTAAACCATTATTATCTTTGAAACGGTTAGGTTTATGAAAAAAATTACAAGAATAAAATCGTCTTAAAATTACATTTTCTACCAGAATACATCATGAAATACAGGGTGTTCCATAAGAAAAATCAAAGTTGGCGGCCATATTGGAAAAATGGCAGCTAAAATAATTTTTTTGATTTGACTATAATTTTTTAAATAAAAAATCCAAGGCACTTACCATTTAACGTTTTTTTATATCTCTTATGGTTTTCGAATAAAACGGCTGGCACACTTATATCAATCACCCTGTAGATGGGTCCATAGATCCTCATACTATGTGATAATCTACATACTGAGGACCTGTGACAGAGTTAGTTTCAGGTTGAAGCCTCTACGTGGTAGCTGTTACAGAATCTATTCTTAGTTAATTTTCCTGTTCATGTGAATTGTGTAAGTGGTTATTGTGCTTGCCTAGTATTCAAAAGGTCGCCAGTTCAATCATGAGCGAAGTTTGTTGCTTTTTGATGGTTTGATTGGTTTGTAGATAAATTAAGTCTGTTGAAAGCAGTTAAAGTTACAATTTTTACTTGTGGAAACCAATAGCCATGATAGTGTATTTACATACAGCTGCCTGGTCCACAAAGTGCTCACGCTGGGAGAGCCTCATTACCTCAGCGAGAGGCTGAAGTACAGGAGGGAGATCTGTCTGCGTAGTACTCGCTCCGACCGCAGGCTTCACTTTCCTAAAGTGAGGCTTGAGGCTGGAAGAAAGTCTTATTCTTATTTCGGCCCGCAGTTGTACAATGGCCTCCCTCAAGAGATCAAGTGTTCGAAATCGTACAACACATTCAGGGCCGCAATGAAAAAAACAAATGTAAAATGTATATTGTAATTATTCTGTTGTAATTTGTTTGTATATACTTATGTAAATATATTAGGATAGTTTAGATTTAGTGACTTGAGTTAGTTTGAAAACCATGTATTATGAAACTCGCTCGTAAATAAAGGCCTTTTTATTTATTTATTTACATAGCTTAGATCCATAATTTCAAAAAGTTAAAAACTTAGAGCTCGGTGATAACGATTTAGCCTTTTTCTTACAAATTGTAAGCAAAACGATAGGAACTTGCAAAATCTCCACCCTTCTTTATTTGAAAATCTTCATTTATAAACACATCCCATTATTTCAGGTATGAGGAATTTTCAGTAAAGATAAGCCAGATGGATACGGAGACAAACGCTCGCTTCTTTGTAATCAACTCGCAGTTTCTGAAGGACGACGTGACGGGACATTGCGACCAATGGCAGACAAGGCTGTGTGAACTGCTGTTCAACATCGTGTGTGACCAGATAGAGACCTTCTACAAGTACACAATTGAGAACAGCAAAGAGTAAGTCAAGTCATACAAAGATGATGCATTGGACACTGGAGTTTTTGAATCTGAATATAAATCTATCTATAAACCTAAATAATATGACGTAAAAGGTGAACAGTGTGCAAATTATTCTAGTTGGAATAATAAATAGGTATAAGAATGTGTATCTTATACTCTACATTCTCCCCATCCCAGTTTCAAGAACTTGTATTATATTATAATATATTACCTTTGTTTTTGCTGCCTGTGTTCTTGAGTAGGTAAGATGTTGGTGTCACCGTATGCATTTTACCAGGTTGTGTGGCATCTTCAGGGATCTTCTTATCACTAATACCGTAGTCTATATTTACAAAAATATGTACACACGCACAGTCACTAGTATCGCAGAAACGTCCGATTGATCTCGATCATTTATGTAGATTTACATGTTTGTAAAAATTTTCATAAAAATCTTTAATTTATACTTAAGTTATCGTGCTTACAGTTCTACATGAATTTCAACGGATAGTGTTTTTGGGCTCTTGGGACATCAAAACAAAAAAAGTAAATCACTTCAGGGTTGGAACCATGCCACCTATGTTGAAATGTATACCTACAACGTCGCTGTTGGTTTGTTCGCAGGGTGATGATTCCTCCCAAGACGTTGCATGAGATGGTGGAGTACACAGCTCGTCACAGACAGATGAAGGCAGAAGTGCCTGACAAGGAGGCAGAGTTCCCTCAACTGAAGGAGGCTATGTTTGTGGTATGGCAATACATTGGAGACGCAGCCCCTCCTGTCATGCAATACAGGTAACATTGATGGACGTAGATGTAATATCATTCAGTTCATAACAATGAACATTTTTAAAAATAACATTGATATGATTTTAACTAACCGTTTGAGTAAAAAAAATCACTTTCAATTTTGCTTCGGTATGGAAAGTTAATGAATGTATTTACTGCAGTTGCCTCATTATTATTTCATATGTAAAAATAGATTCCTGTAAACAAAATCTGAATACTTGTTAGGCAGAAAAATACAGGAAATTAACTTAGCTGGTATGTTTTTAAGTGTACTTTGATTTTTTTACCTAATGTTAACACGGTTAAAAAATCTACTTTTTTCTATTTCAATAAATTATTTTGTTATCAGGTACGATGGAATATCTGACCAGTGGAAGAAGTACTTGAAGACATTAGAGGAGGCTGAGGAAATGCTGAACATCAGTCAAGATAATTTTCGTATCGGCCTGATAGACGATGCAGAAAATTTCAAAACACAAGCTGCAGAACTGAATGAAAAGTTCCTTCTGCATGGACCGTTCACTTCAGACTTTGACGCTAAAGGTGCGCTCTCTATGTTGTCCGGGATCAAAGCTCAGCTGGAAGAGATGAAGAAGAAGCAGGAACAGCTGACAGCTGACTTGGGCGTGTTCAACATATCCTTGCCACCGAACGACGACCTGAGAAAGTTGGAGAACAACTTGCAACTGTTGACAAACGTTTGGGAACTGACTGATGAGTGGGACACAGCGTGGGCGAGCTACAAGACCGGAGTATTCTGGGACATCAAGGTGGAGGATATGGAAATAACAGCTCAAACACTCTACAAAAGATTTACCAACTTGGTGAAGGAGTTGAGAGAGAAAAACTGGGAGATTGTGGAGCATTCACGGAGACGAGTTGACGCTTTCCGGCGAGTGCTTCCCCTCATCACCGACCTGAAGAACCCGGCAATGAGACCTAGACACTGGGACAGGGTGAGGGCTGCGATGGGCCGGGAGTTTGATGAGAACTCGGCAGAGTTTACACTGGAGCTCATCATAGATATAAAGATGCAAGACTTTGCTGATGCCATTAGAGAGATTTCAGTTGCTGCCTCGGCAGAGTTGAATATTGAAAATGTAAGATATTTTACAGTACTTAAAATTAATTGACGATTTCATATTATTTAAAGTGTTACCTACAATATTTTACTTTGCCAATAATGTCACTATCTGAATGATTTCATCGATCACCTTTATTGTAGAGGCAAAATATCCCCTTGTAAACAGTTGATCTTCTTTTTATCTTGTTTCTTTTATAATGAGTTTTTAGTTTAAATTTAAAATTTTAATCATAGTTTTACATGACTGTTATCTAAAACATGTTGTTGCATGCTATAAACCTGAAATGCTTTAAATACTGAAAATGTTAAAGTAATAAAGTTGAGTTGAAGTAGTAAATTATTTGACAAATCTAAAAACTGCAAAAAAATATGGCATGCACTTGCAAGATGATTTACCACTAAAATTAAAATATATAGAAATTGTTAACCTACATTTTCAAAAACATATTCACTTTTACACTTAAACAACAAAACAAGTTTTTTTTTTATCATCTATTAAGTTTGGGAGAATATCATAAGTTATTGGGGACATGTTGTGATTTCCAAAGATGTATTTTTTTAAGAGAAATGAGGAATAAAAACAAAAATACAAAGTTATCTTTACTAAGAGTTGTTATTCCGATCACAGGGACTAAAAGGTATCAGAGAAACGTGGGAGAAGATGCCTCTGGACATGGTTGCTCACAAGGACAGAGGAGTTTACCGGCTCAAGGCTGTGGACGATCTGTTACAAACTCTGGAGGAAAACCAGGTCCTGCTAAGTGCTATGAAGTCAACAAGGTACAGTTGCAACCTTTAAACTCACATAAAACACAGTATATGTTAATATATTCCGCCCCACTAAGGTGCCACCTTTAGACCAACTAACCATAAGTTATGATAGTGGGCTGCGTAGGTGAAGTTGGTGTTGATAACACTGCAGTTGCTTCCCTCAATGCTTTGTTTCTACTGCGGCAGACACATGTTTTTCTTACTTTCTTCATAATTCTCATAATGATGATGTACATAACCATTGAAAATGGTCCTGATATTAGTGTGATAATCAATAGGGGATATCAAGGTTGGATTAAGCGAAAAGTCAGACTAGCCATGGTCGGATTTGTGGGGTTCTACTGTATTATAGTTTAAATAATTACGTTTCACAAACAAAAACATCAATACATTTTATAATTTTTATATCACACCATGAGATCAGAATGTTTCATAACATAGAGAAATGTGTTTAAAAATTTCTCTTCTAAACAGGTTGATTTTCTATTGGTTGCAGATATGTTCAGCCCTTCATACAGGAGGTGGACTATTGGGAAAGAACTCTGTCAATTATCATGGAAGTGCTGGAGGGAATACTTACAGTTCAGAGACAATATCTGTACTTAGAGGTACAGTACAGTTCTTGTTAACTACTTTCTTTCAATATTTTAGATTTGGAGTTAATACAAAAAAACCTCGTTTAAACATGACCCTCACTTAATAACAACAATTTAAAATACAAGTGAATTTTTCGTAACACCTTTAAAATTCAATAGCACTTAATGTTAAATTAATCTTTGGACTATTTCTATCAAAACAACACATCTTTTTCCAAAATACATTTTAACCCAGAACCTCTATAAAAAGTCATTTTGACAAGTCAATCATATACATATAACTGTATTGGACGGTTCCCATGAGAAATCTCTAGAACAGATGGTTTGGAAAACAAATCAGATTCAGGTACCCCTACTCCATCCATCTCCATAATGCAAAATAAAATGCTAGTGTTTTTTTTTATCAAACATTCATTCAAACTACTAGCCTGTTCTGAACTTATTTAATCAATTATAACACCATTATATAAAATGAGTACAAGGTTGGGATTTGTCAACTAAGAAAAACTCTTCTAACAAAAAAAAAACATAAATTTTAAAATTCAAAATGACAACAATATGCTAGCAAAATAAAAGTATTCTTTCTATAAATTTCCCATTATCTTAAAAGCACCTTTTTTTGTGTTGGTGTCATACTCAGTACACATTATTTACAGTACTGGACTATAAATTATAACTTAGGAAATAAACTTGTTAGCAACATTGTCCGAAATACACTATTAATAAGTGTTTTTGTTAAACTTGGTAAAGCGACTCTCAACAAGGAGAGTACCTCTATAACAAGATTGTTTAACTAATCCCTTTTAAATTATTCTTATTGAGGTTCTACAGTACAGTAGTATCCTTTCTAGTTAAAAAAATATAACTGGTATTACAGGTTCTTAAATGGATAAGTAAAATTAGACTATGAGTAGCAGGCCCATATCACCATTTTATATTTGAGATTTTTGTTTAAATAATATATAATATTGCCAACTTATACAGATTAAGTTGACTTCCTGTAAATTTGCTGCTTGCTTTGAAATAAATAAGGCGGTGTTTTTAAAACATTTACTCTGCTGCCTTCAAGCCAAAATGTCATGGCCCAGTGTACACACTCATGTAAATCAGCTGACTTATTATCTAATCACAAATTTGAAGCAAAATTACAACAGCTGTGTCGAGCTTCTATATTGCACATCTCAAATCATAGAGACTTTTCCACATTAAATCATAAGCAAATTTAGTTGGCAGGTACAATAATAGGTAGCTATGAGTATACACTTAGTAACAAATCAAACTCAAACAGTTTGCAAATAGATTGTTTGTACATTTACAGATCTATTTACAGATTTACATCTGCTTTTCAGAATATATTTACCGGTGAAGACATCCGAAAGCAGATGCCGTTTGAAACCAGCGAGTTTGACTTGTTGACATCAGAATGGATTACCATCACCAACGCAATGGCTGCTGATGGCAAAGCTCTCACGGCTGCGGCTAAACCAAGTGAGTTGAGAAGCTATGATAGGTTTGCATTTATACTGGCTGTTTTTTTTTTATCCAACCCAAATTACAAGTACTAGTACAGAGAGTTGTTATTTAGGGATGAAACCAGCTCAAAAGTTGGCAACCCTGATTCCTTTACTTTATTACTGATTGGTTGACATAGATCGGTTCATTGTTGTCTACTGGAATTAGTGTTCCACATTACTCCGTATGTCTCTACAAAACCCAACTCATGTTTAAGATGTATCATATCATTAAATTTCACATTTGATGTAAACTGTGGTTGATTTATTATTACTAGAATCTCACCTGGAAATTTAATTGACAATTTTTCTTGGCATAAAATTAATGATATACTTTTAATGTAGGCTTATTCTCTTACTATACATACTCTTTGTGAGCTTGCAAAAATTGTGTTAGATCTTATGCTCAATAAATTCCCAACAATGTAGCCTCAAAAAAGTCCTGGTGCTCCAGAAAAAAGCCGTCAGGGCACTCTTCAGCCTTGAGCGATTAGACAGCTGCAGGGAAGCATTTAAATCCCTTAAGCTCCTAACAGTGACAGCACTCTACATCCATGGAGTTGTCCTGTACACAAAAAAACTGAACCTTCCCAGAAATGAGAATTTTCACTTCTACCACACCTGAAGAGCAGCCGACTACAGCCTTCCGATCCACCACACTACACAATACACCAGAAAACCCTCTTATATTGGCTGCAAAATCATCAACTCTCTTCCAAACAAGCTCAAGAACGCAACAGGAAACCAAATCAAACAGCAATTCTGGGACTGGCTTGTGGACCGACTGGTGTACTCCGTTAAGGAATTTTTTGACCAATAATGAACTTTCAATACAAAGAAAATGTAAACTGTAAAACAATCTAAATGTTAAACATTCATTCTGGATTTTTTTGACGCCATTGTATTTCTTAACAAAATTACAAATAAAGGAAATTGTCTATTGTCTAATAACAATAAACAGTACAGACAATAAAGAACAATGCATATCAGCTGATCGGTAATGAAGCAAATAAGTAGGGCTGCACAGTTATGAACTTGTTTTCTCCCTAAACAGTTAGTCTCTGTACTTGTAATTTGGGTTGTGTTAATAAAAAATCCTGTACATTTAACCATTTTTTTAATGCAGCATCTATTCCAATTTCCAATGTTCAATTACTCTGATGCTTACAGTTTATTTTCCATTTCAGAATTATTGGATGTTGTCAACAAAATGAACGACAAGATGGAGAACATTCAGCGAGCGCTTGAACAATATTTGGAGACCAAGAGACATTTGTTTCCTCGGTTTTACTTTATTTCCAACGATGACCTTCTGGAAATTCTTGGAAACTCGAGAAAACCAGAGATGGTGCAGCCTCATTTCAAGAAACTTTTTGACAACATCAACAAAATCATCATGAATAAGAGTGTAAGTGTTTTTCTCTTATCTGATATTCTTTACGTTATATAAGTTCATGATGCACAGAAACTTAGTATGACAATCACTATCTTAACTTGTTTGCAAAATACAGTAGACTCTCTCTTATCCGGACCCCTTTTAACCGGACATTGGTTTAACCGGACCACACTCAGTAGAAGTGACATCTCTTTATCCGGATAATTTTTATCAGCACATCGGTTTAAACGGACTCGATCGGCAGGAAGTGGGCGGTACTGAAACAACTTTTTCTCGTGTGAAAGATTATAAATACAATGTTCTTCTAATTTTCAGTCAAATACTTTATAGAGTGTGCATTTAAACGGTCTGTTTTAATTAGATTTTGGGGACGTCGGTTTAACCGGAAAAACCGTTATCCGGACTGGCCACGGTCCCGAGGAGTCCGGATAAGAGGGAGTCTACTGTACCTTGTTTTGTGCTGACTTTTCAGTAAAGGACTTGGTGAAAAATCCCTCTACCCTCATTACTAAGAATCACTAATCATGATAGTAGATTCTCATAGCAATTACAACACTACGATTCTATAAAATGATGTTACCGCCTCATTCAACTCAAATTCATAAACCAACCACTTTTTTAAAGTTCATTAAATTATCTGCTTTTGTTAGCTACAGTATAACCTTATTAGTTGTGTACAGTAACGATTACTGGTTTAATACTGTCTCGGTTGACAAAAACAATAAGTACATTTTAAATTAAAGAAAGTATATTCTAAAAAAGTAATTATTTATCTTACTAATATTATAAATGAAAAAGTATGGATGTTTGTGTAAATTAGAAACTCCATCACAAGAACTACTGGACTGATTGAGCCAAAATGTTGGACAAAGCTACGTTATTGGCTATTTATAGATTTGTAAATATTTAATTTTGAATGTTGACCATATGTTATTGATTTATAGAATGCAATAATACCAACATTTTCCGAGTTTAAACTTTCAACTTGTAATTATTTCAATTATTTTTCCACAATTTCTTTTCAATATTAACCTTTCTGGACTGAAGTGTTTGAAAATAACAGTTTGCTGTAACAGTGTACATGTAGCACTTTAATAATTTAATGTAATGTATTGTACACTGTTTGCAGGCTCAAGGCAAGATAGAAGGTCTAGCCATGCAGTCAGCTGATGGGGAAGTGGTGGACTTTACCACCCCTGTCTGTCTTGAGGGGGCTGTAGAACTTTGGCTTTGTGCTATTGGTGAGTGACTGTTCAATCACTTTATTGTTTTGCTGTCCGGTTACAAACCATAGGTACAACATTTTTTTTTAGCAGTGTGCAGAAGAGCGTGGCAGTTTTTATATAACACTATTACGGCGGCGGCAGAGAACTTTGCTGTTGTGCAGCAGTCCACTGCCACTGAACTGGACGATTACCGTGCCATGGCATTGTGTCAGTAGCTCATGTAGTGAGTGTGCTTGCACTCTGTATATAGTGTAGACCGGCCTTTCGATTGGACACTGTTTATGTGTTTGTGTATTGTGACTGTTGTATGTATAACCATATTAACATTAGTTAATCTATCAAATCAGATTATTATTTACAGTGTCTTTCATTATTTCTTATATTGTTTGCTAAGTTGAACATAGACGCTTAAGTATTGATTTACCTAATTGAATCCATACCACTGCTATGAGATAAATCTGCGGGTTCCTGGATTCTTCTTTCCCTTGGTCATCAGGTGAACCCATTAAAGAGGCCTTTTTATTATGTCGATGAAATAGCCACACTGAAAAGTGGTTTGGACGGTTCATTGCTTGTAGGCAGAGTGAGAACTGTTAACACAGTTATCTTGCCATATGGGCAGAAACCGCGTAATGTGAAGGAAACTTAGATATGACGTAAAATTGTAGGGTTTTTTACTCGTATAGTGTTAAAAGAGTGTTTGGATGAAAGCTATCAATAATACAAATGTATGGACAGTAAACGTTAAAGTTAAGTGTGTTTTTGTTGAGCACAGAGGAGGCGATGAGGTTGTCGCTCCGGTCGTTGTTGAAAACCGTCCGTCTTTCACTCAAGAAGAACCTGAATGACAGAGACAAGTGGATCAAGGAGTGGTGCGGCCAACTGTGCATCACTGCCAGCCAGGTACTTACTGTTATTTCTTGGAACAGCATTTTTGTAACGTTTGCACATTAGACTCCTGATTATCCATTAGTAAATTAACCACGATCGCAAGAAAATCAAAATAAAGGAAATATACTATGCAAGTTTAAGTGTACATTGTACAGTGACAATCAACATGTTTAGAGGAGACACATCATCTCGGGGGAGGGGAGACTATACACTATACAGTTGCCTTTGTACTTCACCAACCACTGATGAGTTACCACATTTTGTGTTTTGTTGTAAATCGATATGTGTGAAATTTAACCCTCCGAGTGTCCATAGTTTAGGCCTTAATGTCCACCTATTTTTGGCCCCTTTGCAAGGTTTTATTAAAACGGATCTGAGAAGCTTAAAACAATGTTAATTCTAATGTTCTATATACCATTTTGTTTGGAAAATCATGGGCTTCAATATTATATATAAAACATAAGGAACATTTTTTCAAAAAAAAAATTTTTAGGTAAAAAAAAAATATAATTTCGAAAATTTTCAAAAAAAAATAAGTTCGCGCTCAATGAAATTGTATAAATTATAGGCCTATAAATATTTGAAAATAGCCACTTTGTTCTAAATTTAATGAGGATTACAAATATATAATCATATAGCGAGGTAAGTTATCAAATAAATAAGTTATGAGCGAAAAACGGATTTCAGTACATAGCGTTTAGCTAAGAATGCATAGCCTAACCATAGCTAGGAATCTGGCTGATAATTTACATCAATATCACTACCTACTTCTTCAGGATCATCAACCAGCACTTCAAAACCACTTAAATCTTCTTATAATGCACCACGTATATCACTACTTTTGATTTTTAACACTAAAACAATGATAAACTTAATAAAACACATCAGTCATCGGTCCGGGGGAACCTAGCTGTTTACAAATACACGCACGTCAGCTGTCTGCTACAATATTTTCGGAACTAAAATGAATAGCGCTTAGAGACAGACCTCTGGAGAAAGCTTAGAATATTACGGAAAGAACGATACCTAACTCGATCCAGTTCAATCCGATTCAGTCAGTCATAGAGCCTTCGCCGTAAACGATGTTTGTGCGTCTTAAAAGCGACGCGTGACCCTACACAAAGTGTGTTGTGCGTCGTTTTTATGACGCGTGACACTCGGAGGGTTAAAAGGTCTGAACTGTATTCCAAATGTTTCATAACCACTTAGTCCTGTATTAAAGCTCAACTATAAATTAAAAGTCAATTTTAGTTATTTCCCCAGGCATTTGCGTTAGGTCTACATGATCCAAAAGTTGATTATGCACCATCCCTCAGCCACTCATTGTTGTGGATAATTGGGTGGACTGTAATCATTATCTGTAACACTTACCAACAGAAATGGCAGTTTAGATGCCTAGCAGGCTTACAACACCAAGAAAGCAGCCAGGAGACTTTAAACTATAAACTCACTTTACATACACTTGATGTAAAACCCTAACATCATAAAACAGCACCACAAAACAATATCTTTAACCTCACAACAACCAACACATATACACCAGCACAGCACAAGGCATGCTTCAAATTTTAGTAATTTCAGTTAGTCCATGCCTAATACGTACTATTCTCAACGAATGTGTAAATAAACAAATATTGACTGTTGTACTATAGTCGTTTCAAGATATTTGGTGGCTTATTAGATAAAATGTAATAATGTATGATTCCAGATTCAGTGGACATCGGACTGTACTCGTACGCTACGTGTTTGTAAGGCCATGGAGAATAAATCTGCTCTGAAGAAACTCAAGAAAAAACAGGTTTTGTATAAGTTTGGTAATTTATATTCTAAGTGTAAGTAAATGTTGTTTTATTGTAGTCAAATTAAACAGTGAATCGAAAACACAAGCATTTAGTAACTGATTATTTTTTGTGTACTGAAGATGTTCTCCAAATGTTATAATATTACTACTTTTAAGAGTTATTAGACATCTTTTATTTACTTTCCACAAATATGTTTTATTACATTTCTTGGTCTAACTGTTTTATTGATATATTGCAGAATGCGATTCTAGCAAAGTTCTCAGATGCAGTGAGGAGCAACTTGACCAAGATTCAACGGCTCAAAGTCAATGCTTTGGTCACTATCGAAATACATGCAAGAGATGTCATTGAGAGCATGTATAAAAAGAGTGAGTTTTTAAATGCATATTGTGTCTAAGCTCCTTATAATATCTAAAAGTTTAGTTTTAATTTTGTCTAATTTATCACACCCAAACAGAAGTGTGGGTTACAAGAAATTTTAACTTTGCAAACCTATTAATACTTAGATAATGCTTTTATATTATCAATGTATTTATTGGTTCGTACATTGTTATATTGCACAGCAAACATCAATAAGATGCAATAGTACAAGATGTGGCAGAAAAATAATTTAAGTAGTTGTAAATACCTAGGAATGTAAGATATGTTTGATGTATGTATTGTAAATAATACCATAAGCTTTTATAGACATTTAAGGGTTGACGAAGTCTCCTCAAAAATCTTCACACTGTAAATCTTAAAACCTTTTTTTCAGGAGTGTAATGTTATCAAAGTGCAAGGTTAGTTTTGCCTAAGTGTTAATTCATTTTTTTTTATAATGCTGGAGAGTGAGGTAAGATTTAGAAATCATTTAGCCTCACTAATTTTTAGGGATGGACGGGATTGAATTTTTAGTTCGGGACGGGACGGGACGGGATTTTTATTTCCTTCCCAATTTTCGGGACGGGACGGGACGGGATTTTTTTCTGTGCATAAAAAGAAAGTACTGTATTGCAGTTACCAAAAAAAGACATACGAAATCAATTTTTACCATTTGTGGCACTGATCTATAAAAACCAAAAAATGGGTAACAATTTACAGGTACCTATAGTAACTTGTGACTCGTGGGTCACGGGGTGATCGTCTGTATGACTCACGGTCACGGCGAGATCGTCGTCATGACTCGCGATCACGGCGCGATCGTCGGTATGACTCGCGGTCACGACGCGATCGTCGTCATGACTCGCGGTCACGGCGCGATCGTCGGTAGGACTCCGCGGTCACGGCGCGATCGTCGGTATGACTCCGCGGTCACGGGGTTATCGTCGGTATGACTCGCGGTCACGGCATGATCGTCGGTATGACTCGCGAACACGGCTCGATCGTCAGCATGACTCCGCGGTCACGGCGCTTTCGTCGCCATGACTCGCGGTCACGGCGCGATCGTCGGTATGACTCGCGGTCACAGCGCTATCGTCGGTATGACTCGCGGTCACGGGGTTATCGTCGGTATGACTCGCGGTCACGGCGCGATCGTCGGTATGACTCGCGATCACGGCTCGATCGTCAGTATGACTCCGCGGTCACGGCGCGATCGTCGTCATGACTCGCGGTCACGGCATGATCGTCGGTATGACTTGCGGTCACGGCGCGACCGTCGGTATGACTCGCGATCACGGCTCGATCGTCAGCATGACTCCGGGGTCACGGCACGATCGTCGGTAGGACTCCGCGGTCACGGCGCGATCGTCGGTATGACTTCGTCTTCTGCGTTCGCGGACCTATCGCTCGCAATAACGGCGTTATCGGCACTCGCGAAGCGAAAAATCGCCGACGATCGGACCAAATCCCGTCCCGAAAAATTCCCGAGTCAAATGTAATCCCGTCCCGATAATCGGGAATATTTTTTTCCCGAAAAATTCCCGAAATTTCGGGACCCGTCCATCCCTACTAATTTTTATACCCTACTTTAAAATAATTTAATGATTAGGCAGCAATACCTGTAAACATTGTTAATTTAATAATTGGTCTGAACTACACTTGATTTGAGTAAAAAAAAACATAGTGGAGCGGTGATGCTAGAGTGTAGTGGAGAGCGTAGTTGAGCTGATATAAAATAATATATGTAGATAGCCGTGCCAAAACATAGTGGAGGCGAGGAGTGTAGCTGGTTCCCTTGCTGACATTCTAGCCTCTCCGCTCATGTAGATAACCGTGCCAAAACATAGTGGAGGCGAGGAGTGTAGCTGGTTCCCTTGCTGACATTCTAGCCTCTCCGCTCATGTAGATACCCGTGCCAAAACATAGTGGAGGCGATGAGTGTAGCTGGTTCCCGTGCTGACATTCTAGCCTCTCCGCTCATGTAGATACCCGTGCTGACATTCTAGCCTCTCCGCTCATGTAGATAGCCGTGCCAAAACATAGTGGAGGCGAGGAGTGTAGCTGGTTCCTGTGCTGACATTCTAGCCTCTCCGCTCATGTAGATAACCGTGCCAAAACATAGTGGAGGCGAGGAGTGTAGCTGGTTCCTGTGCTGACATTCTAGCCTCTCCGCTCATGTAGATAGCCGTGCCAAAACATAGTGGAGGCGAGGAGTGTAGCTGGTTCCTGTGCTGACATTCTAGCCTCTCCGCTCATGTAGATACCCGTGCCAAAACATAGTGGAGGCGAGGAGTGTAGCTGGTTCCTGTGCTGACATTCTAGCCTCTCCGCTCATGTAGATAACCGTGCCAAAACATAGTGGAGGCGAGGAGTGTAGCTGGTTCCCTTGCTGACATTCTAGCCTCTCCGCTCATGTAGATAACCGTGCCAAAACATAGTGGAGGCGAGGAGTGTAGCTGGTTCCCTTGCTGACATTCTAGCCTCTCCGCTCATGTACATACCCGTGCCAAAACATAGTGGAGGCCAGGAGTGTAGCTGGTTCCCGTGCTGACATTCTAGCCTCTCCGCTCGGATAATCCACCTCAATTTCTTCACCTCGAGAGTTTTGGTGATCGTCGAGGCTCAGTGGTGGAAATTACTACATTTATAAAGGATTTTTATCTGGTCAATTTGTGAATACTGTCCTGTTTAGGACTGGGACTAATTCTACTAAAATAACCCTTAGTTTTTACCCTTATATGTAAACTAAAGACTAACGTTGTCAGTTTCTGTCTCAGATTGCACAGACGTGTCCGCCTTTGAGTGGATGTCACAGTTGAGGTTTTACTGGCACCAGGACATCGATGATTGCATTGTCAGACAGACCAACACGTCGTTTGTCTACGGCTATGAATATCTGGGCAACTCCGGTAGACTTGTTATCACTCCTCTCACTGATAGGTAAACAAACAACTCTGATATCAGTCTGTTCCTTTCTAATAGTACAGTAGACTCTTTCTTATCCGGACACCTTTTAACCGGACATCGGTTTCACTGGACTACACTCAGCAACAATGACATCTCTTCAACCGGAACATTTTCATCAGTAGATCTGTTTAATCGGACTAGATCGACAGGAAGTGGGCGGTACTGAAACGACTGTTATCGTGGGAAAGATTAGAGACCAGTGATCACGTTTCTAAATACAATGCTCTCCTAAATTTAAGTCAAATAATGTATACAGTATGCATTTAAACGGTCCGTTTTAATGAGGTTTTTGGGACGTCGGTTTAACCGGAAAAACGGTTATCCGGACTGGCTTTGATCCCGAGGAGTCCGCATAAGAGGGAGTCTACTGTAACTTTGTTAATCTTGAAAAATATAACGTTGATTAATACAGTAGAGTCCCGCAAACTCGGCTCTCGATAACCCGGCAGTCTGGATAACTCGGCCATTACCTGGGTCAGAAAATTAGCGATTTTTTGAGTCCTAGCTAAAAATGGACTCGAGCCAAATCATTCGCAACCCATACCAAGGATTTGTTGTACTATATCGGATGACTTAATACTGACTTGTAATATAAATATAAATAAAAAAGGTGGTTAAAAAGCTTAAAAATTGTATTGTTCTTATTTTTAACCCTAGTTCCTGATAACCCGGCATTTCACAAACTCGGCACCCTTCCAGTCCACATTACGCCGAGTTTGCGGGACTCTACTGTACTTGTAATCAATGTAGTTCATTTTTTTTTTTAAACCCCATGTCCCTATGCCCTAAACTTAGTAGAAAATGTTTGGGGCTATATCACCATTTAACCCTGCGACTCTTCATGCATATGCATTTTAATGTGATTTTATATCCATATTTAATCAAAATACAAGCAAATAAAAATAAAAATCTGTTTCCTCTTCCTATATACTAGAGTAAAATAACAAAACATTTGTTGTTTACAATCCCTATTTAACTCACTGTAATTACTATTAACATTAACGCTAACTTTCACCTAAGCCATGCTTCGCTTATTTTAGGTGGGCCTTCTCTTAAATAGCTATTTTAAAATGCCTAAAATAGGCTAAGCCACATAATTAGTAAGCTAGCACCACCTAAACAACTGATCTACCATGCCACGGTTGGCTGGCCAAGTAGAGTGCAACTATTAGAAGGTACGATATTAGATACAACGCTGCTGGTAAGATACAACAAACTAACAGACTACTTGAGTTCACTGACAAGCTACACTTGTTGAACCGTCTTGAAGTGACTAAAAGGGTAAAAGTTTAAGCCTTAGAATTAAAATATTGATAATATAAGATTTACCAAAATATTGTCTTCATTACAGGTGTTACATAACACTGACTACAGCACTGAGCCTGTACAGAGGGGGCAGTCCCAAGGGCCCTGCAGGTACAGGCAAGACGGAAACTGTGAAGGACCTTGGCAAGGCTCTAGCTTACTACGTCATCGTCATCAACTGCTCGGAGGGTCTTGACTACAAGAGCATGGGCCGCAACTTCTCAGGTTACACTCACACTGTCAAACGGTTCTTTGAAATGGATGAAACTATTCCAATTTCCTTTGACAATGTTCCAAACGAGCCGGACTAGCGAGCGTCTCCTGTAGCTAATTATTAACGATCTACTTCTGGCTTAACTAGAAGTACAAATCCATAGGTACAATTCAGGTAATAGTGTCCTGGAGGCAGCTCAAGCTTCAAATTTAATGTCCACAAATGATTTATGTCCCTACACAACTTAACTATTCTAATTCATAACAAATCAATAATCCCTTAAACTAAATTATGAACCAAATATAGAACTCTTTGACTGAAAACCCCTTTTAACCTTACAAAACTTAACTGTAAGAGCCTTACTCTAAAATAAAGTCACCAGTAGTTGCCCAAACTTTCACTGGCTGAATGACCCCCATTCCCATCAGGTGGCCTGGAACAGTTACTGGTTGCAGGGCTCTTTGTGTTTACATGAACTCCTCCAGCACGCCTCCTAGATAGCAAGGTCACTAACCTAGTTTGCCTTGTCCTCCCTCCAATATTTCTTTCAATATTTACTTTATTATATACCATTATATGGTTTGATGACGTGATATAGGTCAAATAAAAAAACATCTTCCAATACCCCTCAATAGGCTACAAACACGGTAACAATTTTTAATTTTACAATACAATACAATACAATATTCTTTATTGTTCATTCGTTAAGAATTACAATAGTGTCAATTTATTTACAAAACGATACAAAATATACTAGCTATAGGTTTGATTAGTCACACACCAGTCGTCATCAGGCCCGATCAGAGACTATTGAGACCCTAAAATCAGCTATAAATATAAACAAATCTTGAAATTATTAAATAAACTTTTAACTGTTCAATATCCTTTGGTTTTGTTAGATTTTATTTACAGATTTTACTACAGTTTATTTAATAATTTCAATCTTCAATATCCAGTAGTAGGAAAATGAACTCAAATCTTGAAACGTGATTGCTTAAGAGATGACAAATAAAAATGGCTATTGAAATTATATGAGCAAATTAGTGAGCAAAATTAGCAAAATTAGTGAGCAAACGTAGAAATAAAAACATTGATAGGCCTAACAGTGGAAAATTCGATAAGATCAATCCTAAGACTAGGCCTATGGTGTCAATTCCTGATCGATCTGGGCGAAAATCTGTTAAAGCTCAAACAAACAAGTTCATCACAGGTCAGTCGTCCGAGACTGGTACATTATCTTCAGTAGAAAGGAAAGTTTATTTATTTGTATCAAGGCTGAATTCCGCTACTAAGGTTGAAGATATGGAAAGTTACATTCGTAGTAAAATACAAAGTGAACCTGATGTTGTCAAGTTGAACTCTAAATATCCAGAGGAATATTCTTCATTCAAAGTGGGCATCCCATCTAATGTGTTGGATGATGTCTTTAACTCCAACTTCTGGCCTAAAAACATATTTGTATCTATGTTCAATAACAAGCGTAAGCCTAAGCCTAATGTGGATTTAAACTCCCAAAGCTCTGCGGAAAACCTCGTAACCTAACAGTGCCTATGACTGTCTCTGCTTCTAGTATATTCAAGGCTATTAAACTGCTTTTTTTAAACGTTCAAGGTTTGGATGGTAAATTAAATATGCTCAACATACATTGTAACATAAATAATTACGATTTTCTTTGTCTTAACGAAACCTGGCTAAAGGATATTAAATTCACATTTATGTGATATTAATTGGTGTCCAGTGCTCTCAAAAGGTAATGGGTCTGCTGAACGGACATTTAAATTGTTTTTTGATAGTTTTATGGAAATTTATAATGTAAGTTGCCCTTTAAAGACACTTCGCAAAAAATCCTTTAACTCAAAAAATCAGAGAAAAGTAGTTCTTAAGTGGTATACTCCTGAATTAAAGATAATGAGAGAAAGAGTTATGGCCTATCTTACAGTACATAGAACAACTAAATCTGAACTATCTTTTAAAGCCTACAAAGCTCTACGAAACCTTTATAAAAATGCAGTGAATGAAGCAAAGATGTCTGCTAACATGAACTTTATTGAATCATCCAGTAATAAGTGTCAGGCTGCCTGGTCTCTGATTCGTAAGTCTACAACCTCGACTGCGGAAAGGGTGCACTCTATGATCTCGGCAGAGCAGCATAACAACTTCTTCTTGGAGTCAGTGCAGTCAGCGAAGGCATCCATCATCCCACCTCCTGTCTCTTCTAGCGACCTACTTCATAACACGGAGTACCATCAGCAAGCCTCGTTGAACCAGTGGTTGCCTGTCTCTCAGGATGAAGTGTTAAGTGTGGTGTCAAAGCTGAAAATGTCAAAAAGCAAAGATGCTTATGGTGTGTCAAACGCGGTGTTAAAGTCTGTGATAAGTGCAATCGTAGTACCACTCACTCACTGTGTAAATGTTTGCCTAAACGATGGAGTTTTTCCTGAATCCCAAAAGATTTCACGGGTAGTTCCAGTGTTCAAAAAAGGCAAGAAATCTGAGGTTAGTAATTATAGGCCTGTATCATTAGTTCCTTTGTTTGGTAAAATTATGGAGCGTATTATCTATAACCAAATGTGTTTCTTCCTAGCAAGTAATAATATTCTTAGCGAGACTCAATTTGGTTTTCGTAAAAAGTTATCCACAATAGATGCAATTGAGTCGATGTTGTTCAAAATTATTAAAGCTTTTGAAGACGGGAGCTTTGCTCAGATTACTGCTTGTGATCTGAGCAAGGCATTCGATCTTGTAGATCACTCTGTGTTATTAGATAAATTAAGTTTTTACGGCATTAGGGGTTCGTGTTTGAAGTTTTTTGAATCATACTTGCATGGAAGATCTCAGTTTGTAGAGTTGAAGGGTGATCGTTCAAGATGTCTGGATGTAATAATGGGAGTACCACAGGGTTCTATCTTGGGGCCTTTATTATTCCTTTTATCAATTAATGACCTACCTGCCAATGTGTCCCTTTCTTCAACTACAATGTTTGCAGACGACACAACCTTTCTTAGTATAAGCAATGATACAAATGTCTTGTCTAATATTGCCAAAAATACTATTTTAGAAGCCAAGCAATGGTTTAGTGCTAATGGTTTGATTATTAATGAGAATAAAACTCAACACTTACTCTGTCAGACTAGAAATAGAGTCGATGATTACAATGAACCAAATGACATAAAAATTTTAGGTTTAGTGATTGACAACTGTTTGACCTGGTCTCAACACATTGATTTCATTAGTGGTAAGTTGTCTAGGTGTATTTATCTTCTTAAATGTCTTAGCTCTAGTCTGCCTCAGAATTATTTAAAGTCTGTGTATTATGCTTTTTTTCACTCAATTTTAAGTTATGGTATTTTGTTATGGGGTAATAGTACCCATGTAAATAATGTATTGTTAATTCAAAAGAAGGCTGTGAGAATCATAACTAGATCTCGCCGAAGAGCACATTGTAAACCGTTATTTGTGGGCACTGGCATATTAACTGTCATTAATGTTTTTATCCTGCATTGTCTGATTAATGTTAAGAAAAAGGAAAAAGAGTATGATTTGCGCCAAGACATTCATGGTTATAACACAAGGAATAGGGGTCTAGTTGATGTACCTCACTGTAGGCTACAGAAAACTGCAAACAGTCATTTTGTTTTAGGTATTAAATTATTTAATAAGCTTCATCCCCAAGTCAAGTCCTTGCCGTTAAGTGTCTTTAAAAGAAAATTAACTATGTGGCTTTCATCTCACCCATTTTACAAAATTGAGGAATTTTTTGAAGGTGATCTCATTTTTTGCTAATGTTAAATGCTTTTAAGTTAGGCTAGGATTTTTATTACTGTAATTAATTTTCATATTTTTCATGTTCACTATTTTGATATGTTTTTTACCATATTCCATCTGTGATAATGTTAGTAATTTTGTCCCTCTATGTTCATTGTACACCTGTGATAACCATTAGCCTTTTTAAGAAAGACCCACTATTATTCATAATTTAAGTTTGTTAAGTTTGCCTATTTAAAAAAAATTATTTTAAACCTGTTAAATGTTCAATAAGGGCAGCCTATATTTTGGAATTTTCATGTCAAATTTTAATAATTATAAGTATTGCATCTTATATCTTTTACAATAATAATGACGATGTCAATTACAATAATGTATTGTTTAAAGACTGAATAAATGACTATTCTATTGACTATTGACTATTCGACTATTCTATTGACTATTCTATTGACTATTCTATGTGTAGTAAATTACAAAATTATATTCTATTTATAAATTATTTTAATCTACAAAGTAGTTCCCTGTGAAAGATCCGCCCCACATCCTTCATCAACTTTTGTGTATCCCACATCCAGTGCTGATCAACCAAAATACACCAATACTGTTTATGAACCTATTCAAGATAATACCCTGTACACAGGTTTCGCACAGACGGGGGCTTGGGGATGTTTTGACGAGTTCAACCGGATCAACATTGAAGTGCTGTCAGTCGTCGCACAGCAGATATTGTCAATTTTGTCAGCTTTGCAGCAGGGACTGAAGAAATTCCCTTTTATGGGAACCCTTATAAACTTGGTGCCTACCTGTGGAATCTTCATTACCATGAATCCAGGTATTATAAATAAATCATGGTTGTTTTGCTGATTGTGGACCACTGCATGTTTATGTTGTGTGAGTGTGGCATCTGGGTCTGTAATGATCTTGCTTGGAATCAAACTAGCGACCTTCAGATTTTAAGGTGAGCGCTCTCTAAGACAATTTTTTGTTGTACACATTTCATAGGTACTAGAATATCTTTTCAACAAGTGAGAAGTGTGAATTTTAAACACCCCAAAAAAATCCAGTCTCATTCGTTGTATGTAAATATTGCAAATAGACTTATGTTCATGAAGTCTTCATGTACCATTTTTGTGTGTTTTATGTCAGTGTGTCGATGTAAACTATTTCTTTTGATGTAGGATACATTTCACTGTGTTCTTTTTAGTGTGCTGATTTAATGCATGGGAAATGAAAAAAATTAAATACAACATTGTAATTATCTTAAAGAAGAACTGGTAATATTGGAATGAATATAAATTTGAAGTTTTTATTTAAAATTTATATTGTAATTATTTTCTTTATCACAAGCATAAATAATAATGTTTGGCATAAGTCTTGAAAACGTGTTCGCATCATAAAATAAAGTAATGCAAACTCTACAATAAATGCCTAGAATATTAACTAGTCTATAGAGTTTTTATGGAAACTTTTACTGTAATTACTTTTTCAATTTCAAAATATTTTTTTCTTCAAAAACACATTTAATTTAAAAATTTTTTTTCGTCACTACCATTTTACTGCAGTGTTAGAGAAAAATCGGTTAAATCTTTGTTAAATTTAAGTTGAATTTAGTTTCATTAACTTTGTGATGAAGTGTAATTAATTAATCATGTTGGTTTACTAAACAGACAATAAATGTTCAAGGTTACGCTGGAAGAACAGAGCTGCCTGACAACTTGAAGTCCATGTTTCGGCCGATATCTATGATGGTCCCAGACAGCATGCTGATTGCCGACATTCTACTGTTTGGGGAAGGCTTTAGGGACACACGCAACTTGGCTAAGAAGGTAAATCCTGGAAGAGTTGTACAAACATTGTCACAGTCACTTAATGAATAGACTCAAATTTGGAAACATCCCAACAATTATGAACTTTACAAATATGTTCCCTTTTGTTGATTCAAAAACAAGAAAAACTTTAAATTAAAGTTATTGCCATAGGAGTTTTAAAAGAATTCTCTTTCAGCTTAAAATACTCACAAAGGTGGCATTCCTGTTTTGAAAGTAGTGACAATGATTTAATATGTTCTAAACTGGCTTAAACTTTAACTTGGAGACGTCTAGTGTAAAGGATCAAATCACATGACTTGTGTTGCCCTTTTGTAGGTGTATACTCTGTTCTCATTGGCTCGTCAACAGTTGAGTAAGCAGGATCACTATGACTTTGGTCTGCGAGGTATGGTGGCGCTGCTGAGATACGCTGGAAGAAAGCGACGTCAACACCCCAACCTTCCTGACGAGGAGGTTTGTTGTATTGATTACACTATTAGCGGATTAAAAATTTTAAATAGTGCAATAATTTTGTGCAGAAACTTGGTGATAAACCACTAAAATAATAATAATAACTCATTTAACTTTCTGTCAATTGCAACCAAAAACTAGTTTGAAATTATAGTAAATTTAACATTGGAATTATATTTTTTGGGGCGAAATCAAGATGTTTGTCGTTTGCTAGTGCTACTGCTGCACAGTTATAATGTTACAGAACAGATTAGACTCCATGACATGAAATCCAATACCGCTTAGAAATTCAATTAAATCAAAAGGGGGAAAAGTGTTCACATAAACATAATTAATACCTACATAAGTAATAGAGTGAGAACCTGCTAATCTAGCATCCGAAGGTAAAAAAGGCACTTTTTATTTAATAATCCGGCATCGGTCTAAACCTATAAACACTTTTTTGTAAGCCTTTTTTTGGGCAGAGTATGGCATACTCAGCAGACATTGGGCACGATTGGCAGACATCAGGCGCACATGTAGCCCAGTCACTTTAGGTAAGAACCTAGACATGAAAGATGTAAAGCTGATTTTTTGCATGGTGATAGTATATAATAGGAAAGGTGTTTTCTGAAAGTTCCCTGAATTTCCCCCCCTTGCTTCCCCTTAAAACCCCCCCTCCCCCGAAACACCAGGTTGAAAGTGTAGTGTTTAACTAAATCACCTATATCTTTTGATGTAAACGAGCTATCAGCATAATTGTTTTTTCTTTGAACTCCCCGTTAAATTTACTTTAATAAATTAACCTTACACGTAGCATTATCTCTATTGGGTGGGATTTTATATGTGATACAAAATAAATATTATTTTATTTAAAACGTGAAGTTGTAGATTAAGCCAAACGTCGGTTTCGCAGTAGGTAGTACGTCAATGTAACAACACTTTTTACCTGTTTGATGAGCTTCCCAAAAATGTATAACAATATATATTTTAATTTAAATTGTTACCGAATGAAGCCATTTAAATCCATGCTTCAAACAGCCACAAAGCGCATTTAGCGTACCATTCCAACTTGTCCAGTAAATATCTATTCTATATACAATACAGGGTTAGTAAAAAGTGTGGAGACCCCTGTAAATTTTTTTAACGGCCCATACTAAAAACACTAAACTCGGCACACCTTTATGGCATGTTATGAAGTACTTTTTGGGAATAACCGCCACTTGATGATCGTCCCCAAAATGGGGGATTTTGGGGGAAACTCTAAAATTTCAAATTTTAAGCCCCATTGAGTGACCCCTCATTTTGAAGGTCCTGGTAAAAGAAAGCCAACAACGCAAATTAGAGGTATCTACCTCAATAAAGTAAAAAATGGCAGCCAATTGAAATTCTCAGAAGTTAAATTTAACTTACAGCTTTTCAAGTCTGGAGACCCCCTGTAAATTTTGTAACGGCTCACACTAGGAAAACTAAACTCTACACACCTTTTTGGCATGTTATGAAGTACTTTTGAAGCCTAATAGCCACTTGGTTACCAAACCCAAAATGGGGGATTTTGGGGGGAAACTCAAAAACTTTAAATGATAAGCCCCATCGAGTGACCCCTCATTTTGAAGATCATAATAAAAGAAAACTAGCAAACTAGAGGTCTCTATCTTAACACAGTAAAATATGGCAGCCAATTTAATATTAAATTGCAAGTTATTTCTGATTTCTAAAGATTTCAATCAGCTTCCATTTTTTACTGGATTGAGATAGAAACCTCTAGTTTGCGTTGTTAGTTTTCTTTGACCAGGACCTTCAAAATGAGGGGCCACTCAATGGGGCTTAACATTTAAAATGTGGTTTTTAAAGGGTTGTTTGAGTTTCCCCCAAAATCCCCCATTTTGGGGATGTACACCAAGTGGTGGTTATGCCCAAAAAGTACTTCATAACATGCCATAAAGGTGTGCCCAGTTTATTTTTTCTAGTATGGGCCGTTAAAAAAATAACAGGGGGTCTCCACACTTTTTACTAACCCTGTATAATTCAGTTTTAAAAATATTTGTACAACTAAATCTAGAGTTCTACTGGACCGATTTTATATATATTGTGTCGTTGGAAAGCTTAATTCATGTAAATTTGCAAATAATTATGAAAGTTTGTTTTTGTTATGATTTATGTTGAAAAAAAATGTTTTCCAAAAGAAATACATTGAAAACTGTGTTTTTCACACGTATTATTTGGGTGCGACTTTTGGCTACTTATTTTGAGTATTTCCAAAAAGTGCATGGTACCAATTTGTAGGAAATGTTATTCTCTTTCAGAATATCACCTTCCACTCTGGTGGATTTCCTCACCATTTAAAAGTTATTTGCTAAAAGGCTAAGCAACCTCTGAATTTATAGTAATGATAAAATACTGAGTAAGGGATATTTTCGTTAAACTTTGTACAACTAAATCTAGACTTCTACTAGACTGATTTTGTTAATTAATGGGTCATTGGAAAGCCTAATTCATGTAGATTTGCAAATAATTATGAAAGTGTGAGTTTATCAAATATTTGTGGTGAAAGTTTCTTTTTTCAAGTTTCTGTTTTCAAGTTTCTATTTGTAGCCAGCTTTTGCCTGCCTTTATTAAGAATTTTCAAAAAATGCATGGTAGTTATTTGTAGTAAATTGTATTCTCTTTCAGAATATCACATCCACTTTGGTAGATTTTCCCTCCATTTAAAAGTTATTGGTAATAAGCTAAGTGATCTACAAATTTTAAGTGGTGAGAAAATACTAAATTGTTTTTTTTTTAAACTTTGTACAACTAAATTGATTGTATAAATGATTGTATAAAGCATTGATTGTATAAATTCACTCCCACCCTTCATTGACGAAGGAACTGACGATGATGAGGGAAAAGAAAGTTGATATGTACTGTATTGTTTATGCCTTACTTAAGTGTTTTTTAACTGTAGGCTAATTAAACCTGTTGAGCATATATTTGCCTTTTCTTATAACTACCGATTACTTAATTTTTAATCCTTGTGAGTACTTATTTTCTTACTATTTTTGTAATTCAGTGTTCTTATTTTGCTTGTTAAACATTCACACAGGGTGTGTAAACAATAAATAAATAAAAAGTAATCATTTAGTAATATTTACTGAACAATTTGGAATGATGTGCTAAGTGAAGCATGGATTTAAATAGCTTCATTCGGTAACAACTTAAATTAAAATATATATTGTTATACATTTTTGGAAAGCTCATAAAATAGGTAAAAAGTTTTGTTTCAAACACATTGACGTACGACTTACTGTAAAAACCAGGGTTTGACCTAATCTACAATTTTATGTAAAAAAAATTAATATTTTTTGTTATATCACAGATATAAACCCACCCAATAGAGATAATGCTACATGTAAGGTTATTTTATTAAAGTAAATTTTACGGGGAGTTCAAAGAAAAAATAATTATGCTGATAGCTCGTTTACATCAAAAGATATAGGTGATTTAGTAAAACACTACACTTTCAACCTGGTGTTTTGGGGGAGGGGGGGTTTTAAGGGGAAGCAAGGGGGGGAAATTCGGGGAACTTTCAGAAAACACCCTTCCTATCATACACTATCACCATGCAAAAAATCAGCCTTACATCTTTCATGTCTTTGTTGGCCTTGATTTTTAACTTAAGTTACTGGGCTAATGACAGATGTCCCAAAAAAATGCTGCCCAAAGGTTAAGAAAAAATCCCAAATATTTGGGTTTTTTTCTACAGTAATATTAATTGAAAACTACCATAAAGAAGCCAGTCTTTTAGCTGATATTTTTATAATTTTTTGTATTTTACTTGCATTCAGTCACAAAAAGTGGCACAACACCGTCCTCTCTACATCATTAAAAGAACTTTTACATTGTTGGAGGAAAGTCTATTAGGAAAACACATACTAGATATTTTATAAATAATTTAACAGGATACGCAGAATAGTTTCAACAGCTAATTCAAACTTATATAAGGAACCAAAGCTGATCTCCTTTCTTGCAGCCTGCTGTGATGATAAATGGATGTCATATTTTTGTAGGTGGTACTTCTGGCCATGAAGGATATGAATCTGGCCAAACTAACTTCAGATGATTTGCCACTCTTTAACGGAATCACTGGAGATTTGTTCCCCGGTGTTGTTTTGTTCCCCATCGACTATAGTGTCATGATCACAGCTATCAAACAAGAGATGCAGGAACAATCTCTCCAGGTTAGTGCTTTAGTGTTAAAGAATCACTGGAGATTTGTTCCCCGGTGTTGTTTTGTTCCCCATCGACTATAGTGTCATGATCACAGCTATCAAACAAGAGATGCAGGAGCAATCTCTCCAGGTTAGTGCTTTAGTGTTAAAGAATCACTGGAGATTTGTTCCCCGGTGTTGTTTTGTTCCCCATCGACTATAGTGTCATGATCACAGCTATCAAACAAGAGATGCAGGAACAATCTCTCCAGGTTAGTGCTTTAGTGTTAAAGAATCACTGGAGATTTGTTCCCCGGTGTTGTTTTGTTCCCCATCGACTATAGTGTCATGATCACAGCTATCAAACAAGAGATGCAGGAGCAATCTCTCCAGGTTAGTGCTTTAGTGTTGAGAGAACCATAATGTGTTGAATTTGAATTTGTAAGAGCTTTCACTTAGACGAAGCAGAAATCTATTATTTATTTACTTTTTTATGGTAGGCTGTAGCACGGAATCATTTCTCACATTACTTCAGGCTAGGGCCAAGAGAGACATTGGATTATCAGTCATATAAAATCCATTGGTGATTGGCGGGATTTGAACCACAGAGACCAAAATCCCACGTTCTGCTCACTCCTATATTTACGTTTAATCACTCCTATTTTAACAACTCAGATGTTATTCAAAGATAGAAAGGACCACCTGTCTTTACAGTTTTGCTTCAATATTTGCTATGACTAATATTTTGAAAATTATCTGTAAAAAATCAAAATAATTTTGGTTCAAAATTCTGGAGTGATTTTTGTAATATGTGATGAGACCTACAGCAGTGCCTGTTCTAGTGATTAGAATATCTTAAGCTGTGAAGGCCAGGTTAAAATCCCACCAGTTGTAGTCTTACATCACTTTGTGGCGTGGGGGAGCGAGCTGGTCTAGTGGTTAGAGTGTGGGACTTCGGTCCAAGAGGTCCCGGGTTCAAATCCTGTCAAATCACTAGGTCTAGTCTGAAGTAATGTGAAAAACAATCCCAGGCTCATGCCTAGCGTCCTAGGAAAAAAAAACATCACTTTTATTAAAATTCATTGTTGTAGCCCCGGAACTGTAATATATAAAATATCTGGTTTTACATTACCTTTATCAGTTCCAAAAGTAACTTTCGTCAACGTGTGTGTTACATGTTTCGGCGAGAACAGACACACAAAAATCAACATTTGCCCAACACCTTATTGACTGTAATCACGATATGAATGACATTAACACCGGTCTGCAAATACTACATTACTGTCAAAAGGGAAATAAAATGGACGTCTTGGAGGAGTTTGAAATATACAAATCAATAAAAAATCTGGATTCCAACAACCATATCCTGAATGACAAACTCCAGTTTAAGTCAAATATAATTTTTAATACGCTACTACAACAAGGAAACAAATCTGATCAGCTGACCACAAAACAGATAACGAAGATAATTCAACCAGATAGCGCTGACTTGAACCCTCCACCGACAGTCTGTTCCCGCTCGTGTACCGGCAGTGTTGCGTATTCATGATAGGCCTATCAAACTACATTTTTATTGTTTTTATGTCGTACGTGTCGTGTATGTTGTATGTCGTGTAATGTGTTGTGAAAACGAAGCTATTCAAGCGGATCTACATCTTCCTGTATTGAAGTGTTTGACAATGGCAGCTCGCCGAAACATGTAACACACACGTTGACGAAAGTTACTTTTGGAACTGATAAAGGTAATGTAAAACCAGATATTTTATCACTTTTATGGTCAAACTTGAAAGTCTCTATTGATGTATGGTTTCAGTGAAGGAGAATGAAGAGAGAGAGAGAGGAGGGGAAAGTTGAAAACTGTATAATCTTTAATTTTTTAATAAATGTCCCCAAAATCTTAAAATGTTCGACACACTGCATAATAGAGTTCAAGAGCCTTAGCTACATTTACATGCTATGAGCTACACTTACCGTCTAAAACCGAAAGTTGCAGAGTTTTTCACCAACATTCCTACTCTGACTCCTATATTTGGCCTTATTGTGTTTGATTGTTGTTTGTGAAACAATTTAGTAATTTGACTATTGTAATTGTTTGCCAGGCAATCGAGATCGGAGTGAACAAAGTGATACAGCTGTATGAAACCAAGACATCTCGTCACTCTGTGATGATCGTAGGTAGGACCGGAGCAGCCAAGAGTGCTACATGGAAGGTACTGCAGGGCACCATGGGTAAACTCAAGGCTCAGGGAGTGCCTGGCTATGAGGCTGTCTCGGTGAGTAAAACTAATGGTGAAAATATTAATCACAATGATTTCGGTAGTTGACTCTGGTTGCTGTTTATTCTGTTAGTCGTTTTCTGATCGTAACATTTCAACATGTTGGCACTCAAACATTTCATTCATAAATGAGTTGTTATTTCAAGGTTTGATGGAAACTGTAATAAATATATATCTTTGTTGTGCTTTCTGATTTGATGAGTTCAAAATTTAGTTTACAAAAATTGTAAGCACCTACCAAGTGTCTGTCATCTAAATCAAACATTTGGGGATAAAGAATAACAAAGAGAGGGTTTTTTTATTGCTATGTTGATACTTGATAGTGTATTTTGGTTAAATAAGTTATGTTTGTAATATAGAATTCAGTAATGTTTTTTAAATAGTCCATAAAAAAGAAAGTATGAAAAATTAGGTTCCAACTAATGAAATAATGTGAAATGTGAAATGATACAGAAATGCAGTTTGTTGAAGGCAGGCTAATGACTCAAAATAAATTAACTTTCTTATCCAAAGTCTGTGATTTCTTGTATCATAACCTAAAAGTACTAACAGTGATGACACATTTTTTTTAAAGGTAAAAAATATAGATAGCTGGCAACAACAACAAAAATAATATCAAATCAAATCAAAGTGATTTGATTTGAATATAACATATAGTCCAATCTCCAATACAACATATGCGACTTGATTTCAGGAGTATCCAATAAATCCAAAAGCTCTTTCTCTAGGAGAACTTTATGGTGAATACAACTTGGCTACAAGTGAATGGTCAGATGGTGTTATATCTGCTATCATGAGGAAAACTTGTGCAGGTATTCAAAATTTAAATTATCGAATGTGCAATAGTCCTAGTGTCCTAGTTGTATACTTTTACCACTGTACCACTGTATGACCAACAAACTTAACGTTAGTTTTTGCAAAATATTTAACTACCTTTCTTAACTTTGTTGATTTGAGTTGAAATGCATATGCTTTCCTTAAATCATAATCTTATCGATTTACTAATTTTACACTTATAAAAAATATAGGCAAACAAAATAATCACTTAAAAATCATTTAGTAACTCTTCCAACTTGATGTCATGACAGACGAGAGCAGTGATGAGAAGTGGATACTGTTTGATGGACCGGTAGACGCAGTGTGGATTGAGAACATGAACAGTGTAATGGACGACAACAAAGTGCTCACACTGATCAACAGTGAGCGCATCACCATGCCCGAACAGGTACAACTTATAAATAATCTATATTGTAATAGTATTAGTAAGTGTAGAACGTTTTTCAACAATTTTAAAGTTGGTTTATTATTCTTACAACTCTGGTTCAATAACATACAAATATATAAATGCAGGCAAAACCATAATCAAAACACAATAATCAAATGTAACACTACAATAACATAGCTGTTTTCCAATCATTTATTGATGATTTGTCACTGAATGTCCCATCCACATCTCTGGCCAAAAGCAGTTTATTGTTTATTTGAATTTGAATCTAATTTTAGTCAAAAACGAGGCAATTCCAACATGGCATCATGCCTTGTAGTACGGGATGGAAACTTAGATTGGGATTTTAGATTGTCACTCAATTATCCAGGCTTATTGGCCGTAATAATTCTGTCACCACACTGACTTTGCAAAGAGTACAAACGTCAGACATGTGCAATAATTCTATTTTCAGTTGTGTACTTATTTCATTTTTGAGGTGTTGCCCTCCTGATTACTTAACAATTACTATCTTTTGGTTTTAGCGAATTTCCCATATAGGGAATAAGCTATTACCGTAGTACTCACGGTAAGACCTGGACCCGGGACCGATTTTTTTTTTTCGTTTTGAGGTCCCTAGAGGTCAAAAACACCATCCGTTCAAATTCATATATATATATATATTTATATATATATATATATATATATATTTATATATATATGTGTCCGTTAGCGCGATAACTCGAGCAAAAATGATCCGATTTTGATGAAATTTGGTACAAACGTGTAAACCTACGTTTATTCGAACGAGTTCGCGAACCAGCATGATCGGACCATGGGAACGGGGGTTTATGGGGGCTTTTATGGGGAAAAAATGGGTTTTTCCCATTTTTGACCCAAAAAACATAAAATTTTGCAATTTCTTTTGTAACTATTTTGTAGAGCTTAAAAAAACAAATAATTTAGTATATTGAAGCGTTATAATGCGCCTAATGGTTACGGAGAAAATTCCAAAAAATTGTAAATTTAAAATTCCCATGTTATTCTTATGGAGAATAAGTAAACTGTTGTAGTTTGCTTGTTTATAAACATATTTTGCCCAAATTTGGAAAATGTTTTTATTTCTTACTAACTATTAACATTTTACTTAAAAAACACTTTTACCCTCCCTGTTGCAGCAAACCTAAGTATGTTTTAAACTGATTCTATTTAAATAGGGAATAAATGTGATAATTTTAAGGAGACATTTTAGTGTAAATCCATTCAGGGAAATGGAAATTCGCTTAGTCTGCAGGTTTGCTGCGGCGGGGGTATTGTTGAAAAGCTATGGATTCAAAGGTTCATTTTAAAATTGAACTCTGTGTTTTGAATCTTTTCATCACTGGGTTGCAATGAGTCGTCATAACACTTACATACACATACAAACATGGAGACATGAAACAAAAAATTATTACGACTCTTCAAAACAGTGAAGTAATTATGTGTGTTGGACGGCAACATTTATTTAACAAGTTATTTAATTGACCTTTTGATGTTTGGTTTCCTGCATTGTTAAATAAAAGGCCTTTCAATTTGTAAACAGCTTATCTTAGGTTTAATTTTATGATATCTTGCCTCCTGGATGATGGTACTTCACAATTAATTTTTGATAGGTTAATTATCTCATATGTTTTAAAGACTTTATGACAACCTACTAGCAGCGATAATATTCCTTCGTAAGTCTTGACAATAGCATCTTAAGTGTGTTGAAACCGGTCGCCACTCAGACGACTAAGATTTCTCAGGCAACCAGGTATTTAAACTCTTGTTGTAGATCGTAGGATCCTATTACAGATTTTCTTGTCCATCCCTCAAAGGGGCAACTATTTGATGATGATACAAATATGTAGGTTACTGTCATCAGTAGTAATGTGTAAGGTTTGCTGTTATTCTCGGTGAGGTTCCAGACGTAGTCATCACTCTATGTTGTTTGAATGTCGTAGGTGTCTTTGTTGTTTGAAGTAGAAGATCTCGCTGTTGCTTCTCCGGCCACAGTCTCCCGTTGTGGAATGATCTTTAACGACTACAAGGACTTTGGCTGGGAGCCTTATGTCTCATCTTGGCTGAACTCTTGCGCAAATAAAGTCTATGTAACTACTGTAAGTTAAATAAAAAACATTTAAGGGTTGTTAATTTTAAGATAGTTTAATTCTATTGAGAAATTCAAAATATTTGGATGACTTAAACACTTAAAGTGTTCTTTAAGCATTAAAACAAACCGAAAATTTGTATTCTTTTTTTAGAAGTGTGCTGTTTCTTTGAAAATATATAACAAAAGGAGTACTATGTATAAAAGTGCTTTTATGATGCTTTAAGCCAGCAAACCTAATTAAAGGAAATGTTGTACATGTTATTCTTGGTCAAGTAATGATTAAATGAACATTTTTATTGCAAGATTTTAACCATACAAAACAGAATAATTATCTTCCAATGACATTGATTTCACTTACACACACTTACACTTATCACGCACAGGTCATTGTGACCCATGTGATATTTTTTTATTTCCTTTATGTAATGCTGCAAAATAATTTGTTGTAAATATAGAATTTTTCTCTCTCTCTCTCTCTCTCTCTCTCTCTCACTTAAAATTGAGAATGAGTAGTCTGAAAAGCCCTAAGTGTGTCCTGAAACCAAATAACTTCTTACGGTTTCAAAATTATGTTTGTATCTTAAATTGTGAAACTAAATAATATTGCACCTAAATGTAATTGAAATGCCTTAGACGCTCTTAATCTTTAGTCAAGAAATATCAGAAAAATTGAAATACTATATAATATACATACAAAGAAAATTGTGTAGAGAAACTACAAGTGTGTTTCACAGATGAGGAAGCACTTTGACATGTACGTGCAGCCGATGTTGGACTTTGTAAGGGTGCATTGTGACCAAGTAGTGCCGATACCCGAGCTGAGTGCCGTAGCATCCCTGTGTAAACTGCTGTCTGTTCTCACCACGGAACAGAATGGCTTTGTGAAAGAACCTACGGACATACCCGCTTATGAGTTTTACTCCAAACTGTGGTTCTTATTTTGGTGAGAAGTGACGCAGTTAATTATCTTGTAGTCAATTAAGAATCAAGAATCAAGAATTTATTGCAACAAATTACAAAAAGAACATTTTGTATAGTTGAAGTCAATATGAGAGTAACTTAGGCTAAGAAGTCTCAGTAATCTGCAAGGATAAAATGTCCAGTGGTTAGCATATCAATTAGGGCCTATAACATTCAATAACTTAGGCTACAAATAATTTAAACATCAAAGTAAGTTACAGATTTAAGGCCTGTAGTTGCAAGGTAGGGCAGGTGGAAAATTGGATAGATTTAGTCAGGGCTAGATTGGTGGGGGAACGGGGCGGAACAGAGTTCCAGTACATCTCATTTGGAAAGATAAAAATATTGCTTTAAATAGGTACCTAGTTAAATAGGTACTTATCACATTAAAAATGTTAGAGTTCCGGTACCTCATTTTTTACAAAAGTTAGCACTGGTTTTAGTTATTATTGTTCTCTCTGGAATAAAATGTACAGTAGACCCTCTCTAATCCGGCACTGCACCACTCCGGCACTCCAGTAATCCGGCGTCTTTTGACGGGAGGTCTTCCACGATCGCGGCAAAATTCTGTCGTCGTCATGCGCATTCGCGGCAAATTCATGAACATCGCCAGCAGACATATAGACGTTATCATCGCCTCCCGCGGTCACGGAAACGTCATCGTCGTCAAGCACAATCGCGGCAAAATCATAAACATCTCCCGCGGTCACGAAAACGTCATCGTCGTCATGCGCGATGGCGGCAAATTCACGATTATCTCCTGCGGACGTGTAGACGTTATCATCGCCTCCCGCGAATACGTAATTGTCATCATCGTCATGCCCGATCGTGGCAATAGCGGTTTCCGATCATGCGAACTTCGGAGACGTGCTTTAATTGCATTTTAAGTGTTTTTAATGATAACATTCCAGTAACCCGGCATTTTCACTTATCCGGCAGTATGGTGGTCCTATATCTGCCGGATTACTGAGAGTCTACTGTACTTGATTCGATTTTGAAATATTGAAAGCTCAAGTGGATGATGAAAAAAACCAAAATAGGAAAATCATTATCAATTATTTATATTTTTTTTTTATTTAGGTCTTATGCGTTTAGAGTAGAGCCTTTTACTACAAGGCAAATTGTGGGTTATATTATTATGGTTTTGCCACATGCTTGGTTGGGCCTTTACTTAATTGAACCTCCTTTTGGGTCTATGCTTGTATAAACAAATTGGATAAAGAATGTTTTTGGATTTTTTTTTTATAATTTTCACATCAAAGTGGGGTAAAGGTAAGCCATTAGGTAAGGTTTATAAAACTGTGATTTCTCAAAAACACATACACTCTCCTATGTTATCTGAAGTTATAAAGCTAGGATAGAGCTACTAATATAATATATTTTTAGTCCTAGGATGTGTTTTCAAAACTTATATTTTCTGTTTATTTGACTTGACGTAAGTACAACACAGTTAAAGCCTAGCTAGTCACTTGCATTCCAAGTGGGTAACCGAATTAAAACAATGTTTCTTACAATACTGATTGTTTTACAGTATGATCTGGTCCCTGTGTGCTGGAGTGAATGAAGCTGGTCGCAGAAAGGTGGACACATACATACGTGAGTTGGAGGGAGTGTTCCCGCTGAAGGACACTGTGTACGAGTACTACGTAGATGTCAGATCTCAGTCATTCGTCAGCTGGGAGACAGATCTTCCTGCCAACTGGAAATACAATCCTGAGTGAGTAATTAGCTAAATGTTGCAGATTGTGAACACTGGATTTTATTTGCACAATCTCCTTTCTATTTTTCCTGCAGAATAATACATTCAAACTAAAACAAACAAATTGAATGTAAATTTGTTCACAAATCATGTTAAAAACGTATTAAGCTGTGTTATAAGGTTTTGGGCAGAGATCAAATCTCTTCTTTTTGAAAGCAGGCATGAATAAGACTTTGTTACTAGTATGGGGCTTGGGAGCAAGCTGGTCTAGTGAGTGCGAGATTTCGGTCCCCTAGGTCCTTGGTTCAAATCCCACCAATGGATTTTATCTAAGTGCTTATGTTGTAACCCTGTTAGTCCAGCCTAAAGTAATGCGTAGGATGTTAAGGTGTTAGGGGTTTTGTTGGTATCTCAACTTTATTTGTGTGCTCAGGTTACCGTTTTTCAAGATCCTAGTGCCGACACTGGACTCTGTGAGGTACGAGTATTTGACGTCCAAGTTGTTGACTGCCGGACACCCCGTGATGCTCACAGGCATCGTAGGCACAGGCAAGACATCCACTGCTCAGTCTGTACTGGCCAAGCTGGACTGTGACAGATACTCACTGCTGTCAATCAACATGTCTGCCCAGGTGAGATAGAGATCAGCTGGCTTACCTGAGGAAATTAGTATCCATGTCCAATAGTTACTACGAACCCCAAACATATTCTCTGAAGTAGTCCTATATCATGACAAATTATTAGTGTTATGTTTGTAGCCTTTTGTTGTGTATTTATCAGACTCTGAACTCTTAACTCAGATAAGCAAGCTGAACATTATCCCTTGAAAAAAACTCTGTCACTTAGCTTTCCTTTATAATATAATTGACTTAATAGTACGGAGTATAGATATTTCTATCAGTGTTATTAAGATTAAACTGTAAAAATATACAAATTTAAAGTGTTTTGAAATTGGTTGGTAATACTTTTCAATGTTTATTTTTTAGTGCAATATTTTACGTACATACATCCAGTATTTCCTTCCCCCTAGGGTTGTTCCCAGGTCTGGCTGTCAGCTACGTCTCTTCATTTCCTCATCCCTTTAAAGTTTTTTTCTACCACTCCTTTCCATTTTTTATTGTTGTGGAACTAGAATAATGGTATGGTCTGTCCCAAACATGTAGTTATAGAATGTTTATTCACACTGCACAATTTCTCCAAAAAATGGTAAAAATGGTAGAGAATCACTTATTTCTGATTTAACCTCATCCATTCACTTTTTTCTAGTTCATCTCTCTTTCCTTTTCTCTACTGCCAGTAACTCAATTTTTCTAACAATTCTCTCCTAGTCATTCTCTCTATCACATTCTTCTCACATGTCAAAATGTTCTACTCTCTCTCTTTTCCCCTAAGCTTTCTTTAATTACTTCTCTTTTTATTTCTAACCCTACCCCACCTTGTTTTATTGTTTATAGTGTGGTATTGTCTTGAATTAGAAATTATCACAGTTTTTTTCCACAGACGACTTCAGTCAATGTACAAGATTTTATTGAAAGTCGAGTTGAGAAAAGAACAAAAGGAGTTTACGTCCCTTTTGGAGGTAGGTACAGTCATAATGGAACCTGTTTCCTCTCCCTCTTGTCTATCTGAGGACTGGCCAGGATGGTGTAAGGCCCGGGACCAGTCCCAGATAGACAAGGGTTAGGAGACAGGGTCCTTCATGCAGACAATGAAAATTAACTGCATATATTTTTCAACAAGCATTTTCAGTTAATTAAGACAACAACAATCAACAAATTAAGACAGTAACAAACAGGCTACAAGTTTGTGCAGCAAAGATTTTCTATTTAAAAGATTTTTTACCATTAACACACAATGAAAATCATGTATTCAGGAATATGTGAATCAGTGATTAGATATGGCTTAGGGCCGGTACACACACACCGACTTTTGTCGTGCCCCTGTACGACTCAAGAAATCGTATATCTGCACGACAAGTAGAGAAACAAAGCAGGCAATGGAAGTCGCATGGGGGTGTACACACTAGTGCGACATCAGTCGTGGAGGTGTCAAAGTCGTGGACGACAAATTTTGAGTTGCGCCCTACACCGACTGGGGGTCCGTCAGGAAAGTCGTGTCGTATGGGCTCACGACCGTTTTGAGTCATAGCGGGACATGGCGTTATAGGGCTGTTGCGTCGGTGTATACACACTAGTACGTCTCGGGACACGACTGTGGGGCGCCACGCTGGTTTTTTAGCTATTTAAAACTGGTCTAAGAACACTTAATTATTAAATTACAAACGTTCAAAACCCAACTTTTTGCTATTTTAGACGTTTTCAAGATGTTATTATGGCAACGGTTGTGAGAGGTTAAGTCAAGTATTATTAAATTAATGTAGGCTACTTCAAAATAAGTGAATGATTGTATTTTTTCATACTGTTCAACATTAAACAACGTCTTTGTTGATTTTTAACCATAGGTGATGCATTAAATGGGGTATTATAAATTTTGACAGTACAGCCGGATAGTCCGGCCATTTTCTAGTCCGGCCGGTGGTCCAGTCGTGAGGTGGCCAAACTCTAGAGAGAGTCTACCGTATGTACATTTCAAAAATAACTTATTGTAATGGTAACTTATTGTAAAGGGCAACAAAAATTAACCAAAATTAACATTACCTTAACTGATAACACATATAATTAGACAAATTAAGGATGTATAATGAAATGTACATAAATGGCATTACATAAATTCTTGTTTATTTTTGCAAAGTGTTTCAAAACAAGTTTTTTTACATAGCAACGACTAAACTTTCCATACACATTCATTCTGTTTATACATGAGTGTATGCCTGTATGCCTGGGTTAGCTGGGTTAGTAGTCCTAAAGCCAGTAGAGTTTGCTGAGTGGTATACCGATACAACTGTCGTGAGGTAACACGACTTTGTCGTATGCCAGCACGACACGAACAGTCGTACTCACATGCGTCCAAGTCGGTGTGTGTGTACCGGCCCTTAAGATTATGGGGATCAGCATTACCCACAGCCAAAAATCAAATAATAACTATGCTAAATAGAATCATAAAAACTATGACTAAGCTTGACTCTACTGTTTTGTCAGAAAACCCTCTGCTCGGATATAGGATAGTTGAGGTATTACCAGTGGATATATTATTTGAGTATATAATTTTACTAGATTACTATTTCTCAAATGAATTTAAAATAAAAAATGACCATAGATACAATTCACGTAAACAGTTTTATATTGTCCTTAAGACCACAAACAAATTTTCAAAAAGAGTTAGAAAATGTCTAGTTCCAAAGTTTTTTAATAGATTGCCAACTGAAATAGAAAATATAACTAGTTTTAGAGTCTTGAAATCTAGGCTTAAGCATTGTTATCTCAATGAATCCATTTAAATATTGTTTATTAAATTACTTACTTGTCATATTATTGTTAAAGTTAAAATCATTTAATGCACGTTATTTATTTTAGTATTGTCATCTCAAGGGATCCATTAAAACTGGTTTAATATTGTTGTTATTATAAATTGTTTAGTTATTTATTATTTATTTAGTTATGTATTGTTGTAATGTTATATAAATTATTTCATTATATTATTGTTAAAGTTGAGAAGTATTTAATGCATGTTATTTATTGTTATATATTTTATTTATTTAAGATACCCTAATTGTTTCAAGTTGTTTTAAAGCAAGTTAAGTTTTTGATAGAAAGGTAGAGAATAAGTAAAAACAACAATGATAGCAGATCTTGACAAGAAACAAGGAAAACCTAAGTGTAATATGGAGAAGGACTGACCAAGGGACAAAGTTCATTGTTATCTAGAACAAGTTTATCTCTTTGAGCTGCAGACAAGCCAAATTTTTCTGGCTTTTGCAGCAAGTTTGTTTATAAAATGTTGTAAGATTTTGTAATTTTTCAAATAAAAAAAATAAAAAAGTAGTCCTTTGTTATAGTAAATATCCAAAACTGTTTATTTAGCAAGATATTTATAGATTTCTCGTTTTTCAAGGCAAGACTATGATCACTTACATGGATGATTTCAACATGCCAGCTAAAGAAACTTACGGATCTCAACCTCCTTTAGAGCTCATACGACAGTGGATAGATTACGGCTTTTGGTACGACCGTCAGAAACAAATTCAGAAATTCATTAAGGTATGATTGAAAAGAGTAAATAGATTTTTTTTTCTCAATTGCAAGAGAGAGAAGTAGGACATAATCATGGGTTTTCCCCATTGCCAAGCTCTGTTAAGATAAAAATAAATCTATCTTAAGGCTTGAAAGACCTATTTACTTCCAGTAGCTTTCTGGATCGGTAAATTGTTTGAAATTAATTTTGTTTGGTGCACAACTATGTCTTATGGTGGGTGGAAGCGATTTTGAAAATTTTTGTTTCAATGGCAAAAACATTTATTATTTTCAACTCTCCTCTCATATTATAATCCTTATCAGGTGTCTGTCCATATGGAGGGCAACAGGTAGGTCTTTTAGCTGACAAAAAGTCAGTTTTAGCTCATAAGTGTGTATTTTGAGGCAATACAATTGACAGTATTATTAATACTGAAGTAAATAAAATAAAAGAAGTCTTACTTTATTTATTTATACCAACCGGTTGTTGTGCCGCTTCTGTACTATCAACCTGACATTCCCTGCTGAGTCACATATTGTATCTACATAGATGATAGATCCACATCCTCATGTTCATAGGGCATGTTGCTGCTAGGGTCCATGGGCCCCCCAGGTGGTGGTAGAAACCAGATCACCAACCGGTTGTTGAGCCGCTCCTGTACTATCAACCTGATATTCCCTGCTGAGTCACATATTGTATCTACATAAATGATAGATCCACATCCTCATGTTCATAGGGCATGTTGCTGCTAGGGTCCATGGGCCCCCCAGGTGGTGGTAGAAACCAGATCACCAACCGGTTGTTGAGCCGCTCCTGTACTATCAACCAGACATTCCCTGCTGAGTCACATATTGTATCTACATAAATGATAGATCCACATCCTCATGTTCATAGGGCATGTTGCTGCTAGGGTCCATGGGCCCCCCAGGTGGTGGTAGAAACCAGATCACCAACCGGTTGTTGAGCCGCTTCTGTACAGTCAACCTCACATTCCCTGCCGAGTCACAGATTGTTCGCATCTACGGCACAATGCTCAGTCAACATCTTCAGTTTTTTGATGAGCTCGTCAAACACTCATGTATGTGGAACTCGTACCAAACAACTTGTTACTGGTAACTTACATGTCTTAAGGTATGATCACTCTTGTTTTACCAGTTTTCAAAATGTAAAAAGATTAATAATTGCTGTTAAATAAGAATACCTTGTTGTGGTGGTCAGAGTTTCCTTAAGCTGTACAATATTATGACCACCTACCTCTACCTAGAGACAGAAGATGGTAGGTACCTCAGTGTAACCTTAAATTACCTTAAGGCTAGGGTTAATAATACTCCCTATTTATTGTGTGCTGTGCTCTGGCTGTCCAATGAAACTCATTCTTCCAACACACTAATATTTGTCCTCTATCACACCAGTGTGGTGCGGACTGGCTCGGAAGGCCCTTTCACACTAGCTGTCCGGATCCAGGCGTTTCCAGAGTGAAACTTTGTGAATTTTGGATGTGTTTGAGATTGAAATGAATTAAAAGAAAAGTGGCTCTCTATGCTTTACTTGTTGTATCGGAAAGAATGTAAGTACCCCCGTGATAACGTTATGTGTATATATATTATATATTTATAACGTTAACAGCTTCATCCAATAAAGGACGGGCTTGCACCGCACTGGTGTGAAAGCAGTCTTCTGTAGGTCAGCATAGCATAGTTTTCTAACACTTCCAGCCTGCTCGCAAAATACTTCCTCTTTACTTTTAAATAGGAAAGAGCTATCATTAGGTCTGGCAAGGAGAACTTGTAAATGTTAACTCTATTGACAAGACTACCCTATTAAAAACAATTTATTATATTTTCAATCCGCAGGTGATGAGCTAACCCTGATGACTATTGATCTTTACAACAACGTAGTACACAAGATGCTGCCAACCCCTGCCAAGATGCACTATCTGTTCAACCTCCGAGACATCTCAAAGGCAAGTGTCACCCTTATAGTTATTTGACAGAGATTATCAAATATTTTCACTATTAAGGTTGTAATTTGATGGGCCCGATAGTTTTTTTTTTGTTTTTTTTATATTTTGGGCTTGGACAAAACCTAGAAAGACAGAAAGGATCAAAACTTGAGCTGACTTTGATCAGAACTATAACATCCACTATACCGCCCATTTTTGGACTGTATCAACTATTTTTGGAGTAAATCTTGGACTATTTGAACAAGTATACACTGTAAACAAGTAAAGCCAAATCGCGAATGCATTTTAAGGCCCCATTAACTACCCTTGAAGACATTTATTCTGGTTCTGTTTTAGTTTTAACCAAATGTGATATATTTGGTGATAAAACTACAGTTCTGCCATCATTATATTTTTTTTCTAGATGCAAGTATTGCATTTAGGTTTGTACATACATGAATATGTTTTGGCAAATCAAATAAATAAACCCAGGTTTTTATTTCAGTTAAATGTATATGATTTTTGTATCCTTTCTTTAACGAGCTGCCAGAGACAATGAATATAAAAAATTCCATCAGTACAATCACAGAGAAGTAAGATACAGAGGATAAAAGCTTATGGAAAAACCGTCCGGTTTTAGCTCTGGTATGGTGGGGCAGAAATGTATTTGCGCCAAGCAAGGAATAGCCCGAACGACAATGGCCACATAGCATTTTTGTACTGCAGTTATAGTCCACAGGAACTTCCTACAGGGTGAGGAGGAAAGAGAGCGGAAGGGGACGACAAATAGAATTTGCTCTAGACACCAGCGACTGGTGCTAGACACCACTTAAGTGTACCATTGAATGAATCCTCTTTATCTTCTCTGTGACACAATGTACAAATAGAGTCCCGCAAACTCGGCACTCGATAACCCGGCAGTCTGGATAACTCGGCCATCACCTGGCTCAGACAATTAGTGATTTTTTGAGTCCGAGTTAAACATGGGCTCAAGTCAAAGCATTTGCAACTCGTACCAAGGATTTGTTGTACTATATATGACAACTTAATTCCTACTTATAAAATAAATGTAAATAAATAAGGCAGCTAAAAGGAATAAAAATGGCATTGTTCTTATTTTTAACTCTAGTTCCCGATAGCCCGGCATTTCACAAACTCGGCACCCTTCCAGTCCACATTACGCCGAGTTTGCGGGACTCTACTGTACTTGTGTTAGTTTATCTTAGAATGAAATATAAAAATAAAACTAAATAATCCCATATTCAAAAAGTTAAAAACTAGATGCTAACCTACCGAACTACTGAAATCCATTTTTGCTCATTACATCAAGAGCACATGGTCCAGAAAATCAGTTTAGTCACTTTATTGTTTTGTAAAAACATAAAAAGTAAATAGATGATGCTCCACGACTTTTTGTTTAGCCATCAAGTTGTTATCTGTTTGCAGATTTTCCAAGGACTGTTACGTAGTAACAAAGAGAACATCAACACCAAAGTATCATTTTTCCGTCTCTGGATTCATGAGTGTTTCAGAGTCTTCAGCGATCGATTGATTGATGAAAGGTAATATTGTTGTTCCGTCAAGTGTCTTTGTTTCATCTAGTAATTTAAATGTCTTTGTATTTAACATCCCATCATATGACCATTATCCATTGTTGGATTCATTCGTCTAGAATCACCGCACATAACAACATACTCATTTTCTTCTCTTAATAAATTATTCTCTTTTGTACCAAAACCTCGATTTTTTCCTCTAATAGTATAATTATACCGCACATTTTTGGTCCTATCGAGCCGCGGATTATACATTAGTGCGACTTTTTTCAAGTTAATTTAAATGTCTCGGTTGAACGTATTTCATCCAACGTGAAGCCGCCAAGGACAAAACCGCATCGCCATTTTGAACTTTTCATCTACGTCACGATACAGTCCACACTCTCCTCTCATTCCAAGTGTTCAACATCGTCATCGTTCTGCTAGTTCCGCTCCGCATTCTCATCTCGACTCGACTTCATTTCGTCTACATCGCATCGCAACGTCAAACGTCAAGAAAATCAAAAATAAGGTTATGTTTGTACTTCGAAGACAACGCACCGCATCTCATCGTAAGTTATCAAAATAAAGCATTACCAACATGAAAATAATAAAGAAACCCTAATTTTATTCCTCAGTCTTCGTCCTCATCCTCTAATTACTCCATCCGATTTTAATATCTCTGCTACTAAACTCATTGAACGACCTAGGCCTAACTTTCAAAATGAGATTTTCAACATTTTCTAATAGATGCAAATTGCAATTAAATAAATTAAATTCGATCAGTGAGTATATCCAATCGTGTCCATCAGAAATAACAGAAGCTCAAACCACTAAACTTAACCTTTATTTGCAAGAAGCTAAAACAATTTCTGCCAATTTTGAAGCTAACCTTGATAAGCTTCTTGATGTTGATGACAATACTAACGTTTTTTCTGACAATGAAGAAGCTATTTCAAAGCTCCAGAACGACATATCAGAACTCTCAATTAACATTCAAACTGAAATTTCTCTTTTAATTCAGAACTTTAATGATGAACACTTGTCAAATAACTCTGTAGCATCAAACCCAACCTCTAGGCCTACTCATAGCGTTGTAAAATTGCCCAAGCTAGAACTGAAGTCCTTCAATGGTGACACTAAAACATGGATATCCTACATTAACCTTTTTGATACTACTATCCACAACAACAGTAGCTTATCCCTTGTTGAAAAACACCAGTACTTGATAAGTTCACTTGAAGGCGAAGCCTTACACCTAATCAAATCCCTACCAATCTCGTCTGGCAACTATACAGTAGCCTATAATGCCTTACGGGAAAGATATCACTCGAAGCGTAGGCTAATCTCTGTCCACCTCAGTAAAATTGTCGATTTGCCCAATATTACTGACAAATCCATCAAAAACCTCAGATCATTTTTAAATGAGTTCAACGAAAATGAACAAGCTCTTAGTGTTCTTGACTATAATGTCATGGAAGACAACTACCTACTAAGTATGTTGATCTTACGAAAAATGAACTCCAACCTCTGTCAAGTTTTCGAATCAAAACGCCTAAATTCTTCTGATTTTCCTCAAGCAAGTGAATTAATCAAATTTCTTAAAGACTTTTGTAACAACAGTGAAGATGCCTCTCTCTGTCACGCTCCACAAGTAGCTCCTCTAAAACTTTCCAACCCTAATCAAGTTTCATTTCAAAATGATAAATCTTTTCAACGTCGACCTTTGGCTTTTGTAAGCACTTCAAATGATCTCAAATGTTTTTGCTGCAATGAAAGTCACAATGTATATAGTTGTACATTATTTCAGAGTAAAACCCCTCAAGAAAGGTTGCAAATGGTACATGACTTAAAACGGTGTTAAAAATTGCCTCGGCAATCATTTGGTTAAGCAGTGTATGTCTAAGCGTACTTGTAAGACTTGTTCAAAACCTCATCACTCACTTTTGCATTTTTTGAAACCTAAACCTACTACTGGTAAGCCTATTACTAAAGTCAGAAATCGTTCTAATGAAGAACAACATATAGGCCTAAGTGAACCTGATGAAGTTTTATACCCTCAAAGTGCAACATCCATGGTTTGCGAAAGTGATAAATTCTCCCAATGCAACTCCACAGTACTTCTAGCCACGACTCTTGTCAAGGTTAAGTCTCCCTCCGGACACGCACATTTTTGGTCCTGTTCCGTCAAGTGTCTTTGTTTCATCTAGTAATTTAAATGTCTTTGTATTTAACATCCCATCATATGACCATTATCCATTGTTGGATTCATTCGTCTAGAATCACCGCACATAACAACATACTCATTTTTTTCTCTTAATAAATTATTCTCTTTTGTACCAAAACCTCGATTTTTTCCTCTAATAGTATAATTATACCGCACAATTGTTGTTCATATTATTTTGTAAAGTATGCTTTATTTCACTTTTAGGGCGTGTTTCAATTTCTCTCTAGTTCAAAACTAAATGCAGCAAAAAAGTCACCACTATTCAAATCACGCAAGATTACCATGAAGATTAAATTCAGTTCATGTTGCAAAAGAAGATTACTAGTTGAAGTTTCAGACTCTACTACCATACCAATTTTTGTACCCTTTCGTTTTGTAATATAAAATACTAGGTGAACCCGTGCGAATTTGCTTGAATAATAAATTAGGATATTATAGCAACGTCGTTAGAAGTTGCGTCGTTGTATCGGCGTTGGTCTTGAGATCGATCGTTGGCTATATGCATTCTAAGTTCTTTTTGCTGTTCAATAGGAGTATTTTGCAGGACAGAGCTCATCATGCTGAAAACTTGCGCGTATGGATTAATATCAACCAAATGTTGAGTCAAAATGTGCATGAGCTCAGTGCTGCAAGAGCCATTAGCTTTGTTTGGCATTCTTTATTGAACAGCGGTTTCGACGTCCCTACGGACGTCGAAACCGCTGTTACATGCTGTGTGGGGAGCATCCCACGTATGCCCAAATTTATATCTACATATAAATTTGGGCATACGTGGGATGCTCCCCTTCTGACAGTTGAAAGGTGGCAATTGGGTGATAAATTGTGTCGTGCACCTTATACATGAAAGGCCCTCCACTGTTATGTTCTTCAATTTTAGCTCGAGTGCTGACCATTGCGAGCGCAGAGTTGTACGATCTAATGTTCTCTTTGTAATTTCTGCTCAAATGATTTGCTCCATTAAGTAGGCTCTGGATATAATATATTTCTCGGTATGGTGGTAGATTCACTTTTCCTTTATGGCAGCAGGATGAAAATCCTTCGCCTCGTCCTCTTTGTTCTTCTTTAAAATGTAGCGCACCACATTTCTGACATTTTAATGCCATCTCGCCAAGTGAATGCTGCTGAATTCTTGTATTTGTCAGTGTAATTTTGTAAGTACACGTTGCCACTAACTGTTCCAGCTCCTCGTCTGGGCTCCTTACGTTTTGCACTGCTTGCCATATGTTGACGACTCGCCGTGTCCGACCGGCAGTATTTCTTTGTCCTCGGGTGGCATGTTTAAACAAAAATATAATGTAAAACCTTTCTCCCGTCATGTCCTATGGGTAACATTTCTTTGCCGGGTTTCTAATTATTTTTAAAAACATGCAAACTGTTTACATTTAAAAACCAAACAAAACAGCTGGGATTTAATATTTTTAAACTAATGTATTGAGAGATGTCAATATTCAGAATATAATAACATTCAAATCAATCAATCAATTATTTAAGATGGGGACGCCACTATGTGCGTATTTTAACCCAAATATGAGCGAAGGATGAGTCACAATGTTATCCTTATGGAAGGAACTTTGAGGGCAGCCCACGCCCTTAAAAAGATATATTTCGAAAATCTAAAGCCAGTATGCACATCTAGAAACCTAGACGAACATTTTGGTATATAATATGTGGGGTTAAATCTTAAAACATAAAAGCCTTATTGTTCACAAAGTTTATGTTTGATTAATCAATTGGCTTGAATTTAATACTTACTTACTACTTACTGCTGTGGCCACTGGTACCCTAGATGGTACTTGGCCTCCCCAACACACTGCCTCCATAGGTCTCTGCTTCTTGCATCTTCCTTCCTTCTCCCTAGCTTCCTCAGGTCTTTCTCCACTTGGTCGAACCATCTAAGTTTCGGTCTTCCAAGAGGTCTTCTACCTTCTGGGTTATTCCTCAAGATGTTCTTTGATAGGGAGTTGTCATCTTTTCTTAGAATATGCCCTGCCCATCTCAGTCTTCTGCTCCGTACCTCAGCGACAATATCCGGATCCTTAAATAATTCTCTTAGTTCCCAATTATGTCTCGATCTCCATTGTCCATCCTCAAAAATCGGTCCGTACACTTTCCTCAAAATCTTGTTCTCAAATACAATAGCTTTCCTTTCTGATTTCTTGCTTAAGATCCAATTTTCTGAACCATACAGGAGAACTGGTCTGATGATTGTCTTATAAATCCTGAGTTTGGTGGTGTGGGATATTATTTTTGAAGTTAGTAACTTGTGACAGGCCGAAAAACTTTTTTGTGCTAGGTTTAATCTATTTTGTATTTCTAGCTCTTCATCATTATCGTTAGTGAGGATGACTCCCAAATACTTGAAATTTGTTACTATCTTAAATTTATACTCTTCAATTTCAATGTAGTTGTTATTTTGGTATCTTGGTTGGTCATCATCTTGTTTTCTTCCACATGTCATAAACTTGGTTTTCTCTTCATTTATGTATAGCCCCATTTTTCTTGTATGTTCAATAAGCATTTTTGTTACATCTTTCATTTCTTCTATATTATGTGTAATTAATACTATGTCATCTGCAAAAGCTAGCAAGTTTATGTTTGTTCCTATCTTAATCCCTACTTCTGTCTTTCTTATCTCCTGAAGGGCTGTTTCTATGGCTAAATTGAACAGCAATGGACATACCCCGTCTCCCTGCCTCACACCCGTGTTCACCTCAAAGTCTTCCGATACGTCTCCATTTACTCTAATTTTGCACTTAGAACCTAAAACACTCAATTTTGCTAGTTCGATAAGTTTTTTTGGTATACCTAGATGCTCCATGTTTATCCACAACTTCTTTCTATTTATGGAGTCATAAGCCTTTGAAAAATCAATGAAGAGGCAACAGAATGATTTGTTGAATTCATAATACATGAATTTAATAGTGATATTATTTCAGAGATCGAGATTGGTTCAAAAATGAAATAAATAATCAGCTTGGCAAACATTTTGATACAACGTTTAGCAACATATGTCCGTCTAAGTCCTCCCCTGTATTTTGTGAGTATTTTCCTAACTACAAGTAGCGTTACTGTTAAATTTCAGTTTTCTCACCAACACTAATAACATCAAGACAACCTATTATTTTGTATCAAACCAAATCATCTTTATTCAATCTGTACATACATACATGAATATAGTCACAGAAACAAAAAAAAAAAACACAAACAAGTACATTATATTTATTCAACTTAGTCATTAAAAAAATACAAATTGTATTGATGCAATCAACTTTTTGCTGCACAAGCTCATGTTTTGACCATTAAAGTGTACAAGTAATAAAGATGGCTGTTCAATGTGAGCTTTCATCAGCCCTGACAACTGTTATTGTGGTTGTGACTCCACACAAACTAGGTCTTATAATCCTGACCTCAATCATGACTGTCAAAGGAAGAGTATTGTCAATAACTATTTACTGTATTTTTTACTCTTTCAATTTTTCTTTTTATTTCACTTCAAATATTAAAAAATATATTTTTAGGTGAATCAAAACAGAGTATTAAGCTAAACAAAACAGACGTGTTACATAGTTCAAATACATTCCAGGTGACTTCATGAACCAGTACGGTTTGTATGAGGACGTTCCGGATATGAACGTACTCCGGACATTTATTGAGAAGCAGATGAAGGAGTACAACGCCTCGCCCGGAGTGGTCCGGCTAGATCTGGTGCTGTTCAGGGATGCCGTGGAACACATCTGTCGCATTGTCCGAGTCATATCACAACCCAGGGGCAACGTACTGCTGGTCGGAATGGGTGAGGAACAGAAACAGATACAGAAGTGTCATGGAATTATACACTGTAATATATGTATATTAATTTAAATTAGTGTAACTTAGGGAGTTGGTGAGCTTGTTTTATTCAATCTCATACCAGATAGAAATGTTATTGCATCTCATAGACTTTGGTAAGCTGGTAGCTCAGTCGGTAGCAGGACAAACTTCAGATCCATGGTAACAGTTTTGTGAGTTTGGATCCTGGCACCTGGAGATTTGATTGTCTCTCATAGAAATGGTTGTTGTAGGAGGAAGTGGTAGACAGTCGCTGGCTCGCCTGGCTGCTTGGTTGGCTCAGTTAACCACCTACCAGGTGGAGATCACCAAGAACTATCGCACAGCTGAGTTCAAGGAGGATCTGAAGAGTTTGTATCACGCCACTGGAGTCAGAGACGCTCCTACATCGTTTCTCTTCAATGACACCCAGGTACACTATTGTGTATGCATTTCAGCCAGCTAGAAACATTTAATGTTTTATAATAATTCTTTTATAAAATATTGTTGTTATGTCTACTTTTTTGTTAGGTACCAAACATTGTAATTAACCAAATTTTTATAAAAAGATTTTAAGTTTTGCTCTTAGTTGTTAAATTAAGATACAGTAGAGTCCTGATAGTCCGAAATGGTTGGGACCGGACCCATTTCGGAATACCAAATATTTCGGATTAAAATTTTTTTGTTTTTTTTAGATTTTAAAGAATATTTTTTTTTTATCTTTTGTGTTAGGACGCTAGGCACGAGCTCGGGATTTATTTCACATTACTTTATTCTAGACCTAGGGGTTGCAGCATTACCACTTAAATAAAATCCATTGGTGATTTGGCAGGTAAACAAATGAAAAATTTTATGAAATGTGGCGAAATATTTACTAAAATACTCTAAAAAACAAGTGTATCTCGCCCGGCCGCTACAGAATACTTTGACGAGGTACAGCTAACTGTGTTAAAAGTTTAGCAAAAAGTTTTTTTAATTTTCAAAATTTTAGTCCTAATTTTTTTACAAAAAAATTTTTTTTATAATTTTTGGTTTTGGATTAAGCAGACTTCCGGATTACCGAAGTTCGGATTATCGTGTATGCACTGTATGCACTATATATCTTGCTGAAGAGATTTTTTCTCTAGTATTGAAATATTTTGATTTAGGCCTATAAATAATCGAGGTTACATTTCAGATTGCGGAAGAAAGTTTCTTGGAAATCATCAACAACGTTTTGAGTAGTGGAGAAATTGCTAACTTGTTTAAAAATGAAGAGTTTGATGAGGTTCGTAACCATTCATAATTCTATAATACTACTTAGCCATTTTTTATAGAAAAAGTCACTCTTATAAACTTTAGCTTTACTAGTACAGTAGTTTTTTGCTGGTTTGTTGCATCAGGAAATTGGTGAGCTCATGGGATAACATTTACCAAACTTTTGTATCTTCCACAGATATTATTGTGGAAAACATAATTCATAATGAGATATAATGTATAGTATAATATTACTAAAATAAACTACCCAATTGACATGTTTATCAATACAAATGTTGGTCAAAAATTTGGTTTTTTGAAAATTTTTTATATATATATTGTCAAATCTTCTGCCTTTTAAAATTATAGTATATAGTGTAAAAACATAAAAATCTGGTCATTTACACAGCGCACAAGTATATTCTACTCTTAAGATCAGCAGTTGCGTTTAGTCAAATATAAGTTTTGAATTTCCAGATACGTAATACACTAAACGATATTGCCAAGAAGCAAGGTATTGTGCCGACAGCTGAATCCATTTACAGCTTTTTTATTGAAAGAGTCAGATCCAATCTACACATTGTACTCTGTATGAGTCCAATTGGAGATGCTTTCAGGTTAGATTATTTTCATCACACTTATTTAACAATTTGAAATAATAGTAGTGTTTTGCTCCAGATGTAATGGTTTCTGTTAATAAACATATTAGAAAGGTGAATTCCTTTAAATCTTTCTCAGCCCTTCTTAGATGGCCCAAATGGCCTAGGGCGGGCAACAATTATTTCTAAAATGAAAAATATTTATTTTAGTTTCTTTAAAATTAAACAGGTTATAAATATAGTTAAAAAAGTGATAATGTTATTTATTGCCTTGGAGAAGATTTTTCTTGAAAAAGTATATCACAGGCCTATGGTTTAGTTGTACTTTTTGCAAAAGAAAGATTTTCGTATAAAAAGGTGAAGTGTTTAGCATGGAACTTACAAGGACTCAGCACTTAGCAGCACATGGCAGGAAAGTAGAGCCATAACGTGAATAAGCTGATTATTGTACATACACGTCTGTTATCTGTGGAAATATCCACTTCCTGTACGTAAATTGTACAAGCATTACGCAGATGGATATATCCTCAACTAATTGAGTATTTTTTCTACTACTTGGTTAGCCTGAAAATAAATCTTTATGTTCAAAACCTTGTTTGTCAATCAAAACTGGATCTATTTAATGTTTTTATTTGTATAAACGTGATCCAGAGGCTAAGAATTGTTCAAACATTATAAGTTTGGTTCTCTATTGTGCTTTACTGGCTCAGTACTTGCTTTGCTGGATCTATGATCCGAGCACAGCCCCGAGAATCGTGTGGTCAGGAAAATGTTAGTTTTAAGGAGAACCATCTTTAAAAACTGATACAAATAGAAGATTTTTCAATAAAACAATGTGACTTTGTGAAGGGTGCGACTGCGCCAGTACCCGGCCCTGATCAACTACATGACTATAGACTGGTTTGTGGAGTGGCCCAAAGAAGCATTGCTGGAGGTGGCCTCCAAGTTTCTGTTGGATGTAGACATGCTTGCCACCATCACTGGAGAGCCCAGGGTGAGAAACCTTATCATCAATTGTTGTAAAAGTTCTGTGTCTTCCCTTGATTTTTTTATTCCTTGTAGCTTAAAATAAATTATCTACTATCAGTGTCAGTTTGCCTTGGGTTAACTCAACTACATCCATATTGACTAAACAACTAGCCATACCTTCAACATGGGGATGGACTGTTTAGTTCTATCTACAGCCAAAGATATAACCGACTTATGAAACTAATACTTGGTTCAAAAACAGTGACTGAATGATCTTTAAAAATTTGATATTGAAAGATTTTGTCTTAGGAAATTGGGTATAGGATATTGGGGCGACAGTGAAAATTGTCCATTTCCCAATTATTTATCTTGCGTGCTATGAAAATACATGAGGACAGTATGTAATAAAGGATGTCTGAGTTACCAGCCTAATATGCTACCACTGAGTGACACTACCTTCAGTAAATTGAGCAAATAAAGCAAGTTGATAAAATATGTCTAAAATTGGAAGTATGTAGGTACCTCTTATGTTATACCTGGGACTAAGGCGTACCTTAGTATGAAGGCGCTTGAAATATACACAGATTCAGTTTCTAACAAGCGTAAATTGAAACTTAACATAATATCCATGATACAAACTTATCAATAAAGAACTTTTACATTTTTAGAACTGCGACATTGTGATATAAAGCTAAATTGTTTCTTTTTCTCTAGGAATATGATGAAAAGCAATATGTTGGTACTACAAAGCAGGTAAGACCAATCTATAGGTACTCAAAGAATAAAACAGTTAGTTGTTATATTTATCATATGTATGTTCTGCATTTTCTTATCAGTGATTAATTACTATTCAATTCAATTCAAAACATCTTTATTCATTAGTATATATTGTATATACAAGAATGGTGTCAAATTCATCATTACATAAAATATAAACACAAATAAAAGACAAATACAATACACAAGAACAAAACAACAAAACAATACAGTCATCTCTCAAGTAGGTATAAAACAAAAGTATACTTCAGTGAAAACAAAATATAGTTCAGTGAAACAGCAATAGGCCTAAAACATTTTAAGTCAATGCTGTTATTGCTTCACACAGAAATATTTGAATTTATTACAATTATTATTGAATTTATACTACTAATAACATGTGATGTAGGCTATCTTCTTTAAGAAACAAGGCATGTTACTTCTGATCATCTAATTATAAAAGTTTTTCCATCCATAACAAGTAGATCAAGCCTTCTGTAACAAAGTCATTTATTAACAGGCTTTAAAAACTACTTTATTTATAAAAGAGATAGAGAACTTTAAGGAAATACTGTAGTTAAAAACTCCAACCTCTTCTTTTTTAATGATTAACTACTTATTTTACTTCTAGCCATAAAGATAAACGTGTGTTGTGTTTAGTAACTAATATCAAACTCTACCCTTTGCAAATATAATTTGTTTTCCAACATTCTTTGTATTATAATTTCTAATTGTTGTGAGAAAGTTTGTATTGTGTGAAAGCCAATTTGTACAAATTTCAAGATAATTGGTAACAATTAAATGACAGTTTGTAAAAATATTAAAATGGTTTGTATAAATTTTTTTTTGGAGGCAGTTTGTAACGGGTTTAAATATATTCTGTAATAGTGCTAAGAAAGTTTGTAGTTGTCTTTAAGATTGTTCGGTACAGTCGTAAACAAGTTTGTGATGGGTAAAATGAAAGACAGAGGGTTGTAACAGTTGTAAGAAAGTTTGTAACAATTACAACCACAAGACAGATTATAACGGTTGATGACAGGAAGTCCAGCAACTGTCAGTCGCCCTGATTTTCTCCACCATCCATGACTCGGTGACCAAGTTCTCGCAGACAATGTTGATGGAGATGAAACGTCACAACTATGTCACTCCCACAAACTACCTGGAGCTGGTCACGGGCTACAAGCAGTAAGTTTGTAGTCAGAGAGAACACAATGTTTTTGTATTGCTTTCCCTTAAAAGTGTAATTCTCTTGTCCAACAAGTAATTTTTGATTTTCTGTTGGAATTGTTTCTCCAGAGGGGCTTTAAGGAACATCATTATTTTCTATGTTTTAATTCCATGTCGCAAAATGAGAAAATGAATCCTTTTACATAGTTGAACACATTATCTTGTATGTTTCAGTTAGTTAATGATGGAACAAAAGTTTGTCTCTTCCAATTATTAATATTTCTCTATAGAAAAAGTGGAATGGTTTAGAACAGTGATTCTAAAAAAAAACTTAGTTCTGTCCATATAGAAACATGTTAATTGTTTAAATCATTGACAAAGTATATTGCATATAGTAAAAAAAAGTGAATTAATTTCTGCATTGATGAGTATTGACCATATGATTTATAATGGAATGGAAATACTAACAAATTTACCAAATTTAGATATAGTGAAGCTACCAATTAGTAGAAATAGCAATTAATAAAAAATATCTTTACAGAATACTAGCTGATAAACGTGTTGAAGTGGCAAATGCTGCTAATAAGTTAAGAAATGGCCTCTTCAAAATCGACGAAACAAAAGTTAAAGTGCAAGAAATGTCTGTTGAGCTAGAAAAAGCTACAGTGCAAGGTTTGATTGAGTACTCGTGTGAAGCAATCATGAAATTTAGATTTTGAGTAGAACAGTAGAATTATTTTAAAACACCATAAGCTTAACCATTTTATCCGTGTAGGAACTTTGTTTGCACAGGAAGCACAGTTTTTTGTGTTTACCTTTTGGTTACATTGTAATTGTAGTCATAGCTTCGTGAAGTAGTTTTTATGAGTACTATGTATTTTCATTGTTTCTAAATTCTGTTTGTTATACAGTTCGAACAACGTGGTTATATCCAAGTCTGTAGTGGAAAGGTTGTGATTATGTTTCATATGGTGTATAATGTGTGGAACATAAGTAAAACAAGGATTATTCCAGTGCACTAAAGTAATATTTCTTTGGAGACTAGGATTTCCACTAATAGTTAATCCTCCAACCTATAATTTTTTTTTTTTTAATTTCTTGCTACTTAAGAAGAAACAGAGTTTTATCACTGTAATACCCTAACATATCAAATTTCACTAATTCTCAAATGACAAATTCTCAACAAAACACTCCTGTCATAGTGAACAAGATGAACGCAGAATGTGAAGAGTTTCTAACGAAGATAACAGCACAGAAGAAGGAGGCGGATGAGCAGCAGAAGTCGGTGGCGGCCACGACTGTGTTGATACGTGAGGAGGAAGCAGAGTGCCTCAAGATCAAGGACAGTGCTGAGGCTGACCTGCAGGAGGCGATGCCTGCGTTACAGGAGGCCATGGAGGTAAGTAATCAACCTTACTCCTTGTCATTTCAGAACCCAAACCACAAAAGTTCACAGGTTGATATTGAAATGGTGCTTAGCAAACCAGGATCACTTATAGAGTTAAGGTTTAAATATACCTGTCCCTCGGTGATCCAATTGTCATCTAAATGGCAACAGGTTTTAAGATTAAACTCTAATCATCAGGCTAATTGAAATTGTCACATCACAGTGACAACACACAGTGACAGAAAATTTAAAAAACAAACAGACACAAACTTTATACAACTGACCAGTACAAGACATTACGATGTATCAGGAGTATATGCATGTTTTCTGTTTGAGCTTGTGTGTTTACCAACGACCTCAACTAGAGTGAAGTGGCATATGAATTGTAGCCTGATGATGAGATTTTAATCTTGAAACTGGTCACTTTTTAGACAACTCTCGAAGGATTGGATGGTTACAGGTTGATATGTACTACCAAGTCAGGACAGAATCTTAATATTTATAAAAAAATCAATTTAAGACTGATACTGAACCTCAATCACATATTCATTTTCTACTTTCCAAAAGAAGTAGGCTTGAGAGGTTCAATCTCCAGTTTTTCTTGGAAGATTTGAGAAAGATCAAACTTCATATGCAGAGTACCTAAGATGAGAATTGACCGTGTGTCCAGTCCTTAGACACTGTTTTGCATCTACAACTATGTTTTTTTCAGGCACTGGAGGCCCTGAACAAGAAGGACATTACAGAGGTCCGCTCGTACGGACGACCTCCATCCAAGGTAGAGTTAGTGATGGAGGCTGTGATGATACTGAAGCAGGTGGAACCTACCTGGGCAGAGGCCAAGAGACAGCTGGGTGATGTCAACTTTCTCAACCAGGTGAGATCTTCAGGGTGGTTATGGACAAGGATTTTCAGGAAAAACAGGGAATTAATTCTGAGTGAACTTTTTAATTTCACCGAGAAAACCTAATTTAAGTGCTAACCTGCTGTTTTTCCTTCCGTAAACACTTATTGAACTCTGTTAGCATAGAAAAAACATTATGAACATATTCCGCGATCCCAGCCAAATCGAGAACATCTTCTGCAGTCACAGCAAAATCATGAATGTCTTGCTGGAACCAGGAAAAATGCATGATTTTTTGTCCATGTGATCTGTAGCCACCCTGGATCAGAGGTATGATTGTAGCTAGTCTTGTAACTGTTTACTTAGTTTTAAGAGATAAAAAAGGTGTTGAATTTGTATTTGTATCTATGAAATTTCATAATCACGTAATTTTTTCATGATGAACCAAGCATTCAATACAATGCTCATTTTTATCAATAAAAAGTTGACCTAGTATTTTGTTTCTTTTAACAAAAAAAAAGTAATAACAATGGGGGAATACAAAAAATTATCTGTTTACTTGGATAACCTAACCCGTCAGAAATGTTGTAAATACATTACAAAATACAACATTGTATCATTGTTTACCGTAATATGTTTTTTATCAAGCTGAGAGACTTTGACAAAGACCACATCTCAGAGAAGACACTGAAGAAGATTGCAGCTTACACTACTCATGAGGACTTCAAGCCTGAGATAGTGGGTGTGGTGTCTACTGCGGCAAAGTCCCTGTGCCAGTGGGTGCTGGCCATCGAGAAATATGCCAAGGTCTACAAGTTAGTGGCCTCTCTTTTCTTTTTGTCATTTCTTTGTTATTACCTTAGTATTGATGATGATACCAATGTCAGGGACCTGTGTGTTTTTTGTTTTTTGTTTTCAGGATCCCAAAAGCCAATTTTTGTGTGTGATTATTACTTAGAATGAACAAAAGCGTATGTTTATAGTACGTTTCTCAAGTAGTGAATGAATTTAAATATTCGAGACACAGTTTTCTCCATTGTTCTCAGTTACACAGGCTTTCAACGATCCCATGTTATACCAACTGTCAAGTTGATACTAAATAGCAACTAATTGGTATTGATGTGGTTATCACCAATCAGCGAGTCATGCATGGTTAACTTAATAATTGATAACCTTCATTGTATAAACTTTGACTTTTTTTACCATTATAGAACTATTGATGCGTTCCAGGGTAGTTGCTCCCAAGAAGGCAAGGCTAGATGAGGCAATGGCTTCTCTGAAAGCCAAGCAGAATGCTTTAGCCTCAGCTCAGGCCAAAGTGGCCGAACTACAGGCCATTCTAGACAAGCTGAAGGCTGACTTCGACGAGAAACTACTCGTCAAGGAGGAACTCCGGGAAAAGGTTAATTTGTTTGTAAAATAGTCTTTAAATTGTTTCATTGAAAAATAAGTGTAAAAATATCTTTGGCAATAGCAATTTGTTTATTTAATACTGTAAAAGACATATAAAAGTGAGAATGTGATCACACAAGAGTCAGGTACAGCCAGGTTAGCTGCCTAATTTCAGGGCCGCATTAAGGTTCATTGGAGCCCTGGGCAAACCCAAGAGCAGCACCCCCCTTTTTTTCATAGTGCTGGCGGGCGCCCCTAAACCACGGGCGCTCCTGGGCATATGCCCATTCTGCCCGTTTAAAAAAGCGGGCCTGCTTATTTGGCAATGGCTCTACTCTGAAAACATAGGCACTAAAACACTTACAGGACATTCACAATGCCGCAGCAGTCTCTGTTTATTTGAAATGTTTATCACAGGATGTAGATGATCAGCTGATTTCAGATTGACTAGTTTAGTACGCTTGTCAAGACATGCCCCCTCACATAAATTTGATGTAGATAAATCTGACTAAATGAACACTTAATTCCAGACAAAGCTAAATTAATACCACCTTCTCAGATATTATAGATTGTATTGTGATTTTCACCACAAATATTAAAATTAGAAGCTATGTGAATTATTTAAAAAAAGTGTACCCTAGCATATGTTTCTTTGTTTTGTTTTGTTGTCTTTTTTTACTGTCATCAAACTATATTTTTTATAACTTGAGAGATTTACTATTTTCATAGAGTTAAGCTAATGTTAAATTTAATATTCTTTTCCCCAGGCTGAGCTCCTGGCTTTAAAATTAGAAAGAGCTGGCCAGTTGGTGGGAGGGCTGTCTGGGGAAAGGTAAGGATTAGTCTAATAATACTGGCTTTATGTGTATAGCCTACATAATACAATAAGTGTTTTCTTAGTAACATCCCTTTTTCACCCTTGCTGCTTAACTAATTTTTTTGTTTGAGGTGTAATTTTAAAGCTTATGAAGCCGGGGGAAAATGGTAATAAAAAGAAAATTCCCTGAAGAGCTTCCCTCTTTAGACTTGGGGTTTTTTATATAGAGAACACTTTCAAAGTTCCAGCGTTGCTGAACAACGTTCTTTATAATGGTTTAAATGTAACTTGTAATTTAACATTTAATTAACTTCAGTTGGATTTTTAACCACAGTCAGATTGTAAATAAGGGACAAAACATTTCACATTTGTTGAAAATCAATTTTAAATTAGTAACAAAAATAAAGATACTAACCTGTCTTCAATCAATCCTATATTTGTGGTTGGTGACTAAAGCCTCGTTCACACGGGGCAAGGTTACAAGCTACTCGCCAGCATCTAAGAAGCCGGCGAGTTGGCGAGTGTGCTTGTATTCATTCACACGGAGATTGTCCACTCACCAACTCGCAGACGCGTAGAAAGACGCCGGCGAGTTGGCGAGTGCGCTTGTAGTCATTCACACGATGCTTTTTCCACTCGCTCAGTAGCTAGCTTGAACCAAATCCTCCGACATCTTTGAATAACATGCGCACAAGCACAAGCAACTGTGTTCACACTGGGCTACTTTACACGCCTACTCGCTCAAAAGCTGGCGAGTTGGCGTGTAAAGTAGCGGCAGCGTCAACTTTTTCCAGAGCTTTTTTACAAGCAGCTTTTGAGCGAGTACTTCGTTCACACTGAGCTATTTTACTAGCTGCGTGTAAAAAAGCCGGCGTGTAGTTTGTAAACTCGCCCCGTGTGAACAGGGCTTAATTTTGGGTTATTACCCCATTTTCAAATCCTTTTCTCGGCAATTGTCAAACATTGTCCTTCTTGCACTTGCCGTGTCCAAAATTGAATAGATGTAATTAGTAGGTTTGTTGTAACAATTTTTTTCTATGGTAATGTTTTTCTTAGATGATATTTTTTCTTAAATTAGTAGTAGTCTCTAAAAGGTACAAGGGTACTGCATTATCTTTTGTGGCTCGGTGACAAATTTTTAACCCTATTAAAATGCCTGATTCATGCCTCTGGGCCCCCTCGTATCAAGTTATTTGGTCATGTTTTACATTGTCCATGTATATAACTTAGTTTGTTAGCTGTGTTAGTTTTTTCCCCACTTGTATTTTTATGCAATGTTCAATGTCAGGACGAGATGGGAGGAGACTGTGGCTAGACTAGACCAACAGTTTGATTATCTGCCGGGCGATTGTCTGCTAGGTACTGCCTACATCTCATACATGGGGCCGTTTGTGTCTTTGTATCGCGAACAGCTGCTCAAAGTGTGGTCAGACGCGGTGTGTACCCAGCTTAGTCAAGTATTTAGTATATAGTTGCTACACTTGTAGTCTGCTAAAATGAATAAGTTAGAAGAGAGGAACTTGTTTGTTAAGGAGACACTGTTTCTGTTTCACAAACAGTTCTAGTCCAAAAAACAGGTCACAGTCAAACTAATCTGTAATTAGCTTTTAACAGATCTTTCTTTTAGTGAGAATGAAAACTTAAGTATAGATTGTTCAATTAATAATCAATTTTATGGTTCATGATTCTCTGTAATTGTTTATTTTGTGGTTGTGTGTAAACATATTCATTATATGAACACCCTGTCACCAAAAATATACTTTGTTTTGTCTACAAAACCTAAAATATGTTGATTGATGACCACCAAATATAGTTTTGCTAGTGAATAGTTTAAATAAAATAATGTTTCAATGTTGGCTTCTCACACAGGAATAGGAAATGCATACATTTTGAATACATATCAATATTTATAGTTAAGACTATAATGATTTTTTTTTCTGTATAGAATATTATTCTGTAAAAAAATACTAATACTAAGGTACTATATGTAAGGTTTCAAATGCATTTGGTATAAAACTTGATTGTAAACATGTTTCCCCTTTCAGCTGTAAAATCACAGAACATACTGATAAAAATTAAACCTTAACGGAAACAGATTTGTTTGGTTTTCTCTTTTCTCTTTATTTGTGAATTTCAAAATTTGTAGGTGGCAGAAACAGAAGTGCCTGTGTCTCCTGGGTTCAATGTGGTGGAGTTTCTGTCAGACCCGACGACGATACGAGAGTGGAACATCCAAGGACTACCGACCGACTCGTTCAGCACGGAGAACGGAATCATCATCAGTCGAGGCTCTCGTTGGCCGTTAATCATTGACCCTCAATGTCAGGCATGGAAGTGGATACGTAACATGGAGGGACCTAATGTGAGTTGAAGATTGTATACGGTGAATTGCTTGCAGGTATATCTTGCGAGAACTAAATATGAGACTAGTACAAGCTTTTTTAATTTCCGTGAATATCTTTTCAATAACCCCAAATGTTTTTGTTCATAGGAAATGGTTTTGCGGCAATTAGTGTCTCTCTCATATCAGTATGTAGTTCAGTTGTCACTTTCTTCTACAAAAAGTATTTTTATGTCATTTAGATTATGTGATTCATACTAACATTAAATCTGTCATTTGAATAAGACTCACCCTACAAGACAATTGTTTGACTTATCATTATTGGCTTTCTTTTGAGCTTAAAACTAACAAACATGATGATCTTGAAGGTATGACCCTCATAACTGATCGTTCTCAGCAGCGGGTATAGTAGCCTATAATTGCGGCAAAACATGTTTTTATCGCCGTGTGTTCACAGTATCCCTGAGAGTAAACTCGAGAAAACGTTGACTCCAATTTTTTTCTTATTATAACGTGTTTATTTTATTTCTTACAACGTACAACACGACTTGCATAAAAATAGTTTGAATATATATATATATATTTTTTAATATGGTGCAGTAGTTTTACATGTTTGGGTAAGAGCGGATTTTTCCATATATAAATGCGTCAATATTAGTATGACCAATATATATGCAATAGTAAAATTTTGTTTTTAAAATAAGTTGAATGAATATACACATTTAATCATATTTTCTTTCTTGTATATTTGAGCACTTTCGAATGGGAACAGTACAAATTTTGTTACAGTATTATACTGACCTAATCCCTTCTGTTGACAGAACCTACAATTGGTGGACTTTGGTACGACCGGGTACATGAAGGTAGTGGAAATGGCTCTACAGGGAGGTTGGCCAGTGTTGTTGCAGAATGTTATGGAAGTTTTGGACCCATCAGTAATGCCTATACTGAACAAAGCTATAGTCCAACAAGGTATTGTCATACAGCTTTCACATTTTTTGTTATTTTTCAAATAGAGTATTTTGGAGCATTTTTTGACAGTTTTTCATTGAAATTGGTGTTTAATTCATTTAATGCACTTATAACAATTAAATCTGGCAACAGATATCAGATATGACAGATGTCAAATTTTATAGATAGTAATCTTTTTGCTGAAGGAAGAAACTGTTGAATTAACCTATGACCAGTGATGATTCATCTTTGATTTGTTACAGCGGGAGAGTGGTTTATAAAGCTGGCTGATCGTACTGTCCCGTACAATCGCAACTTTCGCTTTTTCATCACGACCAAACTCAACAATCCCCACTATCCACCGGAGATCTCCACGAAAACCACACTGGTCAACTTTGCTATCAAAGAGGAAGGTTGGTGGATTCATTCATTTGTTAATCGCCATTTGTGATGGATAGGGAATAGGAAATGCTTCATGTACATCATAGCACTCATTTAATATGAATAGTATTGTTATTAGTGAATTTCTCGTATAGGGAATAAGCTATTATCGTAGGTCTCATGGTAAGACCTGGACGCAGAACCGATTTACTTTCTTGTTTTGATGTCCCCAGAGGCCAAAACCACTACCCGTTCAAATTCATTTATATATGTAGGTGTTTGTCAGTTAGCACAATAACTCGAGCAAAACGAATCCGATTTTGATTAAATTCAGTACGTAAACCTACATTAATTTGAATGAGTTTGCGAATCCCATGTTATTCTTATGAAGAATAAGTTAGCTGTGATAGTTTGCTTGTTTATGGATATATTTTAATCAAACTTGCCAAATTTATTTATTTTATACTATATAAGCTTTTAATATTTTCTCAAAAGCACACTTTTACCCTCCCTGTAGCAGCAAACCTAGGTACTCTTTAAAGGTAATGTTATTGAAATGGATTTAATTGAAAATCATATCATGCAAATAGAAATTCACTTAATCTGCAGTTTTGCTGCGACGGCGTTATTTTTTTCTTCGATAGTTAATGAAAAGTAAGATGCGAGTACTTGAGGAGAGCGAGAAATGTTCAATATATCACTCATCCAAACCAGGCATTCGATTCCTATGCCGTCAGATTAGGCTGATCAATAATAAATACTCTTTCCATACACCAATCTTTTCACCATGCTATACTTAAGAGGGGAGCTTGTTACTTACTATCGCTTTCCCAAACACTCCTTGAAAACACAAATATAATAGATCCAGAGGATAGTTTTGTAGTTATGCAAGAAGGACTTTTAGGGTGTTATTTTTAATATAAACATTGGTGTTAGGTCTGGAGGCTCAACTGCTGGGAATCGTTGTGAGAAAAGAGAAACCTCAGCTTGAGGAACAAAAAGACTCTCTTGTCCTCAACATTGCAGAAGGAAAAAGAACTTTGATCAACCTAGAGGATGAGTTACTCAGGTGGTTACAATCATTCAAAATCCTTACTTTAGGTGTGAGTTGTATTTTTATTTTTACATTTTGAAAGTGAAACCATTTTTCAAATATTTTCATTTTCTTTGAGATTTTTGACAAACTATAACTTCTTGAGAATCTTTTAGGAAAGGAAGGTGGTGAAAGTAGATAATCTGTAAAGAAATGGAACTTAAGACAATATTGTATCCTGTTACTGGACTTATTTCGTAACATAACCATATTTTGGATATAGAACAAAAACAATTCAAAATAATCTTAAGAAACAAGAACCTTATGAATTTGCTTGCCAAAGGTTTATGTTACTTTAACTTTACACTTGTTATTATTAAGCAGCTTTTAGATACCTTCAATAGATTTAATATTATTTTATACTCCTCTACTTCATCTCCTCAACTTGACAAGTTTAGTATTATTGTAAATTTTACCAGGTTCTGCAACCTAGTACAATGCTATGAAAGAAGTTTCAAGTTTGATCTTTTGAGTAAAGAAAGATAATTTTCAAATACACTGTTCAGTGACTAAAACACCTTGTGACATTTGTAAATGTTTAACCCCTCTATGTGTCTTTGTCCATGTGAGGTTTAATCCCTAATTAACGGTTGTTAAATGTATACAGCTAACGAAACCAAACAGAACTTATAAATTTAATTGGTTGATTGGTAGCCAGCCAATAAAAAATATTGTCAATGTACATATTGACCTTCACACAATTTTTACTGGTTAAAAATGGCCCCTTATCTATATATAGATTTGCTTCATGTAATAAAATCCCTGGTAAACGTACACTCTGCTTTGAAATAAAGCTTCCCACAGGCAAATACACGCTGGGAACTTTTGACTGAACCACGTTTGTGACAATGATAGTAAGAAACCTAAATTTAACTGTACAATTTAGAGGCAGCTCTCTCGTTTTGAGAGTTTGTCTCTCTACTGACTGCTGATTGTAGGTTGCTGAGTGAGAGCAAGGGCTCTCTGCTGGACAACATTGAACTTCTGACAACATTACAGACATCACAGGCAACATCGGCCGCCATCAAGGAGCAGCTAGAGACATCTGTTGTCACTGAAGTAGAAATCGATTCTGCCAGGGAGGTGGGCTTTAACTTTCTATGATACTTGTATATTAAGTCAATTAATTTATACTTCATACGGTAGAACATGTATTTTAAATGGCAATTACAGCGATACTAGTCATCTTAAAAATGTCATTTCAAGTTTAAATTTCTCCTCATGTTTTTTACTTCCATATAATCCAAATCATTATGTGAAAACACCAATATATCTTTGAAAAAAGCATGAAGATAAGTAAAACATATTTTTTTTGCCTTTCAAGGGTTGCGAGGACAGATGACATGTAACTAACCTGCATGACAAGAAATATGGTTTTTTCAGTATTATAAATAGCACAACCATCTTCCACAAAAACCTTTACTGCATTGTGAATGTGGAATAAAATGTAGGACAGAACTTAAGAAGTTATCTAAAATTGATTGGGAGTTCTTTCTTTAGTTGTATCTTCCACTGTTAGAGTTATTCCCTGCACATTGATTAGGCCTCTCCATCTTATCCTAACTTCCTCCACTGTTCCTTTCTTCCGCGATCTGCCATTTCATTCCTTCCTTCATCATACAATAAATTGTAAGTTTTTCTCTATCACCATGAATTTATCTAGTAATTCATATATTCATTATATTCTTCTCTTCTGGATTTCTTGAAAAATATAAGTATGAAAATTCCAATTTGATAACTGTTTACCCCATGTAATGTTAAAACATATACTTTTGAAACTATTCAACTACATCATGTGGTACTGTAACCCCTAAACTCAAAATCTAAGCGACCTCTGTGTTGTCCAATATTCTCCGTAACCAAAGTAGTCTTGAATGATTGGGACTGTACTGTAGGCTAGGCTTCACACAGTTTATGGTTCTACAGGTTTTGTTTTTACTCATTTGCAGGGCTATAGACCTTGTGCCAAGAGGGCTTCTATCCTATTCTTTGTGTTGACTGATATGGCCAGGATTGATCCAATGTATCAGTTTTCTCTTGATTCCTACATCAACATCTTCCTCATGTCCATTGACAAAAGCAAGAAGACGGAAGTGCTGGAAGATAGAATTATCAATCTCAATGAATACCACACCTATGCCGTCTATAGGTCAGTATCATACAATTCAAGAGAATGTATATTTGTTAATTTTAAATAAAGTGTTTTACTAGTCATGTAAACCAATATAGTTCCTTTTGTAGCCAACTGTAGGTAATTGATTAGTTTAATGTCACCATCCAAAACTCTTGCTTTTGGTTTGTTTGATATGTTTGGCAGTTTTGGAGTGGCAAAGGTATGGTTATAAGTTAGCCGACTTCTTATAAGATTTGCTAACTTTTGACATAAGACACATGGATTCACTCAGTGTTATTTTCAATATAAGAGGCAGCAAACTTGGTCTGATATACATTGATGTCCAGGAACACCTGCCGAGGCTTGTTTGAGAACCACAAGTTGCTGTTTTCATTCCACATGTGTATCAGGATACTGGACGCCGACGGTAAGATCAACCTTCAGGAGTATCTGTTCATGCTCAAAGGAGGTGTTGTGCTCAACAGGGACGAACAGCCCGACAACCCTTGCCCTGGTAAGTTCATAGTTGTAATGTTACCATTGCCAGATTTACACAATTAGAGGTACGGAGAGAAGTTTTCAACAACCATTTCTGCCTACCCTTCTGTTCAAGCACAAAATAAAATTATCCTCACTAAGAAAATTTGCATTCATACCCTTTACCAGATAGTTTTATTAATAAGATTTACCTGCCCAAACAATAAACATAATATACCTTATCAATGTTATAATTTTTAATATTAATCGTGATTTAGAATATTTATAAGCTGCAGTTAAAAAAAACTTCTTTTCAAGTCTCTTGAAAAGAAGTAGAATTACTCTGTGACCTGCATCAAATCATACTAATTATGAAATGAATGACCAGGTTGGCTACCAGATGCAGCTTGGGACAATATAACAGAGTTAGACAAGCTGGGAGGTTTTCACGGAGTTTGTGACTCGTTGGAACAGTTTCCTCGCGACTGGCGAGAGTGGTATTTAGCTGAGGAGCCAGAGACTCTACCTCTTATTGGTAACTTAACATAGGCTAACACCATAAAATGTCTGATAAAACACAAGTATGTGTTATCAATAGATAAATTTAAAAATAGTCTAAACTAATGTCTGTCAACAGTACATGGTTAACATTTTAGGAAATTGGTAACTTAACGTAGGCTAACACCATAACATGTATGTGTTATCAATAGATGACCTATGGCTAGAAAATCTAATTTATTTTAAATTTTTTATCTTCTGTGTATTTTTGGGCACAGTACTACAGAATCAAAAAGTTATGGAATCCTGAAGAGTTATATGAAATATTTATTCACATTCATGTTATTAGTACAACATCTAAGATGCCAACAGAGAATTTATTTAATAACTATTCCTTAATCAGAATGAATGTCAATTACTTGTGTTTTCCTCTCTCTCAACTTCACTGTAATGTTAGTAAAATTATGGAAACACATTGAATGTCGCACAGGTGAGTGGCAAGACATCTGTAACGAGTTCCAGCGTATGTTGTTTGTGAGGTGTTTACGCGAGGATCGTCTGTCGTTCTGCATATCATCTTTCATCACGAGCTACTTGGGGCCCAAGTTCACAGAGCCGCCGGTGCTGGACGTCAAGACAGTGTTGGACGACTCGTCCGCTCGTGTGCCGCTCATCTTTGTGTTGTCACCAGGCGTCGACCCGACCGGGGCACTCATCAGTCTGGCCGAGGCAAACAGCATGAGCGACAGGTTCTTCTCCCTCTCTCTGGGACAGGGACAGGCACCAGTGGCCACCAAGTAAGATAAAAAATAAACAACTTTAAATAGCAAAGAGAAGAAAAGTTAGACCCTAGAATAATTTTTAGTTATGTAGGCAACAAATAAAATGAGCTTGCTCCGATTTTAAATTTTTAAGCTAGAAACTACCAAAAAGAGAGGATACCCAAAAACCCTTATTTTTTCAATCTAAAATCAGTGGTACATATTAGTTTGTTAGGATTTGGTGAAATGTGTACATCAGGCACCCTCTTTTGCTGATGGATCGGAAGGCCCTCTGCATATAATTTGCGCAATCAAACATACACAGCTTCGTCTGGAGCCACGTAAAGAATCAATTAACAACCTTTTTTATCACTGTTTGCTATACATAGATATTAATATATGATAGTACTAACTAACTGTTCTTGTACACTGTCATAATGTTGTGAATTAATAGATAAAGGGTGGAGGACAGAGCACTGGTTATTCCTGGCTACTTAACTGTCACTAATGCCTTATATCATACCAATTTTGCAGATTGATAGAGAAAGGTATGGAGGACGGAGACTGGATATTCCTGGCTACTTAACTGTCACTAATGCCTAATACCATACAAATGTTGCAGATTGATAGAGAAAGGTATGGAGGATGGAGACTGGATATTCCTGGCTAACTGTCATTTATCTCTGTCGTGGATGCCGTCCCTGGACAAGATTGTGGAGAATTTGCAGTCTGGAGAGCCTCATAAAGACTTTAGGTAAACTGTTAATCATGTCAAGGCAACAAACAGTTAATTATGAACTGTACAAATAGATAACAGTTATCAAGTGTTAACTCAATATTATTTTGTCATATTGAGTTTCATCAGAAACTTAGCTTTTTTAATCCTTCCCAGAAAAACCCCAACAAGATGAGACGCCATTTTGATGGCAGCTGCATAGTTGTTCTTCACTTCATCAAAATACGCTATTATAGGTTGTGATGTGGCAGCTTTTATTATCCAAGTAAAAACCATAATTAATTAGTCAGGAAATAAGTATTAAAAATTGTATTATTATTTTTTATTTTTTGATGGATTTTTTGACTTTGTAATTTCATATGTTGCAGGTTATGGTTGAGTTCCAGCCCTCATCCAGATTTTCCAATTTCCATTTTACAAACATCCATTAAAATGACAACAGAACCACCTAAGGTAATTTAGGCCTATAATTCGAACATGTTTAGTCTCTGAATCTGCAAGTTAAACTACATTATACTGTCAAGTGATTGTCTCTTGTTCTACTAAACAACCTGTGGTTTGGAACCCAAAGGCCTCACACCACTGAGGATCCAACTGGCATCAATTTCAAACTGATACTGCGGTTGATGCAGAAAATCGCTGTGGATTCTAATGATAGCAATCGGGAAAGCCTGGGAATGAAGATTTAACAAGGTTGTTTTTTAATAAACCCCAAACAATTTTAATGAAGTTAGAAAAAAATTCTAAATAAGCTTATTTACGGGATTTTTAAACAACTTCCTAAAACAAAATGCTATTAAACTTCCAAGAGAAGAATGGTTTTCTACAATTAGTAAACATTTTGGATGTTTATGAAACATCCTATTACAGGTTAGGTTTACGCCAGGCTTTCACATTAATGTCAATTTTTTACAAAGAATTCCAGAACTTAACATTTACAAAACTGCATGTAAACAAGAATATATGTTTGATGTTCTTTTACAAGTTATTAATGTACAACTTTCAGGGTATCAGAGCCAACATGAAGCGGTTGTACAATCTGATCACTGAGCCACAGTTTGCTGTCTGTCAAAACCAAGTCAAGTACAAACGGTTGCTTTTCTCACTCTGTTTCTTCCACTCTGTCCTTCTGGAACGCAAAAAGTTCCAACAGCTTGGGTGGAACGTCATTTACAGTTTCAATGACTCAGACTTTGATGTAAGTTGTGAAGGTACAATGTTAGCTATAATCTCGAGATGGTTTGAGATGTACACGGTTCTTTTTTCCCTCAAATTTATGAATGTTGATTTTAGATTTAAATAAGTATAAAACAAGTCAGTTATAGCTGGTGGTCTGGGGAATGTTTGGACACTGCATTTCCTATGTTTGGTTTTAAATAATTAGAATGTCATTGTCAAAAACAAAATTAATGACTGTATAATATGTTTTACAACTCAATAAAATTTACAACTGCATTACACCAATTTATGAAAGAATATTCGTTACAAGTTTTCACCAAAATACTTAGCACTTTTTTTACCTCTCTGATATGGAAAGTAATGTGTACTTAGTTTTTTGTTTTATTCCCATAAAAATTAATCGGAAAGTGTAAAAACATGCTAGAATTTTTTTACTTTTTTAATTACTAAACAGACAAAAACTCAGATGATTGTTTACTGCAATGAGGCCTACAAGCTCCTAGTTGTAAGTTTATGTCTGTAACACGGTCAAACCCTGAATTTATTTTATACTTAGGTATCGGAGAATCTGCTGACTGTATACTTGGACGAGTACCCAGAAACACCTTGGGACGCTCTCAAGTATTTGATAGCAGGAGTCAACTATGGAGGTCACGTGACAGATGATTGGGACCGTCGTCTGCTCACCACTTACATCAACCAGTACTTCAACGAAGGAGTGCTCACGACCCCGTTCTATCGGTTAGAAACCAAAACTTTGCTTGTAACACTGTCTTATGCACATACAAGAGTTATGAAATATTCAAAAGATATGGCAATTGTTAATGTTTTATTCTATAGTTTTAGTTCACTACAATAACTGTTTCTATGATAGTTTAATAAATAAAACGTAACCATTTATTTATAGTTTGCATGCATTTGTCCTTGATAGCGGGTCGAAATTATGCTGAAAAATAATTGTATAGACCCAAATCAATATTTTACGACAATCGTTGATGGAGCTTAATTCAATTCCAGTCCTTTTTAATCAAACCCCTATGACATGACAATGGGGTGCCTTCCTTATTGCAGTATATTCAATCAAAGATAATAATTGTTGGGTTTTGTATATCTAGTATTACAATTATTACATCTTTGTTATTCCCAACAATACGTTTTTATAAGTAGAAACATTTTGAATGAGAAAAGTTTTCAAACCTATCAAGCACGCAATGCCTGTCGTCTGTTATAGGTTGTCCAGTCTGCCCAAGTACTATGTGCCGCGTGAGGGAAGTCTTCAGTCGTACAAGGACTACATAGTGACACTGCCTGGGGTGGACCAGCCACAAGTGTTTGGTCAACATCCCAACGCAGACATCACGTCACTTATCACGGAGACACGTCAGTTGTGTCTGACGTTACTGTCACTGCAGGTACAGGCTGCGGGGGCCCAGGAGGCAGACAAGGAGAACAGCGTAAGTACGGTAGAGGAGGGCGTTATTTGTAAAGTCACTTCACTTCACTATTACTGAAATGTCATTGTCTTTCATATGTTTCTAGAATGAAAGTTTTGCCAGATTTGTAAATGTTTAAAATAAGAATTCAGAGTAAATTTAATCTACACTTACTTTATTACTTCATTTTGCCAATGTCTTACTTTATGTTACCTTTTCTTTTTTTATTAATAATTGTTAAAATCTGACTACTTTAAATTGTACTATTGTTTTGTAATTTATTTTTGTATACATGTCACTTTGGTTGTATGAAGGAGGGAATATAATTCAGCATTAACAGTCACATTGGTAATACTAATAGATTACTGAGAATATCCAATCATTTTTGTAACAACTGTTTTATAATTTGCTACAACACAACCTTTATGTATTGTAGGTCATGACATTAGCTACTGAAGTGCTGACCAGAATACCAGAGCCGATAGACTACGAAACCACAGAGAAGCTCATCGGAACCAAGAAAACCCCCTTGGATGTTGTTTTATTACAAGAGGTATACTTGTACTTAATTTGTTTACATTAAAAATATATGAGACTCAACATGATGCAAGCTGATAAAATAATAAACATAGTGTGTTATATTTGACAAAGTTGTGGGTTTCAAGATATTCTTTCTCTTATATTGGACCAAATCTGTTTCTCCAGTTTAGATTAGATTTACTTCACTTGACAAAAAAATATATCAAGGCGGTCCCGAAGTAACAGTTATTTAGAGGTAACAAACATGCAAGATAAATCAAGTTTTACTACAGTATATACATTTTAAAGGTGAACGTTTGGTTTTTTATGTTCTTATAGTTAACAATCTAATTAGAATTTACCTGGTATTCTCTTTTATACCATCTGCAGCCCTCAATTCTGAACAATAATGTTTGATAATATCCAAGCTTGTTTCTTGAACAAAACGCTGAGAAATTTCAGAACTTTGCTGTAACTATCATAAGATGTTCATTAATTCGGAATTGTTTCTGCCTTTAGGTTAACAGTTTATTGTCAGTTCCAAAACTAGGTATAACACTCGGTGGTAATTGGTTCTGAATATTGATTAAATTTAAATGAAAACCGGTTTACAGCTCTTTTAAATTTCCAGATGACTACACAACTGATATTAACAATTTTTTAACATTTGACAGATCTGCAGATACAACAGTCTGTTGGTGACTATGAGAGACAGTCTGGAGGAACTACAGAAGGGTATCCAGGGTCTAGTGGTGATGTCTTCTACACTGGAGGAGATCTTCAACTGTATGTTTGAGGGAAGAGTGCCTTCCGCTTGGCTCAAAGGTATGATTATTATATTGTTTAACAACTTACATTCAAAATATCAATTAGGTTTTATTCTAAATTATTATATAATAAATACTGTGAGGAAGTTGAATTTATTTTAAATTGGTAATTTAAATCTTTAGGAGGAACACAGTTTTTTTCTGGTCTTAAAGCTACACGATGTATTTTTATAATTGTTATCTTTATCAATTTGTGTTCGCTAAAGCCATGTTTACTTGAGGGCAGTAGGCAGGCAGGTTACCTGCCTCTTAGTGTATTTGAATTTACCTGAGGAAGGTTATCTGCCCACTCACTGGCGTCATGTGGATATGGCTTTACTAACACTCAACATACACTCTTTTGATTTTTACTGTTGAGCAAAGATTTTGTAGTAGTGTTTTGTATATGTGTAATATAATTGCTGCAATTTGATAAGGAATTCAAAATGTTTTCAGCTTATCCCTCACTAAAGCCTCTAGGCTCTTGGACCCTGGATCTTGCGATGAGAGTAGAACACTTTGCCACATGGGCGGCTACAACTCATCCACCTTTGTTGTTTTGGTTAGCCGCATACACATTCCCTACAGGCTTTCTAACAGCAGTACTCCAGGTATAACTTTTAGACCAAAGCTTTGTAACCCAACCTTGTTGTATTTTCATCTTACCGTACAAACTTACACGTTTCATTGACATTTTAATGACAGTGCGACTCTAATTACACATTGTTCACACATGGTAAAAAAATACACATGTCAAACTTGGATTTACTTTATTCAGGACCAAAAAGTAGAGTTATAAAATCCTTTTTTTAACTTTTATTTTTAATTTGGGTCTATCCACGTCATTGGTATTATTTTTTTTTTTTTTAAGGAATGGTCCAAACCTTGGTCTTGACTTGTTTTTGTTGCCATCTGACATTGGCTTTTAGTGAATTTCCCTATAGGGAAGGAGCTATTATTATCATAGACTAACCAACACAAGTAGACTTCCCATCCCATTGTAAATTTTGAAGCTCGTTTTTCGTGTCTAGTTCATGTCCGGTGACACTGATTGCTAGCGTCTCAAATAATGTTGTTTGTATTATTTTGAAGTAATTTTATTGATTTGTGTATTACTGTTTGGTTACATTATTAGAAGACAATTGTTCATGATAAGGACTAACCACATCCATATTATTATTAAACGAGAGTTGTTTGTAGACTTCTGCGAGACAGCTCGGCATCTCAATAGATCTACTTGGCTGGGACTTCACACCACAGGCTTTGTCTGAGAGAGAGATACAACTGGCTCCTACTGTGAGTGGTTTAAGCACTTGGATAACATAATATACACTTTAAACACTTGTAGCAAGTGCATAAGTGAGATCTTCATTTAAATATACAATGATTATGATTATGGCACTATAATTTAATGGTGTGACTTAGGTTTTTAAAGAATCACATTATTCTCAAGCCATTGTAGCGAGGGGCAGAGCAACTAGTTTTTATCATAGCCTATTGTAAAAAGTGCAGCTGATCCAGCAAAGAGCCATACCTGGATAGAAGGTAAGTAAGTAAGTATTAAGTAAAGTAAGGACTGGTAGTGGTGGGGCGAAGTAGGTGCACTGAGTTGATAAGGTCAAGTACTGACTCATGGTTGTGGGGTTTATTTATACATTAAGAATTTGTCCGCATGATCAAATACTAAGAGCTAAATGAAATAGTAATAAAGTTTAGTGGACACAATCATTGTTTTACTATGATCTTGCATGAACTAATTGTGATAAAATTTCTAACACTTTCATTTAGCTTAGCTTCAGGAAATGTTTCAGCAAACTACTTAAAACAAAACTTGGGCTTTTGTATATGAGCACTGTATTTACAGTACAGTAGCTGTTAAAAATTAATTGCTGAAAAATCTAACTGCAAACAGAAATATGCATAATTGTGTTGTGTTGTGACACTTGTGATCAAATGTATTTTTCATAACTTGTACCAAAAGTGATTTTTTTAAGACTTGCTCTAATTATTCCCATCCTCGTATTTGCTCGGCTTTGCCACACACGTGAAATTTGGTGTTCCTGTGTTCAGCTTTACATACATGAAACTTGAGTGTGCACCGGAACGTATAAACTTTCGGTACTTGTAATTAAATATATGCTTAAAAGACCATTGACTTTTAATAAGAGTATTTTCCGTTTGTTGTTATGTATCTTGATATTTCATCCAACAAATTGTGCTTATTTGACACAGGAAGGGGTCTATGTACGGGGTATGTTCCTGGAGAGCGCTGGTTGGGATCAGAAGAAGTTGTGTCTGTGTGATCCTTCGCCTCTGCAGCTCGTATCTCCCATGCCTGTCGTACTGTTCAAGCCTTGTGAAGTCAACAAGAAAAAGTCTAAAGGTTCAAATATTTTATTATTTTGACTAGGTAGCTCAACTTTTCGCAATCCGTCAAGTTTTTGAAAACTGTTGAGCTAATAATCGAGTGTTGTTTGTTACTCATACTCATAATTTGTAGATTTGCATTTAGACCAGAACATCTTCAGATTAGGACTTACAATACGTAAACACACTAGGTCTGCTTCCTATTTGTACTGATCCACACTGGGAGATTTGTTTGTGGAAACAGGTTTGCTAACTGTTTATAATTTTTTGTCTGATGTTTGCAAACTTTTTAAAAACAATTTGGAAACAATCCACACTGGAGTATGATGTTTGCAAACAATGGACAAAAAAATCTCTTGAATCTGTTCAGTTTTGTTTCCCAACAAAATGGAGGGTGGTTTAATTACATTTACAAAATTAAATGATTTCTTCCATTGTAATCATTTTTTTTTTCGGGGAAGCGAGCTGGTCTAGTGGTTAGAGCGCAAGATTTTGGTCCAAGAGGTCTCGTGTTTAAATCCCGCCAAATCACCAATGGATTTTATCTAAGTGGTAATGTCGCAACCCCTAGGTCTAGCCTGAAGTAATGTGCAAAACAATCCCTGGCTTGTGCCTAGCGTCCTAGGACAAACAAAAATTGTTATCATTTTTGCATGTTGGCCGAGTGACCACGTAAGAGAAGGGTTAAATATGCAACTAAGGTATTACACATTGTCTCACCTTTTTTTACCGTACTTGATTTTATTGGAATACAGTACACTTATGTTCCAGGACTGTACACATGTCCGGTATATTACTATCCACTGCGGGCCGGGACTCAAGGCAGAGAAGCGTTTGTTGTCGCAGTTGACCTCAAGAGTGGAGCTGATGATGCGGATCACTGGATCAAGCGAGGCACAGCCTTGCTGCTCAGCCTGACCAGCTGATGGTTCAAACTTTTGTTTTGTGTTGTGTTTATTTATTGTAACTTTTTTATTTCTTAAGAACAATAAAGTGTAATTTTTCCCAATGATGAATTTAGTAATTTGGAATAGAATACATTAAAATTATGTAATTATTAACGTAAGTTAACATTAACAGAGTACATTTATCGTTGTATTCAATACCCCCGGCGTGAATGTACATACTCTTACCGAGTAGTGCGCCACCAGCGCAAGGCATTAAAGGTACGAATTTACAGCCCAAACGAGTTAACATATCGAATTGTTTTTAATTCCAACAGATAGATGAATTTTACCCAAAAGCAAACAGCTATTTTTAAGATTTTTAAAAAGTTAATATTTTTTAATTTTATAAGTCAAAAATTGTTTTTAAAGTTTAAACATTTATAATTTTAAATAGCTAGTCATTATCTTATTTTCCCACACCTTAATGCCAATTTTGGTGAGAATCGCATTACCTATTTACTCTATGAATTGGTACCAAAATATGACAAATTTACTACTTTCCATATCTCCCTTAATATTCGACTTAAAAAATGTTTCTTATATATTTGTATTTCCAGTTTTAAGTACAATTCAAATTTTTAACCAAACACACTTAATACCTTATCATCACTCGCAATGTTATTTTCATGTGTCACTTTTGAGCATCAAAGGTCAATAAATCGACCATCAAGACATGACTTGACTCCTATAAAGTTTGCAACTTAATAAAAGGCTGAATTTAGGGTGGTTACAGCCCAATGTGCAATTTATCACTTCTCTACTAGTTTGGGTTGTGGGTTAACCAGTCTTGCGGTGTAATCTTAGACTTATCATACTGTTGTCACATCTCAACCCTGTTTAGTGTGTGTTTTATGTTAACGTTTTGAGATCCCTGCAGCTCAAAGAAAGAAATATGATTTAGACAATAAGATAAAAAATGCATATTGTAGGCCAATTTTTTATAACTAGGTTATATAACTCTCCATTATTATGGAATTACTTTAACGGAATGAAGTGGGGTATAAATTCAAAAGTAAATCCCTTTATAACCTAGGATTCCAAAAGACTGTCGTCATTCTACATTTTGAGAAATTTATTTACTCGGTAATGAAATAACTATGTCAAAACTTTTACAAATTAATGTATTTTTAATTTATTACAACTAACATATAAAAACTTCAAACAGTTAAGGAATATTGTTATAATGAAATTATAGCCATAAACAGAGTAACGTGGAAAACTGCAAACCGAAAACAATACAAACTAATTGTCATCTTCTCTTCAGGTTTCATGCAGTAATCAATAAAGTCTTTATTCACAAGGTTTAAAACTGTGTTCCTTAGATCCTGGAAAAAAAAAACTTAATTAATCATGAGCAATAGAACAATTTTAAGGTCAGTGCTTTTTGCAGGAACTTCAGCTGTCTAAAATTTAAAAATAATCATCCTAATTCACTAATTTAAATAATCTCTCGATGGGTCAGATTTTGTAAGTTTGGCCTACTGGCCACCCGTTGAAGCTAGATTATGATGTGATGCTTAGCGCCACTATTTTATATAGTGCCGCACAACAAAATAGCCTGCCTTCCCAATCGGCGCGCCTCTTTCGGTCGGCTGCTTGTTTTTTCATGGAAACGGTCAAGGAGCTACGGAATTGAGAATTCCTCCGTCTTGTCTCTCGCCGGCTTTGGTAGGATTAGCCACGACCCTCGCCGAACCGAACTCCATGGCTTTCATAACTCAGGATAAGTCTTTAAATATTAAGTAGATCTAAGATAAAGATGACATGCTAGATTAACAATTTAAGGGGAAGCCTGGGAAGCTTTTGCCCAATTTGCAGAAATGTAAATTCCAACAATTAGGCCTATGATTACCTCGCTTAACGAGGTAATCCTTCCTAGACAATAGTCACCACGTTGAAACCTAAGTATTAAATCATTCAGGAACTGCCTTAAGAGTCCAAATCTGTTCAATAAGGAGTTAGGGAACACAATTGCCAATTACAGACCTATTTCATTATCATGTCAATTTTCACGCTATTTAGCAGTTTAGCTGTAGAAGGTTAGCTGTATTTCTGTGTTCTAGTTAAATTATATAAGTAATCAAAGCTGGCTTGGTCTGCTTCTGGTCTGGGTAAAGACTTTCGCCATCTGGTCCCCCAACAACGTTTCCTATTAAAAATTGTCATCTCATGAGGGTAGCAGAGGATAGCAAGTTCTTAATTCCAACATGCTAGGGTCCTCCTGGCCCTAGCACAACAGACAGGCAATTACCTACTTATTTCACTCAATTTTCAATAAATACAGTCTATCACATCTCCACAGAATACATAACCCGGTCTTCCCAGTCCCCCCCCCCATTTTGCCCCCTCGGCTACAATCAATGACCTACTGTCTTCTTTTTATTCTTAATAAAATATTGTAAATATTAACATACCGTAGCTAACTTGGAAGTCAATAAACAATACTTGGTAATACATTTACCACCAATATTGTTGGTTTGTCTAAATAAGGGAAATTTAAAAACTTGAACAACTTGATAACACTTACCTATGTTTATAGCCTATAAGTCTCATTTCACACATAAATTCCCACCCATAACAGGAGAAAAAGAATGCCGAATCCTGAAAATATTGCTGCTACAAGAGATACAAGCAGTTCTTTAAAGAGGTCTCGTGTAAATTTTGTGCTTGTGACTTCATAGACGAAGAACCAAGCAGTGAAGAATATTCCGATACCCAACAGAATGACGGTCAGATGAGGAAAGACTGCAGGGTTTACTGGGGAAACGTATCTCGACATGGCTTCTAACTGCACCTAAAATGTTAGGGTCAAGGTTAGTAGTCACACTGTAAAACCATAATAGTATATTTCTATTTCATAACGAGAGTAGAAAGTGAGTCATTACATATTTGAGACCATGTTTGATGTACAATATTTATCACTTTAAATGGTCGAGAATATGTACCCACTTTCACTTGTGTATTGAACGTTACTTTTCACAACACTACAAAGACTAATTATTTTCTTAAATTAAAACAGACATTAGATATTTCCTTCATTACAATTAGAAACATGACAACACTTATAGCATTTTTAACCTTCATTTTAAAGTTAATATTTACTTTGGTTGTACTATTTTGGTTGATGAAGATTTTAAATAGTTACCTACATAACAAATCTTTGTTAACGTCGGCAAAGTCCAAATAAGATTGTAAAAATTACTTTTGCATAATAAATATATTCTTTTGCCATAGTAAACGATGTAATGCATTTTGCAGGTGATAAAAATGTAACAAAAACAGGTTATTTCACAATAGTGTAGCAAAAAAGTAATAACTAGTTTAGTAATTACCTACACCCAATAGTTTGCTGCTACGTTGAAGGTAAAAAGTGATTTTTACTTTGGAAATGTTAATAGTAGGCCTATGAAATAAAATAAATAAATTTGCCAAATTTGATTAACATATATCCATAAACAAGCAATCTACAACAGTTTTCTTTTTCTCCATAACATGGAAATTTAAAATGTGCGGTTGTTTGGGCATGTTCTCAGCAACCTTAAATTTAATAAGACCACTTCAATTTGTAAAATTATTTATTTGTTTAATCTCTATAACTTACAATGGCTGAAATAAAAAAAATTTCCATGTTTTACAAGATCCGAAACCAGTGATTATGTGTCTAAGTACAATGCTCTTCCAAATTTGAGGAAAAATATTTGGGTTACGGTAGTTAATGATAATTATTATTGAATTTAAACCTATAGCCTATAGTAATCTGTGCATTACACATTCCTAATCAAACTAAAGTTAGGGGATGTTGGTTTAACCGGAAAACAATTAATCTGGACTGACCTTGGTCCTGAGGGGTCTGAATAAGGGAGCCTACTGTATTACAAAACCTAAGTTTGTGCGCTATACTATATGCTGAGTAGTCGAGTGGTTATCATGTTTGGCAAGTGATGAAAAGGTTGCTGGTTTGATACTGAGATGGTTCCAGCTGTCCTTGATCATTGGGTTTTCGGACTGGCTAATGAAACAGCTGGTCTTGAATCAGAACCTAATCCCCAAACAGAACTACCAGCAACAGTGTGAAATTGTCCCAGAAAGACGGCAAATTCTGCAGAAAGCCCAGCCTACTCAATTTAATTTTTTTTATGTGTGTGAATCAACCTTTATCAGTCATGCTCATGCTGCATTCAGGCCTACACCTAGTCTGGAATCTACCTGTGTGCTTGGACCGTGGGTTATAAGTTAATATTGTTATGATGATTGAAAGGTGAATTCAATGTATTTTACAACAAAAGTAGAAAACTCCATGAGACTGTAAAATCTATACTCAAAACTAAAATCAAATTGATGTTGTACAACCACTTTTTCAATTAAGCCTACCGGTAAGTTAGGCCTACTACTAACCTAAAACAATATTCGTGGTTAACACATTAGATTCATACCATTTTGATGAACAGGACCCGGAAAATAGAGTTCGGCGGTTTATTTATCAGCAACAGCACTCTTAACTAAAGTTGATCGGAACAGTAACTTTTTGTAAGATAGCGGTAATAGTTTCGCAAGTACAAAATAAATGCAAAGTTGACGTTGACGTTGACACTTTGTCAGTCTTTCGTCTTTCGTCTTTCTTTCAGCAGAGTTCAGTTCAGTCAATTCAGACTTTCAGTTCAGTTCAGTCATTCCAGTAGGTAGGTTAGGTTGACATGGTCGCAGACCGGACCTTGGCCGTGGGCACAATTTTAATTTCAGCTGCGGATTTTTAATACGGACAAAATGAGAGTTAAAAAATGAAAAAAATGTTAAATTAACTGCCATAACCTAACCTGACTAACCAAACTCGCTGATAATGAAAACAAAAGAATGAAGGTTTAGTTAATTAAAGTATGTAATCGCATTCTAACCAAAATCTTTGACAAAAAGTTATTGTCGCCGGTGGGGGTAGGATCGTTTTTTCTAGTAGGGCCTTGCTAGGATTCGATCTCGTTACCTTCTGCCATCGATCTCTATTATTACAACCCCAAACCGATGCCTTCTGCATATCAGCATAGATAAAACATACTCCTTGAAGAGTATGTTTTATCTATGATATCAAATATCAGTCTCTAGTGCTCTATCATTGTCTAAATATACAGGGTGTTTTTTTTTTTAACTTGCATCGTTATTTACCTATGTAAAAACCGCAATAGAAAGAAATATGCAGTTTGCGGGAATCATCTATTGACGTAGGGGGCCCAATTTTATTGAATTCAACGTTACATTCACATTCCCCCCCTGTCCCGAACTTAATTTTTTTTCAATAGCAAGGTACCTCTTGTGACATCAAATGAAAGAGCATGAAAAAAGAAAATGTTTGGTGAAACAAATTGAAAATTGGCTCATGAATTTGTGAGATAATCCCCCCACCCCTTTTCCCCTACCCATAACTTTTTTTAATAGCAAGGTACCCCTTATGACATATCAAATGAAAAACAAATTTCACCAAACACTTTCTTTTTTCATGCTCTTTTATTTGATATGTCAGCTCTTCCGTATCGTTGCGGTAATGGTGTTCCCTCAGCCAATAGAATGCACTCATTTTGTCGGTATTAAAAATCCACAGCTGAAATAAAAATTAAGGATCCAGCCAAAGCCACACTAAAAAAACTCCAGCCCAATCCAATCCCAATCCAGATCTAGATCTAATCTAATTCACCTCGGTTAGAAAAAGTTTCTGTCACTGTCTTGTTGGTCTTGCTGTCATGCTTCTTCTTCTTCTTCTTTTCTCAATTTCAATTATCAATTATCAATCAATTAATTACTTAATATTCTTGCTCTTGCTTACATTAGACTAGTGTACGACAATAAAACACAACTAGGATTAGTAGGATTCTATGTTTTGGACGGTTTGCTAGGACTACTTTCAATAATGAGTAGAAATAATTAGACTAGGCCTATCTATAACTATTTTATTACTGAGGTAGAAGAAGATACAGGCCTAGGCCTAGTTTGTGTAAAAGCTTGTAACTGTGTCTAGAGCCAATGAACTGATGTAAACAAGGTAGGTCTATTGAAAAGTTTGTACTTCATTATTTTAATAGGGTAGGTTACACTTCCATTCTGTTGGCACTTGGTTAGGTAAGTTTAACCTAACCTAACTAACCAAACGATATATCGAAATAAACAATCGAATATTCAATATTACTCATTCGGTTGTTTGTGCCAACAGATATGGAAGTGATATCGATTATTCGATATATCAATTGTTTGGTTAGGTAAGGTTAACCTAACTAATCAAACAATATATCTAAATAAACAATCGAATATTCAATATTACGGGGAATAAACTTATTGAATAGGTATTCGATTGTTTATTTTGATATGTTGTTTGGTTAGTTAGGTCATGTTAACCTTACCTAACCAAATGATATATCGATCGATATTTTCATTCGGTTGTTTGTGCCATCACATTTGGAAGTGTACCCATATTATTATCTAGTTTTTAGCCTATAAATGCCTATGAATATTAGCAAAGGCATGTTTACAAGGAAGTTGACAACCAAAAGTTTACAACTAAGAGTTGCTCCTAGCCTATTAAATTTGGGCAACTAGGCCTAAATAACTTACAGTGGAAGATTTCTTGTAAAGCTTGGGGAGGGGGTTAGGCCTACAGTTTTGCAGAGATTCTGCGACATATTAACTTAGGTATTTTGGATGAATAACGACCGTACCGTACCTAAATAAATACGCATCCGTTTCAATATTAATATTGCTTTGAATTATAACTTCAGTTTTACCATAAGTCATAAGTTAACTTACATAAAATAATAACATTAAAGCAGCTTTTATTATTTCATGCGCATAGTTTTTTCTTCGATTTTTGAAGAAACCATCTAGGGCCTATGTGGTTACCATTTCGTAGGTATTGATATTCGCAGAGGATAACTTACGCATCCGGTAACCGGACGTGGATTAGGCGTCTGGCAGTGACGTCACCGGGTTGTGGGAGCCCGGAACACCATTACTGCAACTATATGAAGTGCAACCAGTGGGGTTCGTGGTGTAGTGGATAGAGTACCGGTAATCAGTTGATGTCCAAGAGGTAGGCCTAACCAGATCGAATCTAATCAGTTTTTGTCAAAGAGTTTGCTTAGAATGTGATTTCTTCTTAACTGTACATCTTTTGTTAGATTTTGATGCATTTATAATTTTATTTTACGAACAGAATTCAACTTTCATTTGTTTTTTTTTTTTCATTAACAGCAAGTTTGGTTAATTAGGTTTGGTTAACTCAGTTGGCCCCTAACTGCTAGACGCCTACTCTACTACCGGTTACTGGACGCGTATCCTCTGCGATCTATGTTATACCCTGGGTTGTAGTTTTTCTGGTTTTGATTTCATTGTTTCTTTAGCCTATCATTAATTAGGCCTTACTGTTTTCGTTATATTAAAATAACAACTTACAGTGTTTTTTTTTTGTGACTTTTCTTAAAATAGCCCTAAGTTTAGGCCTATATTTTGTTTTTGGCTAGGCCTAAATGTTTTATTTACCATACAGTACTTGGTACTTTCTTATGTAATGGAGACCATACGAATTTAGGTATTTTAAGCCAAGTATGAGTTATCAATAAAAACATAAACAAATCATAACTCAATTCTATGGGGGTAACAAAAATGGGGGATTGGCGGAAAATAAAAATGTTGTAATCAATAACTTACCGGTATATAAAATCCAATAGATAAGTTATTGGCATTTATCGTTATAAAAAAGTTTGTGCATTGTAATTTTGACAATGTAAAATCTTTTGTTTGGCGCTTGTACTACTCTCTCTACGAATATTTACAGTACCTAAATAAAGAATATTGTCTATTCATCCGATATTGCAGGTTCTCTGTGGAACTGTAACCCGTGGTGGGCGGGGGATGCTACCCAGGGCTGCCACCTTTGGTTAGGGATAAATCGGGACATGGCCCACCTTCCCCCCTCCCACCGCCCCAGAGAAGAAACAGAGTTGGGTGTTTTTTGTTTTTTGCTGTGTGTTGAGGGAAGGTAGGTAGTTCTGGAGGGTTGTTAGGCGTATTGGTCATGATAAGGGTGTCATGGTGTTGGTGGGAGTTACAGAATGTGATGTTGTCAGTGTACTAAGCATGATCACAGGATTGTTAGGGCCGTTTTTGACTGGGGACGGAAGGCCCTGCACTTAGATAGTGTAGAGGAGAAGGGTTTGATTGCAGCTCCGGCATAGACAGTAGGCCTAAATGGGCTGGGAAGTGTGCAACAATGACAGATTTGGGCAGTGTGGCCGTTGAGGAAGTGGGAAATCAACCTGATGACTGGGACGGGGAACTGTAGGTCCAGGAATTTTACCCGAGTCCTCTTGCCAGACAGTGTCAAAGGTCTTCTGGGCGTCCATGATGGCAAGGATTGAAGGCAAGGGTCCATGGTCGGTGAAGGGAATTGTTTGTTTGGAGGCATTTAATGACCCGCAGAAGCTGATTGTACCTGTTGACTCCGAGACGGAAGCCTGCTTTGGTGTTCAGGTGTACGTGCGCGTGGACAGGACTTTCTTGTACGGTAGTTTGGAAAGTGTGGAAGTGAGACTGATGGGCCGGTAGTTTGACGGGTTGCGGTGGTCTGACGTGAGCGTGCCTCCACGCTCTAGGGGAGTAGCCACAAAAGTGTAAAGGGTTATGAGGATCGGAGGGGGAGGATAGAGATGCTGTCAAGGCCTAAGAGAGGTGTTTTTTAGGAAGCGCCGATTCTTATCAACCTCTTGATAGGTGATGGGATCCAAACAGTGATGGTACGTACCGAGTACATACTGAGCAGTAAGTACCGTGCAATAATGAATTATATGGCAACTATTGTCGTTTGCAACATGGGTTTATACGAAAGTTTAAAACCATCATATAACTAACTAAATAAATAAATAAATATTTCTTTATTGTCACACAACATTTTTTTATTGTAGCATAGCTAAAAAACCGGTGACATTGTCAAATTATGTAATAATAACATTAAAAAATAAATATAAATATGAATAGCTAGAATTAAAAATTAATCTAATAATTATAAACCATCCACAATGTCTTATAATAGAATTAATAATTACAGAATCGAGCTGTCCATTAAAAATTCATTAATGCTCTAATAAGTTTTACCTAGTAAAAAGTTGGCAAGGTAAAAACTTAATGTTAGTTTTGTCAAAATGTATCCAGAAATGTCAGACGTTCTCATGTTTTTATTTGCAAATTGTTATCCGTTTGTATTGGTAAGGTGAGCCTGCTTTTAAACCTATCCATTACAAACTCCTTAGGCCTGATCTTAGTTTTCGAACACCAATTTTTTCATCCCCTTCTCTCAACCCTCACCAGTCCCGGTAGGACATCTAGCCTAAATGCAGTCTAGACCTATTTTTTTTTTAAAGAATTAGGCCTACTTAGTTTCATTAAATAACCTGTGTAAATCTTTAATCTATTACATAATTAATTTGGTTTTTTGTTAACCCTTTAATTATTCTAGGTTAGTTAAAATGGCTGAAGACGATATTCCTATAAATTTAAAATTCCAATCAGAAAACGATGGTTATAAAGAAGATAAAGCATTTAATGAAAAAATATGGAAGATTATTATGACTCCGCCTGAATGGTTGAAAGATTGTGAGTCTATATTTAAGTGGGGCCTTTCTCAAGAACGGTTTGAACTAGTGCGTTGGAACATCCCCGATAAACTGGGTGATTATACAAACCAAGGAGCTTTCTATGGATTTGAGAGGTCAGTATAATAGTAGGCCTAGTCATTAACAACTGTGCATGTGTTTAAAAACTTAAGTGAAGTCTTAAAGGATTGATTGTATGTTCCAGTGGCAACTCGTGCAATATTGCACGCATTTTATTGCATTTTTTCAGTTTGTTTGTATTGGTCATTACTTATAATGTAAAGGTACTGTTCTGGTAAATCCTTATATAATCACAGATCATATATTCACTATTCAGGGTCAGTGGTATTGTTCTAAATTTTGCCTCACCATTATCGTGGAAAAATACGGGTCACATACTAATTTATAGGTTCTTTGGGATCGCTTTCCACTTCACCCCTGATCAAAGGTTGGGCAAAAGTACAGATCTCCTCCTAACTTTTCAATGGGTTACACCACTCTGCACACTTTTATATGGGTCAAAAGTTCAATTTTAGGCTAGTACAATTTTAGGCAGTTTTACAAAACTACCTCCAAAATAACCCATTTTAGGGTCTTGGGAAAAATTTCTAAACCAACCAAAAAATGCACTTTTATGCTATACTATCTGGTCCAACAGACGTCGTCCTGACCTAATGTGATTTTGTCAAATGCTGCTTTCAAGATGAGCTTGTTTGCACTCAATCACGTCCTTACAAATTTGAACTAATGGTGTTTCTGGTCTCTGGAGACATCAAAATGAAAAAGTAAATCGGTCCTGGGCATAGGTCTTACCGTGCCACCTATGGTAAGAATTACTTCTGTATAAGGAAATTTGCTAAAAAGAGAGGAAATTTTTTTTGTACTGTAGCACACACTGTAAGCATCAAAAATGGGCTGTAGCTGATCCATATAGGGCTAGATGGAAGTCTTCTGTATACCAAAAGTCAATGATAATACTTTGTGATTCACTATCTAGCTTTTTTGGTTGATCTATTACCTACTGGAATTCCAGATTCAAGGTTTCTTTGACCCTGTATTCACTCACATTGCACTATACATTGTTTCAAATATTAACTTCAGGGTCCAAATTACCCATTTAATTGTATTTTGTGGCACAAAAGTTTAGATTTAACTAGTGGCTTGTAGGGGTAATAGCCCCTATATTCTAGTAATTGTTTTGTACAAATTATTAGTCTCAGGGGTTACCCTACCTTAGATTATCATTTAACATTTTTGTATATTATGGTATGTATAATAATTATTACATACCTGCATAATGAATTTTGATGTCTGCTCCATTTGAAATAAAAAGTCCCAAGCACATGAGGTGTGTATTATATAAACGTACTAATCATAATACAACTAAAGAACATTTTCCTTTTTCTTCATGACTATTAATTAGATCTAATATATATATTTCTTGAAATATAGACAAATTCACTTAGAAAAACACATAGAGATAATGTCATCATCCAAATTGTAAAATGCTAATTCTATAACAAAATCCATCTGATAAAACATTTACGCCACACTACATTATTTCAACGAACTTCCCACGCAAGTATTCAGTCCAGAGAACAGCTGTTTGCCGCCGGCTTATTTAAATGGGGTTTCATTGCGTACTACTGTACTGTAATGAGTTTTACCGGACACCAATCAGCTGATTATACTGTATTTAGGTGGCAATGAGTGGTTATAAACAAAAACATAACCTCTCTTCTATAGGTTATGACTAGTGATTTTTAGTCCTTTAGTTGGTGGAAATATATAAGGATTTGTACAGAATTAGTAGTATGGCGTAAACCATCGTACGTAACTCGTCCAAAATGTGTGTACCTGACTCGTATGGTAATCCCGTACTCGACTTCGTCTCGCACGGGAACGACCACACTCGTCCGGTAAACACTTATTTTCAGGACTAGTAACGTAATATACTATTGTTGTATGGTATCCATTTTGGTCGATTCCTTGTTCTTTATTTGGTTCTAGTACTATTTTAACATCATCTGGTCTCTTTACCCATCTAAAAGAATCATAAAGTTGACCATGGGCAAGGCTACACTAAAAAAACAGGCCATAATGCTCGTCAAGCATGACGTCACGATAGAAGACGGCAATGACGTAATGTTTGATATTTTTGTGACAGAGGGTATTTATTTATTTATTTTCCAAGGAAAGATTTGATGATCCTGAAGAAGTAGGTAGTGATATTGATGTAAATTATCAGCCAGATTCCTAGCTTTGGTTAGGCTATGCATTCTTAGCTAAACGCTATGTAGGCCTACTGAAATCTGTTTTTTGCCCATAACTTATTTATTTGCAAATCTACTTCCTTATATTATTATATATTTGTAATCCTCATAAAATTTAGAACAAAGTGGCTATATTCAAATATTTATAGGCCTATAATTTATACAATTTCATTGAGCGCAAACTTATTTTTTTTTTTGAAAATTTTCCAAAATTTTTTTTACCTAAAAAATTTTTTGAAACAAATGTTCCTTATGTTTTATGTATAATATTGAAGCCCATGATTTTCCAAACAAAATGGTATATAGAACAGTAGGCTATAATTAACATTGTTTTCAAGCTTCTCAGATCCGTTTTAATAAAACCTTGCAAATGAGCAAAAAATAGGCAGACATTAAGGCCAAAACAAGGGACACTCGGAGGGTTAAAAGTGGTAATCTATATACAGGAATACCTTCATATCCATCCGATGCTCATTTATTCTTCTTCCATTAATATCATGCCAAATCTGGCGCCTGTTGTTCTCTTTTTGAGGAACAATCCCTCTGCGTGGTAGTCTTCCGACATTATACATTATTACTGTGAAAGAACAACCCATTGTAAAGTATCAAGTTTAAAAATATCAGATTGTTTGTTCAAAAGATTTATCTAATTTTCACTTTGTGTTGTTTACTACTTCACTAAGGTTTTTAAAATAACAAAATAATGCACATTCAGGTGTGGTTATAATTTTTTTCAATTTATATAATCACAGCTGTGTTTACACTATATAAAAAGACATAAAAATAAGATTCCCATGCTATTTAAATGTGAATTATTTTATTCCATAACAACCTTTTGGTGCATAATTAAGAAAAATTAATAATTTTCCCCAAAATTCCATGCCCAGACCTGTAAAATGAGACCTCTCCCAGCTTTCTACGGCCTCCAGTTCGCTCACAATTTCATTGTAAAATTTTGGGCTTACGGAATTAGATATATAGATTTATCAGTTTAGTATTGTTTCATGTAAATCATGATTTACTTTAATCCAAGTTGTTTTTAAGGTTGGCCTTTTTGTTGGTATTTGTATTTCGTAAAACCAAGGAAGAAGAAGCAGAAAATATTTTAGAGTATATTTGGAAAAAGGCAGATAGGCCTAAATCAGAGGAGGAAAGTGATTCAGAGGAAGAAGAAAGCAATTCAGATGTGGAAAGTGAAGAAGAAGATCCATTTGAACCAGAAAAAGCATTTGAGATGTGTAAACAAACAGTGGATGAAATGGCTGCGAGTGAAGATGATGTAATGTACAGTCGCATTGGACCTGCGTTGCAACACTGTCTGCAGGCAACCAGAGCTCATATGTTGTTCTTCAAAAGAAACATCGCTGAATCCCAAGAGGTTAGTTAGAAAAATTACAACCTAAATTATATAAATAAATATTTATTTATTATAAATTATATTTTATTAAAATATAGTTCGGCCATTTTAAAAACTACCTGCGCGCCAATCCTAGAGAAGTTCGCTTTCTAAGTGGCCGAACTATAGTATACTGTAATTCATTCTATGAACCAAAATTAAATTAGCAGGATTCAGGTTTTTGGCTATTTGCACACACACTGATTTTGGACGGTCGGTAATAAGTCGGTCGATATTTTATCGGACCATGGTGCTTGCACACATACCGGATTTTTATCGGCGAAACGATCAGTCTTTGTTGTTGTGTCGAGGACGAGACGAGATTATTGAATACTTAATCCTTAAAGAGTTGTTGCTATGTAGTTATTGTATCGACGTAGGTATTATATTCAAACCTAAGTATTTGAACAAACTGAACAAGGGGTGGTATACTAAGGAGTTGGGTCAAATGAAAGAAAGGCTATTGTGTTTGTATGGTTTGCTCAAAGATACTGGAAATGTGAACAATACTGGCCTAAGGTGTAAATATTTAAAACTGAAATGTCAATATAAAAACTGTTTAAATGAAGCAAAGCTAGAAAACAATGTTAAGTACATAGAAGAAAGTAATAACAGATGTAAAGCCGCATGGGAGGTAATAAAAAATAACTGTGAAATTAAAAAACAGCTGATTTGCAAATTGAGCCAAATACTTTCAATTGTTTTTTTCTTGACAGTGTAGACAAGATCAAAGAAAGTATTAAGACTACAGGTATAATCACTTCTTATAATGAATTTTTAAAAAGATATGAAATTGATAGTTGTAATAAATTTTGTTGGTCAGCCATCACACCTAGTGATATTCTTAGTGCCACTAATAGGATGAAAAGATCAGCTAGTGTGGATGTGTACAATATGTCAAAAAACCTATTAAAAGTAATTATTGACTCTTTGGCTAATCCATTGGCAATATGCATAAATAATCTTTTATCAGAAGGGGTTTTTCCTGATTTACTCAAAGTCTCTCGAGTCTGTCCCATTTACAATAAAGGCCCTAAGGACCAACCTCAGAGCTATAGACCAGTTTCAATTATACCTGTATTGGGAAAACTAATGGAAATAATTATTTACAATCAAATCAGAAATTATTTTGAAATACACAACATCTTTAACAACAATCAATACGGTTTTAGAAAAGGAAAATCTACTCTCAATGCATTGGACGATCTAGTCAGGCAAGTTCATCTCTCTTTTGAAAATAAAACTTATGCTCAGGCCACCTTCTGTGACCTCAGTAAAGCATTCGACTCTGTTGACAGCTATATTCTCATCTCTAAATTACAGTACTATGGATTTGATGGCCCTCCATTATCTTTTTTAAGAAGCTACTTGCAAAATCGGAAACAAGCAGTTTGTATAAAAGGAAGATGGTCAGATGAAGTGTCAGTTGAATGGGGAGTACCACAAGGTTCAGTCCTTGGCCCCCTTCTTTTCTTAATCTATATAAATGATCTACCCTCTTCTGTTGATTGTAAAACCATTCTGTACGCAGACGATTCTACTTTTTTATGTACAAGTAAAAACTATAAAGAACTTGAAAAATTGGCTGATGAAACATTAAATAATGCACGAAAATGGTTTCATGGTAATGGACTTTTGCTTAACAAAGAAAAATCACAAAAATTAATATTTTCCTTAAATAATAATTCAAGAGAGTTGTTTGAGAACAGTGATAAGGTTAATACAGTTTTTTCAGCAAAGTTCTTGGGAATATATGTAGATAGTCAGCTAACATGGGATTCACATATAGACTATTTAAATACCAGACTTCCTCATGTAATATTTTTACTAGGCCGTCTGAAAAAATGCATTCCACTAAATTATGTCCGAACAGCATATTTTTCATATTTTCAATCCATTTTCAGGTATGGGCTGATTTTTTGGGGCAATTGTGCTAGGGTAGAGGAAATTCTTGTTTGGCAAAAGAAAGCGGTTAGAGTTATCTCTAATAAAGGCTCGAGAGACCACAGCAAACCACTTTTTAAAAATCTTCAAATTCCTACTATTATTAACGTGTATATTTAGGACTTAATAGTTTATATCTTGGAAAATCAACATCTTTTAAAATTTAGACACAATACTCATAATCATAATACCAGAAATAAGAACCATACCTCAATAGAATTCCATCGTTTAAGTAAAACTCTAAATAGTCACATAGTTTTGTCACTTAAAGTGTATAATTTTCTTGAATCCATAATTAAATTATATACTATAAAGGATTTCAAGAATAAATTTTATTGTTGGCTGACCAATAACCCATTTTATAGTTTAGAAGATTTTTTTAACAATAAGATTCTTCAGTTGTAATTTGTTTTTTGTTTTTTAACAAGTATTGTAGGCCTATATGTCTCCTTTTTTAGTTAGCTATAAGTATTTAATTAATTATTAACTGACTGTGCTATAAGTTTGTTTAGCTGTATCATGACGTTGTCAATAATTTGTTAAAATTCAAAAGACAATAAAGCATATTTCATTTCATTTCATTAAGCGCCGTATGATTAAACGCATGTTCTGGATTCATCCAATTAATCAAAGCAGAGAAAAAACGGGAACATTCCACACACTTTTTTAAGAACTAAGGCTTGATAGCAGTAACATTTTCAACTACCTATTTCAAAATGTCAATAGCATCCTTATCTATTAAGTCACCCATTTAAAACGTTATAAACACGCACTACCAAAACTAATTAGAAATGTCAGAAGAGCAGTGGCTTGAAATGGATGATGGTGTAGCGAGAACTGCCAAAACGGTCGGTTAACAATCGGCGCGTGTGCAAGCTTGTATTTAGCTACGTACGCCACTGTGTCGGTGGTATGCAGTGGCAGTGCCTGGCAGCTCATCGGCATTTTACCGGCGCCGATCAGCGGTCGGCGTGTGTGCAAGGTCCCGTTCCCGCCTGTGGTTCACTATTGGAACTCCAAAATCGGTGTGTGTGCAACGAGCCTTTAGGTTCTAGATCTTGTTAAAATATTGACAACTAGCAAAACAAGCAAATTTAGACAATGAACATTGATTTTTTTTTCTGCTCCACTGACAATGTCAATGCATGTAATAATAATGCAAAATAATAATGAATAAGAAAGTTAAAGTTGTTTTTGTAATTAACTAAAAGAACCAAAAAATAGGAATTCGTATGTGTAGTTAGGTAGTTCAATTTTGGTATGCCAATGGGTTAACTAATTTCAGTATGCTTTTTTACAATTTCAGTTAGCTAGAAACATTCAACCAACAGAGGAAATGTCACAAGAATGCAAAGCAGGATTTGAAGGCCTTAAAGCAAAACTTATAATGTCAATGGTTCAAAACTATGAAATCGTCTTACCGTATTTGCACAAAGCAATGGAGCTAGATCCAGGGTTTGGCTACTGGCCCTATCTTACTGGGAAAGTGTTAAGTACGTTTTCATTCATAATTCTACTTCTACTTCTAGAAAAAAAATGTTTAAGAAATCCCTTAGCAATGATGTCTCCTTAAACTACATTATAAATTGATTTTTACAAGGGTTGTCCGTATATTAACCCTTCCTGGACGGATATATTAGTCAATCCCCGTTTACGTTCCGGGTGGGATATGGATAAGTATCCGTCCTGAGAAATTTCTTTTCTGGGCTAAAGACCGATATATCCGTCCAGAAAACCTACTGACATATACAGTGTTTATAATACAAAAGTAAACATTATACTGCATTATAAATGGGTTATTTTATTTTTGTGGTTAGGAATAAGAATTGCCGTAGATGTTTCAGCTATTAGTTGGTGCCATTAGTGTGTGTGAATATTGCGAAACTGTCAGTTCGTACTAGCTTGTTAGTGAGTGATGTTTACATTTTTGTTTTGTACTTTTTTGCATGTTATTGAGCTAAAATTACCAATCCAAACAATAAAATTTAGGATATGTTATTGAGATGAGAAACAAAAGTATGTCTGAGGGGGATTTCATACTAGGCATTGAAAATAATAGTATGGATGAAGTGTATGATAAACATCTACGTAGTGGAAGTCTTGGTGGGGAATGGGGATGAGGTCATGGGAGCCAAACTGAGGGTTTTAGATTTTCTTCGTAATGTTAGATACATTTTGATACAGATTCCCTCTTGTCCGGACTCCTCGGGACCGAGGTTTTACCGGTTAAACTGACGTCCCAAAAAACTCGTTAAAACGGACCGTTTTAATGCATACTGTATACAGTATTTGACTTAAATTTAGAAGAGCATTGTATTTTGACACGTGATCACTGGTCTCAGTTAATATTTCCCACGAGAACAGTCGTTTTGGTACCGCCCACTTCCGGCCGATCTAGTCCGGTTAAAAGGTGTCCGGATAAGAGGTAGTCTACTGTAGATGAAAAATAAAACAAGGTAAGGAATAAGGTTGACGGATATATCCGTCTGCCGCCCATAAGAATACTCAAGATTATTGGCAGTATTCATACCTTATGTTTCTTTTGGGCCTACGATGGATATATCCATCAAATCAAAATGTCATTTCCTTCATAACCTTTGAATGAAAATTAGTTCAGCGTGAAGAAAAATCCTTTTATGATCCATGAGTTATTTCAAGCAAAATAAATACAAAACATAACCACTTTCATTTTAAAATTATGATGGCAAAAAATAATTAAGCTTCAGCCATTTATTTAATTTAGCCCTGGAAGGGTTAAGTCCCCTCTATGGAGTTGTAGGCGAGCGAGCTTCAAATCTGAGAACGTCTTGTTCTTTACTTCATCCACTACTTTTCTAGCCAGTTCCCCCTTTAAGATACGATTATTCATGTCATATTATTCAGAAATATAGTGAAAGGAAATTGTCACTCCCGCCAAGTAAAATCAAGTTCTGTGATTAGATATCCCTTGGTCTTGGTCGTCAACCGCTTTAAAAAACCAACTCCAGTTGACGGACGTGAATTGAGTAAATGTTTTGATCTATAAAATGTGTGCAAAGAGTGGAAAGCAGTTCCAGAGGTGGTTTATACATTTTCACAATGTTTTCTGTGGCTCAGGCCGAATGCTGTGATTCATCAATCTCGTTTGTCGCTGTAAGAAAGGTTAAGGGAATTTTGCATGTGAATCATAGTGGGACTGAACAAGGGAAATAGTCAGACTAATAGAGGACACCTCTATAAGACTACAGTAAGCACTGGAAGTCTGAAATATGCCAATCAGCAAGCGAAAATTCATCAAATTCAATCACTGTCTCGATGCTGAAAGATCTGTTGAGCAATCGGTCCTATGTGCATCTCTGAGTAATTTAAGCACATTTCTATATTGACACACTTTTCTGCATAGACATCTGTCTACCTGCAACAGGGAGGGATAGACCCCCTCCCTATAGAATCTTGAACACAGTAGTTGTAATCTTACTTGATTGGAGCGGCAATTTTCTTTCACAACTTTTTTTTATGACATGACTTTTAATAACACAAAGTGGTGTCCCTATCTTCAATCTATACTATTATATAAAAATCTAATGGTGTCTGTCTGTATGTGTATTACTAATAGGTGCAAAAACTACTGAACCAACTGGGCTTAAATTTTACAAAAATATAGCTACCATACCAAGGACCATTATAGGACTATTCACATTTCGATATTGACCGTAGGCTTTGTCCCTTTGGCTTTAAAAGTTCTGAGGTGAACATTTTAAAAGTAAATATTGATTGGTCTCCATGGATGTGATGAGAACACTAACAATGTTTGTTTACATTTGCTTTGACATTTAAATATAAACAAGAAGAACTGCTAAACTGGATATTTCACAATTTCAGACAGCTGATACAAAGAAATTAAATATAATGTTTAGCATAAATATGAGGTAGGTTTATTTTAATCTAACCTTTTATCATGGATTAGTTATTCTAAAACTATGTCAATGATTATAGAAAAAAAAATTTGTAACCGTTGCTGTATCAACTCCGGCAATTTTTTATAGTACCTTATCTATGATAGTACCTAGATATAGTTTCTTTAATATTTCAAAAGACTGTATTGATAAGGCACAGCAATATTTATTTCAAAAGTTTATAACAGCTGACTTAGTTTTGCTAATGATTTATAGTAAGTGAAAAAACTGAAGATGAAAGGATTTGTGATTTAATATAAAGAAGAGTTTAATATAAAGAAGAGTTTAATATAAAGAAGAGTTTAATATAAAGAAGAGTTTAATATAAAGAAGAGTTTAATATAAAGATATTTAAATTTAATAATTAGTATTTTTGCAACTTCAAAATTGAAATTTAAAATGTCAATAATAAATTAAAAAAGGTGTAATTAAGGGAGATGAAGGTAAATCTGGTAAATCATGTATGTCAAAGTTTTACTCGAAGATTTGGTCAGTTTTTCTCATATCAGCCTACACAAGATTTAAAATTAATCAAAACCAAAATGGTGGTATCCACTACTTACCAGATTTAAAAGTAATAACTTAAAACGTTTCTATTAAGGCCATAAAAGTTGAATTTTGTTTCTAAAAGCGTTGGCGGATGTGTAACTATTATATGCAAGAGATAAAGATTAAAATGTTTCTATTTTGTGTCCTCTTCCCGTTGCAAAGCACGGGTACAACAGCTAGTAAGTGATATAATTGATTATAAGACTAATCATTCCATGGAGTTGAGAAGTGACTAGAATAGTTATGGGTGAAGCAAGGAAAACAACGTTGGTCTCAGATTTGAACTAGCTAGTGTTGTAGATTGAATGAATAATACAAATTATCTATAGACTTTATTGAACAAAGGATCAAGCTTGAAATAAAACCAACAATACAACTAAACAGCATAGTAAACAAAAACAATGTCCAAACATTTTGTGTATAGCTGTTACAATGTATAACAAAGGAACATCATATGACAGCTAGTTTGGCTGTGGCAGGAGCTTGATAATGGAGAGCCAAAGTTAAAGTTAGGGGCAGCACATAATGTTTTTATTCCATTCAGATAGATACCGTAGCTCATTTTGTAATACATTTTATTTTGTTTAGAGTACCGTAGTTTTGCTAGCAAAATATTGGCCTTTTATGATGGTTATTTTTTTTTAGTTAACACCGCTAAAATAACCGTATTTTTCAAAATTTACATTTATTAAACCTAAGAGCTCTAAGTAGGCCTACCCTAAATGGATCTGAATCTGAAAATTTTTACTAACTACAAATGAAGGCTGTAAAGTTACTTGTAATATTAAAAGTGTAGTTAATATTGTAAGAAATCAAACCACAACTCCCATCCTCCAATGTAAGTTCCCAGTTCTAATGGTTTCCAAGGTTATATTTATGGTTCAATATTATTTGTCCATCCCAGGGAGAGCTAGAAGAGAGTTTGATAAAGATAGGCTGGAAGAAGAGTTTGGATACTTTAAAAAAGCTGTATCATTGGAAAGGAACCCCAAATTCCTTGTCTTTCTTGGCCAGGCATATCAGGAGGTAGCTTTGGATTTAATACATTCCAACAGACCGAGGGATTCTGTAGACCGTTTACTGGCCAAATCTGTTGAGTTATACAGGTAAAATCATCTTTTATGGCTGCTAATTATATCCACATTATAAAGTTTAGGACTGTTTGTGGAATGAGTTGTGCAAAGGTTGTCTAAAAAGGGATGCAATGCAAACATAACACTTTCTTTTTAATCCTCAGAATATTTCAGATGTAGAAAATTATCTTGATTCCCCCTACTGACAATATAAATTACATAATACAACACAGAAACAGGTACTTTTCCATCCGTATTGATAGGCTGGAAAGGTGCCCTTTGCCGTGCCTATATCCGGAAAAGAAACATTATGTACTTTCACCGTGCACTTAGTCAGCTGACGAAATAAACAGCTTATTGCTACGGCCTATTTTATTTTCTGTAATATAAAAATATAATTGAATTTATATCCTAAATAAATTGTGTTAAGAGTTTAAAATATATAAATTTTTTTAGTATGATGTAAAGTATCGTACGTTACTAGCCCGGTAAGCCTGCACAGTAAAACACCACTTACCGGGCTAGTAATGTAATATACTATTAAGATATCTCACAGATGCGTTCTAGCAAAAATATACATGTACTAACAGCTACCACCAGCATAGGCGTCCAGAAATGGCATCCAGGGTCTTAGAAAGAGCACCAGACCGTCCGGAAGGTCCAGGTTCGCACCCCTGGAAAGTGTTTACAAATTTGAGCTAGAAAAGTAAGTTCTTAACAATTTTTAAGTCTATTTTACATCTTCTTCTTCTTCTTCTTCTTTCCTTCAAGGATTAGGCAGCGCCTGTTCCGATCTCACAAATATATATCCTCACTCCCATCTCTTCCGAGGTCTTCCAACATCCCTCTTCCCTCTAGGGTTGTAATTAAAAATCTTCCGTGGAATCCTGCTCTCCGGCATTCTCTGAAGATGTTGTCTCCAGTTCTCTCGGTATTCTTCAATCTTTTCATTTAAACTGTATATATTCAGTCCTCTTCTTATCTCTTCATTTCTTATCATGTCTCTTCTTGTTGATCCATTTACTTTTCTTAAGAATCTCATTTCCGCTGCTTGAATTTTACTTTCCTGTTTTTTTGTGGTAACCCAAGACTCACTACCATAGAGTATAGTAGGAGCTGCCATGACTTTGTAAAACTTCAGAAGTGTTTCTTTTTGCACCTTGTTGCTTAAAGTTCTGTTGATAGTACCACAAATAAACTGAAACTTTTGGACTTTGTTCTCAATGTCAAAATCTAGATTATAACTAATTTTGCATCCAAGATACGTAAACCGAGAGACCTGTTCCAGGATAGAATTATCAACAACAATTTTTGACCTAACAGGATATTTTCCTTGAAATGCCATCACCTTAGTTTTGTTTGTCGAAATTTGAAGGTTGTAAGCCTCACAAACATTGCTGAGTTCATGGATTGCTTGCTGCAACCTATTTTCATTCTCTTGTATGATTAGCATATCGTCTGCGAATAGTAATGTGTTCAGATAGTCGTCATTGCTGATCCTTATCCCTGGATCTACATGGCATCTCCATTTACGGAGAATATAGTCAAGATAAATATTAAATAAAGTAGGTGATAATCCACACCCTTGTCTTACACCTTGATTGATCTCAAACTCTTTTAGTCTAATCATACCTGTATTTATTATTTTACATCTTGAAAACTTAAAATTAACTCTTTATCATTTCATGCTGATTGCTGTTTGTGACTAAGACCTACCTTACCCTTTATTACCTTGCAAAATGAACATTATAATTCACTATTAGAATAAGTTTTCCTATTTTTGTGCACATTTTAGATAATGTATTTAAATTACACCGATTGCCTTCTCGCTTTGAATAAATGTTAAACCTACCGAAAAAAGTACTTTAAGCCAGCAGGTTGATTTTTTGAAGGCTCTAAGACGGATAACGTCTGATGCCACTGGTTCTGACAGAATCCCAATTTCCTTAATTAAATGTATCTTGTTTGGTCTCCTCCCAACAATAACTTTCATATTCAACACCTCACTGAGACTAGGAATTTTCCTAGAAAATTGGAAGTCTGCGCTTGTCCGTCCCTTGAATAAGATCTCATCCCCATCGAGACCAAGACTACAGACCAATAAACATTCTTCCTGCTCTCTCTAAAACCCTAGAACTCCAAATTATCTAGCCAACAAGTTAAAACTTTTGCGTGAAAGAGGCGCAAGGAGTACTTGCTCTGGCTCGTCCACGCTGTGTATTCCTCATCACAGAACGACTGTTTATAACAAAACTTTTGTAGTAACAGCATGCCGCCTTTGGATATCTGTACCTTATCCCGTTAAATCCTTAGGAAACCGATCCCGACTGACAGTGGCGCTGAAAGAATAATACCTTGACCGGATGGCCGTGGCGTGGCAGGATGGCGGGATGGCGTGCATTAGGCCTGGGTGCAGCAGAGGGTGTATGTGTCTCTGATTGTGTGTTAGGGAAATAAATTTATGTAATGTTGTTACACCTATTTGTTTGTTGTAATCTTTATTGTTGTATTTGGTAATGTTTTATTATTATTGTTAGTTTTTTGGAGGTTAACTGTAAGAAATCGTCTCAATAAAGAAGAATTTTCATTTCAAGAGTAACAAGTTTCAAAACTACCAATTAGAAATATTAACGATGAATTTCTCTTTTGGAAAGTCCAATTTGTTTACACTAATCTATATATAAAGCCAAAAGTACCCATGAACTTTTGAGAAAACTACAAGTCACACCCCCATAAACCATATACTTAAAATGTTCGTCATGACGAGAAACCTTGCGCAAAATTATCCATTATTTCATAAGTTGCCCTATAAGGTCGTAATTGCTTTCCAAAGGGAACTTTCCATTTACCTAATGTTAAAAATACCTCAGCTGTTATTATTTGTTTGTATTCTGCTTTGTTTATTTCATCTTAACTTAACTAACCAATAGTTTTATTAATACTAATGTAGTAAAATGGGGTGGAGCCCGTGGGTAACAGCTAGTCTACAGTAATGGTAAAGTAATAGCTAGAAATTTAGCCTCCCAAAAGCGCTTCATGTCTAGTCATACAAATTTGATATTGAAGTATCAGGATTGTTTACGTTGTACTCGATTGCATGCATGCATTGCCTGTTTCAATTTCGTATCATAACATATTTTCTTGAAACTAACTCGTATATCAAACATAGACAACAACATTGCTTAACCATCAATAAAATAGGTGGATAGAGATACCAGTACTAATTTTGTATTAGTAAAATTCTAGCTAGCACCACTCGTGGACATTCATATGAGCATCAGTTGCTGATATTAGCTGAAATCAAGCTTTTGCAGGACTTAATAGTGTTTTACCAACTTTTTATACATTCTACTTAACATTAAAACGCTTATTTTTCTTTACTGTGATTGTTTCAGAGAATGTTGGAGTTTAAAGAGTGACTCTGCTGCAATAGCTCGTCGGGTTGGCAATGGGTTGCTTAAAATGCGAACAGAACAAACTGATCTTACTGTGGCAAAGCAAGCTTTATTGAAAGCAGTTGAACTCTCACATAATAATTGTACACACATAAGCCTAGGAAAGTTTTATTACAATCATGAAAAGGTAAGCAATTGTGTTGGTTGTATTAATTGCACTTACTTTTGCTGTTAGGGAAAATTATTGTGTGTTGAGGCATCAATATGAAGTTCTTAAGCTACCTACGTTCCCTTATGAGGTACCATAGACAAATAGAATAAATATAGACTGTCAAAGGAATGTTCCAAGATGTGCCGCTAGATCGTGCAAGGTGTTCTATTCGCTGCCGTCGTCGGCTCTTCGCTGTATGCCACCAGCAGACGCTGCAGCGGTGTGTGCCTTAACTGCACGGCACTCCTAGCGGTGGACAACAGCTAACATGCTACAGCTAACAACATGCTAACCGCAGCACTGCTGTAGGTCTATATTTAATTTTTTTTGTCTATGGTGGTACTGAAAAGAACAACTTTCAGCGGCTAGACAATCACACTTGTGTATCATCAATCAAAGTAAATGCAAACATCCCTTTTCAATAGCACTTTAAAATATATGCTCCAATTTATTTATGTCCTATGGTTATAATATAATTATTGTTGGTGTAAAGTTAAGGTTTTTCAAGCTAACATAAATTCAGTGGGGAGTGTTGCTGAAGGTATAAATCCCAGATGGTCTAATTAGACCTTCGGCATACAATTTACATTTTAACTTGTTGCTGAGAGTCTAAACGGGCAGTAGCTGATGGCCTAAATCCCAGAAAGTCTAAAAGTATAGTCAATGCAGAAAGCTCATCCTCTGATACTGTTTTAGACCTTCCAGGATTTAGATTCAGCAACTGATCCCATTCAGTGGCCAGATACAGCTCTTCATACTTCTCTCCGAGGACTAGTCTTTCTGTAATTAAATTTGGGCTCTTTTTGTTTTGTATGCAAAACCAAACGTAAACGTTTAAGTGAGCTTATATTGTTTTCAAGCTTTGTAGTTTGTGAAAATAAAATAAAAAAAGAAGCCAGATTAATTAAGAATGATTTTAATTTCTTCAAAAATTGGGTTTGTTTTGTTCTTTTTAGTGAGGCAGGTAAACTTCTAATGAATAAATTGCCGATATATGAAGGCTTTATTTTTTAAAGTTTCAGCCGATGATGACGTTTTGCAGTAAGATTTTTCCACCGGGTATTGTATTTATGGAATACTTCAGTGTTTTTATCTTTATAAACATGCTGAATAGTTTTAAAAATATACAAACCATACACTGTAAAAAAATTCATTTCTTTAAAGTACTTTTTCACCAACTTCTTGTCCTTAAATATTTCAAATCAAATCAATCAATTCAATAACTCTAATGGCCTGTTTTTGTAGTTTTGAAACCTTTTTCAAATTTGTTTGTACTGTCCCACCATAAATTTAGATTCCGTAGCCAATATGACATTCTATAAGCGAGTGGTATATCAATTTTAACACAGCTTTCATAGAGATAAGCCATTGATCTTAAAACATACAAACCCAAATTAATTTTTCCAACCAAATCTATATATATATATAAAGCTCAAATACCACTGACTCATTCATTAATTCACTCACTCATCACAAAATCTCAGAAAACATAAGACCTAGGAACCTGAAACTTGGCAGGCATCTTCCTTTTGGGTAGTAGACGCTCACTAAGAAAGGATTTTACCCTCCGACCTCTGGGCTCCGCCCCAGTGGCTCTGGAGTTTCCCATGTTAACCTTATGAGAAATGGAATTAATGAATCTTAACAGCTGTTTCAATTAAACAAGTTGGTTCTGTTCTATGATGTTCAATAGCATTAAAGTTACAAGGATTACCAACAGGGTGCAGCACTATTATTTCTTTTACATTTATGACAACAGCTAATTTGCAACCACAAGGTGAGTGAGCGTAGCGAACGAACTTTAACCTGGAGGCGAGTTAGCGTAGCGAACGAACTTTAACCTGGAGGCGAGTTAGCGTAGCGAACGAGCTAACCTGAAGGCAAGTGAGCGTAGCAAACGAGCTAACCTGAAGGCAAGTGGGCGTAGCGAACGAGCTCCAACCTAAAGGTGAGCGTAGCGAACGAACTTCAACCAGGACGTGATTGAGCAATGCGAACGAGATCATCTTGAAAATTAAGAAGTTAAATCCGGTGCAAAGCCCGCGGGTTACAGCTTGTATGTATATAATATGTTAATATGTTCATTCCAATTTCAATTATTCATCAATTATGTTAATCAATTATCAAGCCTAAAAATTTGGTTGTTTTTACTTGATTGATCGGGTTATTATTTAGAGTAATTTTAGGGGTTTGATCTTTTTTGAACTTATTTGTATGAAAGAGAACAACATTTGTCTTGTTTGTATTTAGTGTTAAATTGTTGTTTGTTAAGAATTGTTCAATATTTTTGAGCTCCAATTTAGTTGAATTTTTAAAATGAGTAATGGAATTACCCGAAGTTTTAAGATTGATATCATCAGCATCTATCTATATATTAATAGGCAAGCATGTTTCTTTAAAACCTTTTTTCTCAGCTCGCGTGTATCGTAGGAAAAATCTACGCATACCGTTAGAAAGCTATTTTCCTGTAGGTGTGCAGAATCCCTTTATAAATTAAAATAGGCTCAAAAATAAGCACAAAAAATGAATTTGAAATTTAAAAAAATTAACATGGGTATTATGGGTTGCTATGGTGATGACGAAATAACAACACAATATAAACAGAAAATCAAAACAAATGGAAGACATTCCAATCACATGTTTTATTTACAGTGTGGGGTGAAAATAGAGAAGGTTGTACAAAACATACTTTTGGTCGATTTTTCGACCACGGGGCGTGCTCTCGTATATACTTAATGTACTGGCTGACCCAGCCAATGCATTTGGGAGGTTTTTAATGTAGCATATAAATAAATCATAAGGCTGTGGCAAGACACAAGTGGCAACCCGGCATACTGAAACAGCTGTTGCGATTCCGGAGTGACGTGGCCACACACCAACGCCGCGGCCTTATAATAGAGGAGGCTATGCTAGTTTGCGGGGTATTGTAATAAAAGTAAAATTATGTCTTTTTACAGGATGATGAAAAAGCATTAGAACAGTTTTCCAAAGCACACCCAGGTGATTTTGGAACTGCTGAAATAATTCGATTGAACCTTATTAAAGATCCTAATTATGATCCACTTGATATTATGCAAGTCTGGTTAAAATTAGCAGACAATGCAGTAAAGCAGTACAGATCTTTCTGTGATGCTGTTTGGTATTACTTAACCTTCAAGAGAGATGTGCTGTCTGCTGCAAATTATTTGTGGAGGGTTTTGGAAGAGGATGATAAATTCATCAGAGCTAAAAGAGCTGTAGTAAGTATTTTTATGACATAAAAATGTACATCCATACACTCTCACTTAATTGCAATACAAACAACTGATTTTGACATTTAACTCAGTACCTATTATGAAAGACACAATGGTTTTTGTCCAATAGACTTATCATAGCAGTAAGCAGTGAAGTAATGAAATCTTATTTTCGTAATCATTCATAATGTATGTGATCACTTTGATTCCACCAGAGGTGTTGCTATTGATTTTGAAGTCCCACAAAATATTTTTGAGACTCCTATGAGGCTAAAAAATATAAGTTTTCAAATTGTATTGAAAAAGTTCCTCTATTAAAACCATTTATGCAGATTTGTGTTTGTTAAAAGAGAGTCATTAATTTTGTGAACGTAAATGTTTAGAAAAACTTTATTTTTATTCGTTCTTCAATCGAGATTCGAATTTTACAAGACATTTAGCTAACACATATTGTGGGATAAGTTTGAATTGCCATTGCTATCTCAACACACCTTTTAGTCTAATCTTTTTTTTGTCTCATCTGAAGTTAAGCTTGTTAAGGAGCATTCAGCGCAAATGAATAAAAGATTCTGCTAAGGTTAAAGATATATTCTGAAATGCATGCTGTGATTTTTTTTTAGATCGAAATTTAAAATTGTATTCATAATGAGCTGTTAAACACTCTTTTGGGCTACTTAGCTCAGTTTTGTTATTTTTCTAATTTACATTTTATGGTTATTATTTGATTTTTTACGTTTCAGAATTATATTAGCTACGCATTTTGTGTTGGAAAACCAATCAATCTAATAGAGCTTACAGTAAATGAGATTTTACTAGTTAAAGAGCAAAATCAAAGCCAATCTCTTAAACCTCAAGACATGAAATTACTTGAAAGTATCCTCCAGAAATTATTGGAGAAGTATCCTGATTGCAACACAACTCCTAGACCAAATATGTTGGAACATCTGAAGAGAGAGGTCGATGAAATAATCTCTAGTAAAAGAAAATGGCGCTATGGATACAATAACAGACGCAGAGAAACAAAATCACTTTCTGAAGAACCAGTGAACTGGCGGAGTGGTCCTCATCAAGATCAACAGAATCACGAACACTACGGAAACAGGAGGCCTTACAACAGCGAAAATAATAGGAGGTATGGCATGAGGAACAGCTTCACTGTGGGAGATGAGGACCGAAGAAACAGAGGATTTGGGGACGATCGTAGGAGAAACAGCGAGTCAGAGCCTGGCACGAGCTTTGCTAGAACTTCAGGTATGACACAAGGTACAAAAGACAGAACTGAACCCAACAGTAGGTTCAGCAACCGGGGTAGAAATGACCGACAGTACAACAACTACAATAACAACAGATATGATGTCACAGTAACAGACTGGCGCAGTGAAAATAGGAAGCATTAAGCAAAATAGAAAATATGATGTCGTTTTTAAATATTGGTTCATAGTACGGTTCAAAATGCTGAACAAAACTCCATCATAGCATATTTTCTGTACCACCTAAGATATTTTGTGACAAACTGTCTCCAACATTTTGGTCAAACGACAATTTCTCGAAGTCACATTTGTGACATACTCGTTTTAGATTGATATGTAGCCAAGCCTATTTAAAACTGTTGATTCTGTTCTTAAGTAATCCTCATCCAGGAAAATGTGCTATGAGTTAGTGATGTTTATATTCTATTACTTGTGCCATATTAGTGATATATCAGGGTAATTAAACAACACATGTTTGTTGTGCTCTTTTAAGTCTGAAAACAGCAGAATAGCATCAGTTTAGTGCTTTAGCTCTTGTGATAAAATGTTAAATTATTTCTTCTTCAACTTTGGTCTTATGAAATATAGTTACCTCTCCAAGTCTTGATACTGTGTGATAGTAGCCCATCAGTGCCTTCTTGCCTCTTGCAACTGCCTGAAATGTTCACACTCCAAGTGAAACTCTGATAAGACGCTTAGTTTGAAGTTTTAACTGTTGTAGAAGACTCAACACTGATAATTTTTATGGCAGTTATTCAGTAGGTAGTTTTTGCTTTCCCATAATTATAAAAATTAAAAGCTATTCTCTTCTCTATCCCTAATTATTTCTTTTACTTTTATTTGCACTTTTGAAGCTTTCTAGCACTTATATTTTGTAGGTATTCCTGGTTCAAGACTTTACATTTATGTTAAAGAATTCTTAACCCTTTTTTGTTGCCTCTGTTCTTAAAGTAATTGTAAAATTACTCTATGCTCATTATGCCAGCTTGTGTCATTCTTAGGGGTCTTCTTATGCTATCACACTAACACTATTTTATATATTTATACACGTCATTTTGACATGTTTATTGTGGTCGGGTTGATTTATTTACTCAGCTAAGGACACGTGAAAGAGTCAGGTTGGTGGAGGATGGAGGTTCTTTCTCGGACTGGAGTTGTAATTTGGGGTGTTTAACGGCTGATTTTGGGAATTTCCAGTTTTATGTTCAGGCGGATGCGATCCAAAAATTAATATCTTTCTATAGATGTTTCTATTAAATATCTTTGTGGCGTTACCTAATTTATATGCAAACCATCTACTTACTGTTTAAAATAGATTTATGTAGACATGTTTGTTTGTACAGGGCATTTTTTTTTAGTTTTTAACGCAATCCAAATAATTACAACCACTGTTAGACAGTAAACACTTTGTAACGTCATTGCTAGCTTATATGTTGATCCCTGATTTATTTACCTCATTGCCAATCAGCTAATATGTATTGGTGTTTAGATACCTTTGAGAATTTTTTGTAAATGAGACTCAACATGGCATTTTTGTAAGCTAAAATATGTATTGTAAATATGCAGGCTTTTTCCTACAGATCCAATTTCCTCGGGTTTTTTACAATTCTATGAATACTGTAGTTTATTTGTTTTGTACTGGAATCACACATGGAATCTTAATTTCAAACCTTAACGTAAAACCAATGATTTACTTTTAATGTACAATACATACTATGATTTTGTGAAAACCCCATGTTGAGTTTAATTCATAATAATTTCCCAATACCACTAAAACTCATAAAGCATTCAACAAATCGTATTTATTAGCTGATTGTCCATGAAGTAAAGAAAACAGATATACCGAGTTTTGTCATTAAAAAGATTCTTACGGTACTTGAAATTTGGGTTGCTTTTTTTTAAAGAATAGCCTATTTTTAATATTAATGTTATCTAAATGAAGAGTTTTTGAGGATTGGAGATATTTCTCTTATCTTGTATTTAAAACTTGGATGCATGATATTTACCTATGTACCTAGGGTATTTTATATGTTTTTTACAGTGCATTGTTGAAAATGAATTTTATATGACATTTTCCATTAGGTACTTTTTTCATTACAACCGCAATTGCAGTGTTGCCGTTTTGCACGTAGTTACAATTCTGCGCGGATTAGGGTTGTGAGCGGATTTTGCACGGATTTCACCCAATTATAGTTTTTAAACATATTTAGGAATTTCAAGGATAAATCGGGACACCTTGTACTTTGTGACCGAAGAGGAGTACTATATGAGTAGGAGCTAATGATTATAATATAGTGCATTCATGAATGATCGATGATGTTTTTTTGTTTACCATTTATTGTTCTCTTCACTTCTACGCCTACTCAATTTGTCACTTGATTTAATTGTTTTAGGGATATTTTACTGGGCGTTCTAGTGATTTTCCTCTAGACGTTGGTTGGTGGCAACACTACTTATCTAATCAAACAGAAACAAAACAAACCACCAACATAACATAACCTTTAAATAAAGATATATTGCATTTTATTGATTTCTGAAACTTCTTTTGACTTGTCTTGCTATAGGTAAAGTTTGTTCAGAACAATAACTTAAGTTTAATATGTAATTTTAAAAAATTTTTATTAATAGTATTATATTTTTTTACTGAATATTTTGTTGTATCTGTTCAATAACTTATCATGCAGGTACTGAAAGCACGCATCAAGTGTAAATATCCTGTTATATATTTTGCGTGTTACATTTCGTTATAGGTGAAAAAATTATAATGGAAAACTTGTTTTCTAGCACTATATGTGATGTGGAAAGCAGAAAAGGGACCTCTGGTCGGCCCTATGTTATTCCTCCATAAGATAAGAAAATGTACCTCTTGTCGGGACCACAACATTTGTGAGATATTTTGTTCTCCATAAACTGAACTTTGTTGTAATTCTCTAAATTTCCTCCAGAATGCAGGACAATTCATTTTTTGGCCTAAAATCTGTTTAAAAAGTGAATATTAGAAATGGGACCTCTTGTCGTTATGGCGAAATAACATTGAGCGAAAAGAGGTACCTTTTCTCAGACCGTGCAGAGGCTACAAAATGATTTATTTCGACCTTTTATGTCTTCAATTCGATATTTTAACCGATACTGTCCTGTTCTATGATAAATGAGATATAACAATCGATAAAAACCCGAATTTCGATATTTTCGACCTTAATTACTTATATCGGCCGTACTGAAAATTTTGCATCGCCGACAAGAGGTCCTTTTTCGCTTTCCACATCCCATATTATTAGACTCAGGTTAATTTACAGAGTACACATATTTTAAACGTATTGTGCAAGGATTAGTGAAGGAAAAGCGGGATTTTTATGCTTGTGAGGAGGAATTTCTTCCGGAGCTGTGTGGCAACACTGCACAATTGCCTAGGTGCCTAGGATAAGACTGGTTAAGTTTGTTTTGTCATAAAAAAGATTCTTATGGTACTTTTAATTTGGGTTGTGTTTTTAAAAAGAATAGCCTATTTTTAATATTGATATGTTATTTAAATGAGGTTTTATTTATTTTATCTAAGTCGGGAGTTTTTTAATAATTGGAGATATTTCTCTTATCTTGTATTTAAAACTTGGATGCATGATATAAACCTATGTACCTAGGGTATTTTATATGTTTTATACAAGGCATTGTTGAAAATAAATTTTATATGACATTTTCCATTATTTATTTCATTACAACCATAATTGCCTAGGGTAAGACTGGTTAAGTTTGTGTAGTTGGGTGCTGAGGCCATTCTAGATAGGTACCAGACTAAGGAGAATAGTAAACAAACGTAAACATCCCATTCCAATTGAATGAACATAGTTAATTGAACATAACTTGCTGCTATCAATTACAACCAATTTATTTTCTGCATATTGACCTTTAACCAAGTCAACCCCAAAAGAAATGTATTGGACTAAATTGTATCATCTTTTATTTTATATAAATGTTGCTTTCAAATTAAAGCAAGGCAATGGACTAAATAATACTGTACTGTGCATTCCACGAATGTTTTGCACACACACAATTTTTGGTTTGACAGGGTTGCCACCGCAGTGGGATGATAAAATTCATGCAGAATTCCTGGTTTTCATCGGTAGTTTACAAAAAATTCATGGTCGATGCGCTTATACAATTTCAACACAATTGAGTTTTGCTGATTTCATAAACTGACGTTAAAGAGGCAGTTTCTTTGTATGTTACTTTTGAATAACCTTTCATACTTTATATACAACTTTTTTAGAGTAAATTATAAACATTCAAAACAAAGTTGAAAACAAAACTGGTCCAGCTATATTCTACATGAGATATTGGAGAAGAATTGTAAAATATATTAAGTCTAGGTCTAATTCAATCTTTCCACCGGAATAGAACAAAAATCCCACTCACCCAGCCAAAAGTCCTGTTTCATTCGGTTTTATCCCCCTACATAATTGTCATAAAATGTGCATTCTGGTTTATCTTATTCCACTACGTACTAAGATATGATGGTTTTATCCAAAAAGCTAAAAAAATCAGGTGTCGGTCGGAAATTCGGTTTTGTTTCAATTCTGTGCATGGTCTAAAACTTCTGTTTTTGTGATTTAAGTCCCCATACCCCCTTTTCATACGAGGGGGTAGGCCTACTAATGATTTTTTGAACCATATACAGTCCTTGGGAAGTCTCAGCTGACATCAGCATCTTGGAATGAAATGATCAATTGTTTCTGATCGTGGAACATGTTAAATAATCATCTCGACACAGTATTTTCATGGTGTTCGTTTGTATGAACGGTTTTTAAATATGAAATATTTTTTATTTGGAAAATGTAATGGTACTGGTTGAATGATTGTTCCTGATTTTGGAAATTCATGGTCCATTTAAGAAATCCATGCCTTTTTTCATGGTCACAAGAATTCATGCATAATTCAAGGTTTTCATGGCTGGTGGCAACCCTGTTTGACATACTGAGCAAAAACAGCCGTTTTTAATGAATGCATTGCGGCTCCAAAGTAGCATTTTTACTCTCTAGGGAGTAAAAATCGTTTTTAATCCCTAAGGAGTAAAAATAATCAGCTGTTGTAAACAGTTTTAAATTCATATTGTGCAATCGTATCGATAGAAATTATTTATCGATTGCTGACATATCGATGGTATAATGTACTGTAACACAATGGTAATAGACGAAATGATTGAATCACTTTCTAAACAACTGCTTATTTGCTTTAGCAGAATTGAAAACAAGCTGGGAGTCGTTTTGAGAGATTATCTTACATAAAAATTATTTTGTTTTCTAGATTAGTTTGTTAATTAATTATTGATGAAATATGATGAAAAATATAGTTATATAGACGGGCAAAAAGGGTCTTTTTAACCCTCGCTCATTTTTGCCAAAAATAATATTTTGTCACCGCTTCAGGTTTATAGAGGTTAACACAAATAAACCAAACATTCCACAAAATATATATTTTACAATTTTTATTTATTTAATATTACATTGAAATAATAGACGTATTGCTATACACAAAGCTGTTTCTACAAACAAATACAATGTTTGCAGTACAGGAAAGGTGGAATATAATTTCTTTACTATTGAAATATTTTACAATAACTCTAACAATATTTATATAAATTATCTACAGTCGCTAAACAATATAACAGTATGAAAAATCAAAGGGTTTTAACGGAGGCATTAAAATACTAAAACTTAGTATCAACACATCACATAGGCGCAAAACTGGTAGTAATAGAACAATATAGAAAGATAACTAAAATATTTAACGTTTATTGATTAAATTATTAATTAACTACAAAAATAAATTGTAAAAGAAAATACACATCTTTAGCGTTATATAAAACCACAAGTACCCTTACCTCCAGCTTACCAACAGAAATGGGCCAGCCGCAGTACAACAATGCTCACAAGTTTTTGATTATCGTTAAACTTGGAGGTAAAAATACTTCTTCTTTATGTTATCTATATATATATTTATAGTTGCAATATAAAACCTTAATCTGTAATATTCTGTTAATAACATATATTATAATCAATAAGAAACGAGTTCGTGCTGAAAAAATATCACACTTGAAGCAGGGAATGTGAACAGACCACAGACGAGAGAGCGTTGCGTTGTAACTAAGTTACGGCTCGTTTGACAAACCAAAATAAGAATCGTTCAAAGTAATATTTTGTAATGAAATAATTTTTAAAAACAAAGGCTGAGTGATTGATTATATCTGGTGTCTGAACGGAGGCTATTTAACAGCTGTTCACACGGATGCCTGCTGAGCCTGCTTGTCAAACCTGCAACAATACAACACATTACTTGCCTTGTCATGTTTGTGATGTAGAGTCGGATATGATTTAGTAAATACCAACATGAAGAAACCCTGTTATCTATTCTGAGGAGACAGGTCCAGTTAGTAGACTCCCAACTTAACTTGAGCGGACCGATTACAGTAGACCCCCCCCCCTCTTAACCGACCCTAATGGGAACGGACTTTGGTCGGATAACTCAAAAGGTCGGTTAAAACGGGCAATCCCTAAAATCATAACATAATGAAGTGCTATTCATTTGGAATTATATAATCACTATTTTGAAGTCATACTTGAATTATTTATAAAATAAACTACTCTTATCTCCTTTATTGTATTGATAGAAAAGTCGCAACACAAAACACGGTTAGGTCAAATAGGCCTACTTTCAGTGGAATCCTTATATATAATACGTGAAGGCGATTTCTACGAAACACTACTCCTCTGTTAATAATGGACGGATTTTTACAAACGATGTGTCAAAATTATGTATTTTTTGTGTAGACGCCCCCTTTCACAAATTCCTGTAGTAAAAGTCCTCGACAGGCCATCAAAATCCCAATGTATTTCTTATGATAAACAGATTTTGTTTACTTTAAACAGACGAATAATTAGTATTAATTACAGCTGTTCATAGTAAACACATGATACACACAAGAGCGTTCGTTTTCCGTTTCGATAACTGGAGTGGAATGGAGTGATTAGTTGATTACATTATCTTGGAGTTGACTCTTTTAGAACATTGGAAATTATAACTAGGGTTATTGTTCGTTTTGAAATAACGCCTGTAATACTTTGCAATTGCTCGAATTCGAGCAACAGGTGCACTAGTATATTATAATACTAGGCAAGAGTCAATAAAAATACATATTTTAATAACTTTAGTACTGTAATGTACTAATTGTTTCTTTCCAAATCCATTGTAATACAGTGCAGAACCTTTTGTCAAAATTAAAGATACAAGATACAAGCAACCATTTTGTTACAAAACAGGATGTTAATTTATAGCCTCTCACTGGAGGCTCGAGGCACAAAAACTATCTTGACCTTGGAGTTGTTAACTAACCCCCCTTACCTGCCCTCCCTAAAAGTTGCTTTGTTTGTTTACTCCAGCGATAAGATAATCAAAATCGTAAGTACATTATGATGTTATGAATTTGCCGCACAGATAACAAATCAGATCAGATGTGCTCGCGCTACAATACAAATTAACTTATTCTTAGTCATATCCTGTGGAGATAAGCGTATGGTTCAGCTCTCATCGCCCAGTGTGGGAGCGGAAATGCCGTGATTCCTAGAAAGCGGCGGTTAAACTGAACTGCTCTCAAAGCAAGGTCGGTTAAAACTGCATTAATTTACAATCGAAGGCGGATAATCCGATTATCGGTTAATACAAGGTCGGTTAAGAGGGGGTCTACTGTACAACCAATGAGTTAATAGGTTTCAATGTTTGTGGCTTACTGTAATTTTTGTACTAGGCCTATGTATAGGCCCTTCAATATTATTTATATTGTAAAATGTGTGTGAAACAAAGTTAAAAGGCATCTAGACTGCATTTTAAATGTTTTATTATTACCAAAAAATGTGTTAAAGCGTAACTATACGATAGATGTCAATGTTAATTTTCCTGCGCTTTTTGATCATTCACAATTACTCGGCCACAAGAGTAAACTGTAAACTAGAGACTGATAACCCCAAGAAAAAATGTCTTTACTTCCCCCACTTGCTTTTATTACAAACCCTGTGTGATTAACAAGAGCCTGGGCCATCAATACAAACCCTTTAAGAAGCGACATGCTTATGAAGAAAAGTCAGACTGGAAATTTGACACCAAAATGGCAGCAGGGCTACTCTATTTCTCTCTCTGAGCAGATTCTTTGTCTCACTCTCTGTCACTCAGTCAGCTGACTTGGCCGCACGCTCGCAAAAGTCTACCTAGCGGCCGCCGCGAAAACTATCAAAAATCCATTTTTCCACAAAGGCATTGCGCTTCTTATAGGGTTTGTATTCATTGGCCTGGATGTGGAGCATATCAGGAAACAAGAGATTGTAGGTGAATTTTGATGACCGGAGAAATTTTGTGAATTCTGTATAGGACTGAGTTATCTTGAATGATTGTAAATAGCTTATAACGAAGCTCCATTGATTGGCAGCATTAAAATCTATCTCAAATATAAATATATTGAAATTTGAACACTAAAAATATTAAGCCTAGTGTGTAAGTTTGTAATTTCTCTGTGAATATATTTTATTTGTTTACAGTATATAAGCCAGCATACCTTATGAATAATGAACTGCTTTAATAAAAGAAAGAATAGGCCTACACTTATTTAACGAATCTAGGAGTGGGTGAATGCTTAACCTATTAAAATTACCTATTACTAGAGTAGTTTTTTGCCCACCTTCACTCGGAATCGTTTTCAAATTACTTTAGGCAAGGCTTAGAGGGTCGCGGCATTATAACTTGGATAAAATCCATTTTAGATCTGGGACTTGTACCCAGGACCAAAGTCCCACAATCTACCACTAGACTGTTTCGCTCAAATTTTCATGGCTCAATGAATTTCTTCTGTCTTATCTCACCTGGATGCGGCGGTTAACAAGAGCAGGTGTCCGATGGGGAGGTCTTCTGTTCGCCCAGTTTGATCTGGTCAGGGAACTGATCAATCAGGTCCATCTCGTTCTCTTGGGCGAGTGCGTTCTTGGCGATCGTCTGGAACGCCTGCTCTACATTGATGGCTTCTTTGGCGCTCGTCTCAAAGTAGGGGATGTTGTTCTTCAACTGACCCCACTGCTGGGCCCGCTTGGCCGACACCTGATCATCACAACCAAATAAACAACCAGAGAACCAACCATTTAGAATTAGAAAGACTAATTATGTCAAAAATAAACTTAAAAGGGTTTCCAACTTAACACAATTTATATATATATATATATATGGAATATTGATTTGATTCTTTTAATTCATTTTAAATTCTTTTAGAGTCAAGGTTCTGGTTTTAAAATTAGAATACTGCACTAAAACGATCAGTGGACATTTACTCAGAAGAAGAACAATTCCTTATGTCACTTGTCTAGGGAGGAAATGTAACAAGTGAAGCCAATGAAATGTTAGGTAGTTAATGTATCATATTATGTAAATGAAAACCTACTAAACAAGTTGACCTAGGTTATGTAACTCACAATTTGTGAATGTAAGAATAAAGTGTGAATCGACCACGCCTATTCAAGAGTTTTGGCAATATTAAGATTTTTAGAGGCTTAGGCCTACTGGAACTTAAGTCTTAAGTTGAGTAACTAAGTTATTCAACTGACATACAAGTCGATAAAAACGTTTAGATTACTGATAAACAATGACACAATTTCATCACAGGTATATTAGAAGTTGACACTTCTTATACTTGGCATCTTATAACTAACAGAAATCACAGTTTTGGGTTGTGCAACTCGGCCTTCAACAGGGTCACATGCTAAACATAAGGAAGAACATTTCTTCAAGAGAGCGCATGTGGTTATAAAAACTAAACATGTAGGGGTAGAAATCGCCCAAGTGTTTTTGAAAGAATGTCTTGTATATAACACAGTCAACTTACAGCTCGGTTTTCCAGGTCAACTTTGTTGCCCAACACCACAAAAGGGAAGTTGTCCGGGTCTCTCGGTGACGCCTGGATCAGGAACTCGTCTCGCCAGCTGTCTAAGTCTTTGAAAGACTGAGCTGAAGTAACATCAAACACCAGCACACAACAGTCGGCTCCTCTATAGAATGCAACTCCCAGTGACTGGAACCTCTCTTGTCCTGCCGTGTCCCATATCTGTACAACAGAATCATATTAGTGTATCCATACAACCAAAACAAAAGTTCCGCTTTTCGGGTTGAGAAAATCACGTTTCATTTTGAAAATCCGTAAGAATTTTGTAAAAAATCTCAAACCATCCCAAGTTACCTCTTTGAGACAAAATAGGTTTATTACATATCTCCGTCAAATAGTCCAACGATTAATATTGCTCATTAGTGATGGTCAAAACCAGAAATTTTGAATCTCGAAACCAAAACCGAAACTTAAAAAATCAAATCCCGAATCTCGAAACTCAAAACCTGACCGCGAAACTTTTTAGTTACGGAACCTGGTCAAGGTTGCTAAGAAATAAAAATACATACATTGTAATGATAACATTTTAATTATGATTATGCGATAAAAACTGAAAGAGTGTTAATGGAGTTGTGTTTGCTCCATCGCTACCAACTTGTGTGTAAACAATGTTATTAACAATAATGATGACACAAAAAATGTCATCATTTTCAAAATTATAAGTGCCAAAACTTCGTAGATTTCGAAACTTTTGAATTTCGAATCTCACCTATTGAATCTCGAAACCGAAACTTTTCCAAAGTTTTGATGGATTTGAGATTTGGTTTTGACACATCACTATTGCTCATCAACTTACAAGTTTTGTTGCAAAACACAAAATTTTCAAAGCTTGCAACTCGTCAAAAACACATTAAAAACACAGACGACATAAACACAAAAAACAATTAAATGGTACAAAATATACAATCAACATTTTGATAGCGCTATCATGATACTGATTTGGTCTGGTGTGGCGCGGGGTTGGTAGCAGACTGCGCTACCCTGCACCGCTTCCAAGTACCAAGTAGAGGTCGTCCAGTGGTCGAAAAATCAACCAAAAATAGGCTATGTAATGTACAGAATTCTTAATTTTTACCCCACACTGTAATAAAACATGTGATTGGAACTTCTTTCATTGGTTTTGATGTTCTGTTTATATTTCGTTGTTATTTCGTCATCAGCATGGCAACCCATAACGTAATTTTTCATAATTTTCATTTTAAATTCATTTTGCTGTGTTTTTTTAGCCTTCGGTATTTTTATTTATAAAGGGATTCTGCCCATCTACAGGAAAATGGCAACCCATGAGGCCCATGTTAATGTTTTTCAAATTTCAAATTAATTTATTGAGCTTATTTTTGAGCCCAGTATTTTAATTTATAAAGGGATTCTGCACATAGCATGCATAGATTTTCCCTGCAATGCAAATAAGCTGAGAAAAAGGTTTTTAAAGAAACATGCTTGCCTATTAATACATAGATTAAAACAGGTTGTCATACAGCCAATGGCAACTAAGGGACCTACAGTTACAGGTTATCTATCACCTTGGGCTATTAGATAACATGTGATAATGGCGTGATGTGGTTTAACACAATCCAAGCGATATTAAAAAGGATAGATTTTTTAGTTAGCCTAAGTGGAACCTTCTCTAGGTGTATTGGCTAATTTGACGTGCCAATGAATTTGTATGGAATATTGAATGGCAAATAAAATCTCATTCTCATTTCATTAAAAACAAAAAACAAAAAAGGCCTACTGTTAATTGGGATCTCTATTGCTACTTGTACAGGTTAGTAACTTTTTGTTGTGTAATTATATAATTTAGATGTTTACATCAATGCTATTAATTTGCAACAAATATTTAGATTTTTGAGGCATCCGTCCGACGTTTCACATGAAGATAGGATATTTTATTTATTTTTTTAGTAAAGTTTTCTCTGAAAAGTGTGCATCATCAGTTGTTGTTGTATGGAAGCCAATATGGTTTGTTTATTGTTGGAGTTGACCACTTTCAATTTATCTGAATTCGGGTCACAAGATAACAAGTCACATATTTACATTAGAAAAGAGTCAGACGACAAGTTTGTTCAACTTTATCATTGTTGATGGCTGGAAGTCAGAAATGTATTGTGCCAACATAACAATTTGACTAAGTATTAGCTAAGAATGACTATCGCCAAATATTACAATCACTGTAAGCAAGAATGTACATGTGACAAATTATAAAATAGGTACAAGACGGATGATTTTTTTATATTTAGTTGACCATGCAATGAAACAACATAGGTACCTATAGAGTCTGGAGCCAAAAGTCGAAGTTCTACCAAATAATAACAATGTGTTACGTATAGTAATTAGACACATTTTCTAATCGACACGTAGGCTACAATAAATAAGATGAGTTGGCCTCTGGACCGTCAGGGTTAATTAAATGAATATGTTATTCCAGTCTTATATAATTTAAACACCCTGTTATTCAGAAATTGATAATCAGGGAAGAAAAGGGAGATGGAAGCGCTAGCTAATCAACAGTTGCAACTAAACTAACCTTACCGCCGGGCCCGTATTTCATGTTAGGCTACCTTAGAGTTTGATCAACCAGTGTAAAATATTACGTTTCAATTTGTGTAATTTATTATCATTTCAAATGCATCTGAATGACACCGTTAGGGACTTAACTTTAAAAAATCATTTTGAGGAGTTTTAATAACTTACCTGCATAGTGACTATTCGATCATCAACCATGACTTCTTTTGTGAGGAAATCTGCACCAATTGTTGCTTTGTATTGGTTTGAAAACTTCTTATTGACATACTGGTTCATCAAACTAGTCTTCCCAACTCCAGAATCTCCAAGGATGATGACTTTCAAGAGGACTTTCTTTCTAGTGGCCATTTTATCCTGAAATAATCATGATGCTTAAAAAACTTAAAACAGCTGATTGGCACAAAATCAGCGATTGGTTCCTTTGAAGCCTAAAAGGCTGGTTTATCAGCGGTTTACTGGACCATGATAAATAACATAACCAAATCCCAACTTGTAACTAGAGCTTATATAACCTATAGCCTAGCCTACATGTATAACAGAACAAAATCTGCTGAAAAGCTGTAACTTAGACCAACCTAACATACGACGCAACCCACAAGCTTATTGGGTGGTAGGTAAGCAATATTTTGCTCAATAAGACCAAAATACACCAATTTGGACAGCCGAAGACTGCTGTACAGCTGTAGTCTCTCATCCTTCTCAGACCAAAGAGACCGTGAGCCAAGTTGCCATCCAGTTGTTTAATTTGATCATTCCAATCCAGTCCATCATTCAATCTCAGAATCAGAAAGTAAGCTATATTTATCAGTTTGTTACTTTCATATGGACAGGTCCAGGGTTCCCGTTTTTCCTTGAATTTTGTCTCTGCTCTCTGGGAAGTTTGGATGGAAAGGTATTATTAGGTTATCTAGTTTTTAACTGTTCACTTTGAGTATGTTTAAAGATAACAATGACATACTGTTACAGTCCAACACCTTCACAGTTGTATCATCCGCTGACTGAAGAGGTACATTGCTAAGCATGAACGCCTATAGGGTCAGTATTCACCAAAAATAGGTCTGGTCCAAAGACCGATCCTTGCAGAATTTCTATCGTACATACTTATGAGTTTGGGGGTTGAGCCGACTTTTCCTGTTTTTAAGTTATTTAAGTTATTGGACCCACTGATTTTGAAACAGCTGGACGAATTAATTTGAGCCAAGCCAGCACCAAACCAGAGAGTCCAACTGATAAAGCCAACTTTCCCGTCCGGATAACGTAACAGTGTTACCTCAAAGGCTTTGAATGAATACCTACGTAAGTTAAGCTATGCAAAACAGCCAACTGAGCCAACTTACGGTTTTTCCAGTCTCTTAACCCTTTCAGTGCTAGGCCAATAATTCATATTTCGACTTTTTTGTTTGCCTTTTAATTCTATTACCTGTTGTTGAATTTTAACTGTCATGTTGTCACTATTTTATTAATTAGGCTAATTTTCAATAATAACACAATAAGAAAATATAACAAAGATAAATCCTGGTATTTGTAGAAAACATTTTATAAAACTTAGTTTTTGTTGTAATTTTCCTGGTTTTCCTATCAATTTTTATGTTCTGATAGCATTGTTTGAAACCAAAATCTCATAAAATCAAAAGACATATAGTTTACAATGTAATAGGCCTATTGAATTTAACTTTGATTTAGATGGACGAGGTTATCGTAATATAGCCATTTTAGGGAAACTATTGTTTTGCAGCTAAGTCTCAGGAACACATTTATGATCACTGTTGTGTTTCGACTAAAAAATGTCATCTATTTAAATAGTCCGTGACTAACTGGTGCTGCTACCTAGTAACGCATTGAACAACCATCTGTAGGCCTAGCGCTAAGTTATCTGTTCGCTATCGGTGGCGTCAGCTTAAATACCAGTTTTTGACTCCTCAGTCTTCAAGCACAGATAGCCGAGAAGGCTAGGGTGTGTGTCACTTGGCCAGTCGCATTCGTCTGCTCGGGTTCGAATCTCGTCCTGTGTGGCAAATAGGCTAATTGGTGACCTGTGTGTTTGTAGCGATATACTACAACCACTGGGGCATAGTGAGGTGTTCATAATCCTTGGCTTAGACATACACCTCGAAATCATCGGATTGGGCGAATCTTTTAGCTAAATGGTTGTTAGTGTATCCTATGAACATGCAGGTCACCAATGGCCGTTTTGCTATTTTAATTTTTTTTTTTTTTATTAACTTCCTCTCTATATCCCTTACCGTAGAGGTTTTTTAAAACAACAATAATCGTTTCATAGCACTGAAAGGGTTAATAAATTAACGTAGCATGTAGGCCCAAGACACTAAGATAAGTACTAGGCCTAGACTACTGTGTTGGTGTGTGTAGTTCTGCATGAAATAAATGAGTTCATCCCATTCCGTTTATTTGTTGCGACTTAACAGAACCCATTAACTTAAAAGTTACGGTAGCCTACTGTAAGTTAATAAAATATAAGTTAGGCCTACATCACACAAATGTTGTTGCGCTGTTAAACAAAGCAACCCTGTAGTCTTATGCCGACTGTGGATGTGGGTAGGCCCTACTGTAACCTAGGTTAAGTTATAAAACCAAGGCGTAAGTTAGAATAAATTTTGCAATTTTTGACACAAGGGGGATATGTTTATCAAAAGTCTCCAGAAATGTTAATCAAATTATTATCTAGGCATAGGCCTAATTAAGTTAGGTCTAACTTGAGCATGAATCAAATATAGGTAGGGTCAACCGGGGCTAATATGAACAAAAAAAGTAAACTTTTGACATTAACTCAAAAATGGTAAATGACAGTAGAAAAGAAAAAATAGTAGTGTATACAGCTCTTTTAGCTGAATCTATTTATTTACTAACAAAAACCATAAATGTAACCATTATTTAAAAAAAAAATTAAAAACCACTGTTCACATTAGCCCCGCTAAAAGGGGCTAATGTGAACAGCCCATGGGGCTAATGTGAACACTCTTAATAACTCTGTTATTTACAACACTAGGCATATGTGGGGGCTGTTGTGAACAAGCCTAGGGTCTAGTCTACCAGTTGCAATAAGTCTCAATATTTTATCTTAAATAGTTTTTGAGATATGAAGGTATCTTTGGAGAGCTGCGGGTCGCCCTACGGTAACCCTTTTTTTTTAAAACCATTTATAAATATTATACAGGGCTAATAATAAGATATAAACAAGAAAAAAATTATCTGTCAACATACCTGAGTATTTATTAAAAATTTCTTCAACATACAAATTGTTTAAAGCACTTAAAAAAACAATAGCCTAATTTAAGACAATGCAAATTGTTCGTTTAGGCAAATGACAGTTTATTGCACTTTTAGGCCTATTAGGTAAATATAAAAATGTAGGCTAGGCCTATTCAACACCTTAACTGTTGTCTTTGTAAAATTAAAACTGTTTTATCACTGTAAGGCCTTCAAAGAAGTTTATTGAGGAACTTACGCCTCAAAAACTTCGACAATTTTGTCGAAGACATACTTATGTCTATCACTGGTTCCACATACATTAGGGGCTGGAAGTTTCCCCAAAATGTCAGTGGTAGAAACAATAAATATATCATCTTCTTTTTTCAGGAATGATTTTTTTTTCCTCATCACAGGATTTAAATCCCATCACTTCGATCTCCCCGTCAGCCAGTGTTTTTAAAACTGAAGCGACATAGCGGAAGGTGGTACTGTTCACAATAGCCCCCATTCACTGTTCACATTAGCCCCCCAACTTTGAAAGCTTATAACTTTGGCTGTCATTAATATATTTTAACTTTGGGAAAAGAAAAATAATCCCCAATTCTTATTTAACAAAATTCAGGCTTAAGATTATTCCTACAACCAATGTAAAAATTGTTATAACAAAAGTTTTCACTTTGCGCGGAAAAGTTTTTTGGGCGGAAAAAAAGTGTTTTAACAAATTATTTTTTTAAAGTACCTAAAAGTCAAATTTGAAGTTTTCTCATTATGGACACAAAAAATACAATAAATTTCCTTTCTAATTATATTTTTTTCATGATTAAAAATCCCAGATAAATGACTTTTAAAGTCATTGTTCATATTAGCCCCAATATTTTGGTGTGTTCATATTAGCCCCGGTTAGGGATGTTGCGATACCACTGTCTTTCCGATATTTGGTATCGATACCGTATCGCAAAAAAGTATCGATACCGGCTCAGTATCGGAACTAAAGTATCGATACCGTGAGTATCGGATCCATTCGATACCAGTGACGTCATATTCTGATTCACTGATCTTCGATTAAAGTTCACTCGTTCCAGTACAGTGCAGCCAATATAGGATTCGAATTCAAGCTGTTAAAAACTACGTAAATATCAATATGTAAAACATTATAAAATTAACCAAACATAGCCAACCTTCGTTTTCAATTTTACCTTTAAGTAAAAGTTCAAGTAGGCCTAAGCTTACCTTATGTTCTCGGACTATATAATTTATCTTTTCAATAGACAATGTTATTATATTACCAACGTAACACATTCGTGTTTACCATCAGCCTAAATTTAAAAAAAGTTTTTTTAGTTAAATAACTTTAATATTTCTAGTTTATTGTTAAATATAGTCCCTGGTTTAATTTTATTTGCCTAACACAACGTTGCTAACATTGACTTGTAATAAAAATAACTCTGCAACCAAACTCTTAAGTTGTATCATTGACTAAATATACGTCTGTAAGTATAGGCTACATAGTCAATGGTTTTACTTATAGTTATGTTAAGTTCTTTAAATGAATAGTTAAGCATAATGTACTCAAACCACATAATTAGACAAGCTAGATTAAAAAAATATATATTTGGGTTAAAGTTTGTTTCTTTTTTGGGTCACTGTTGCTCCCGCCTTGGAAAAAATCCCGCTCAGAAGGCACGAGCGTAGCCATTTTACTCAGATTTGTCAGAAATTACCTTCCGATACTTACGATACGATACTGGCCTCTTGGTATCGATACCAAGTAAATATCGGAACAACCGATACCGATACGATACCAGCAGTATCGCAATAAAAGTATCGATACCTACTGGTATCGATAGTATCGCAACATCCCTAGCCCCGGTTGACCCTAGGCCTAGGCTAACTTAAGTTAGCATAGATATAGCCTAAGTTAGACAAAGTCAATAATAAAATTGTCGTCTTTGTCATATTTAACAATCCAAGTTTAACTTAAAACTAGCCTACTGTGCGTTGATATTGTTAGCCTAGGCCTAGTTGAAGTTGTTACACAATTCTCAGCAGCACAAAGCCACGAAAATGCCAAGTGATAAATTTTACTTTCCGTATTGGTTAGGCCTATTTAGACTTGTGCATAGGGGGGACATTTTCAGTTTCGGGTTCTAAACAAAAATTTATAGGCCTATAGCCTATTACAGAAATAGGCCTAGCGTTGTTTATTCACAAAAATGACACAAGGACAGAAGGAAGAGAACTGCGGATACAAAAGGCTGTCTTATTAGAATAGCATTTAAATAATGTGGATTTTATTTTCACTATATAAACCTACTTCAGTATACGACAAACGTCAAAGAGCAGATAAATGTACGTGAAATTGAAACTATAACGAATGAATTAAGTACCAACCTGTAATATTAAAAAATCACGAACAATTTCCTTTCTTCAAGTTCAAGAGAAAATGGCGATCTAAACTAAATAAACCTTCAAACCAACTGACTCAGAGAGAGATAGACAATCACGGGAACAGGGAACTGCGTCATGCGTCAGCAATAAACAGGAGGACCAGCTGTTGTTCTGTTAGTTCATGGTTTTTCCGACAGAATGCAGGAAAAGTAAGAAAGTATGCAAGTCGTTTGGTCGTTTCAATGTAGGTAGAGAAGACTGACAGGGATATGCACGCACACTGTGACTGTGGCGACTGCGAATTGCAGTACAGGTATGGGTTACCACTGTTACCAGATACCCTCCATAAAAAAGAGGACAATTATGGGGGATCACCTCAATTTTTTACAAATTTATAATCCCTTTAAGCGTTTTAAGGGCTTTTAACAAAGTTTTTAAACTATATTAGATAAGTAGGCCTACTAGAACTTTCAGCATTTTGGAAATTTTATACTTAATTTAATTTAAATTTTTTTATTTTTTTATTTTAATTTTTTTAGTCTGACAATAAATTCCTAAAAACATCATTCTTGAAATTATATTATAATTCAGGAAGAAAAGTGTGTACCTGTCTAAAAAAACTTGACTTTCGGAAAACGACATACGTACCCTCTTCAAGTAGGACCCTATGGGCATGCTAAAGTAAGAGTTAGTAAAAGTCGCTGTACAACTTAAATACCTATATTCTTTCTTCCATAATATTTGGTATCTACGTGTTCAGAAAAGTCTGTTCTACAAAACTAAATCATACAAAAAATTGTAACAAAAATTGTCACACAAATTTTAGTATTTGGTTTCGTACGATTAGTGGACCTTGGGCATGCTAAATTAAACTGCAGAAGTTCATAAAAGTCGCTGTAAAATTTATTTTTTTCTTCCTTAATATTTATATTATCTACGTGTTCGGTCGGAAAAGTCTGTTCTACAAAAAAAAAAATTTCATATTTTCTACTACTGTTTACCTTATTGGAAACTCCAGAGCCACTGGGGCGGAGCTGTTTTTTGACGGATCTGCACCAAACTTCAAACAGCCCATCCTTTAATAATGCTTTCAAGGGCGGTCCCAGGGGGGGGGGGTCGTGACCCCCCAAATATTTTTTTATATAGATTAACTACCAGGGGAACCTTAATAATTTGTGTTGCAAATTGTTCTACCAAATTCATTGTAGTCTTTACACTTGTGGCGAACGAAAGGTCGTCACATAAAACTATAGCTTTGCGTTAGGCCCCGTTTATGCACCAAGAGCGGGAGCGGTAGCGACAGCGGGAGCGATTTGTAACACCATTGAGTTAAATGGGGCTGTTTATGCACCAAGAGCGATAGCGATAGCGGTTGACCTCCCGCTGCGGTTTCTAATTCGCCCGCTGTGTGGTTAAAAATCGCAGCGGTTGCTTGTATAGAGCGGTTTTCAACTACATTGAGTAAAATGGGACTGTTTATGCACTGCGGGAGCGGGAGCGGCTGAAGCCAGGGTTGCCAACTTGACCCAGGGCTAAGAACTTGACCCACGCACATGTGCACTTAGGACAAATAGTTGTGAAAATTATTTGGCAGAGTTTGAGTTGGCAAGACTGTGACCTCCTTCCATTCTCCTTTAACCAACCGCTACCGCTATTGCTCTTCGTGCATAAACAGCCCCATTCATAGCGGGAGCGGGCCCGCTATCGCCCCGCTCCCGCTCTTGGTGCATAAACGGGGCCTTACGTTTAAAAGCTTGGGGTGAATTCGACAACGGCCAAAAACAGCGGGTCAAAACACGTGCGTAGTTTGGGGGAAAAGAAAAAAAATATGAACTTAATCTTGGAAATTCAAAGTTGGCACACTCTCGCGATTCTTTTGAAGTAACTCCTTAACCTCAGAATGCTCCCGTTTGCGGTCGGAACACCCGAGTCACATAGGAAGCTGCTGGTTGCCGATTGGAGAGTGAACGGTGTTCCTGGTCGGGTGCAACCATGTGCGAACCGTAGCTTTGTGCCAGAACAAAACCCCGTTTCCGCCCCCGATACCTCCCCCACCTCACCTGCGCGCCACTGCCACTGTGATTTCGTGTTCGTGTTTGTGTTTGTACATTGTTGTTTGCGCCGTCGGGGCGCGTGGTGTTCTATGGGATCATCAGACTGTAAGTACAAACCAAAAGATATCTTTTAGCACAAAAAAAATGTAAAAAGTGCTAGGAAGAGTGCATGTCAATTTGAAAAGGTCTTTCTACTATTAACGCACATTTTAAATTTATTTATGTAATTACATACCGATCGAATTGTAGCAAATGTAGATTGAAGTGATTTGAAACAATAATTTACTGTAATGTTTATTTACCGTCTTTTTGACATTTTTTACGCACCAAAAATATACTTGCTTCCTGTAGTCGGTCGTTGAATTTAATCTGATGGCCTAATAAATCTTTGTTTAATTCTTTTAAGAGGATGGGAAATCTTAAATAATTCAGTAACAAAACTATTAGTGCAACGCAAACATCATTCTCCGCGAAAGGTGAAGTCAAAACAAACCTTAAAGAAGCTACACAGATTCACAACATACATATCATTATTCATATAAATAAATATAACATGAAAGCTAATGCCCTCAACTACTGTACTAAGTTACTAGTCTCAGGAACTGCTTACCATTTTCCCTTAAACCCTTTTATAGTAGTAACTATATTGAGTTTGTAAGATTCCCTCATTTGAACTAAGAACGAAAGGAAAAAATACAATGCTGTTAAAACAATATATTGTATTTGATGACTTTTCAAGTTCATGAACATGGAAACGGTGGCAGGTAAAACTAAAACTCGATCTAAAAGAAATTTTAAACATTGAGATTTTAAATACGTTGAAGTAATACAGTAAATATGATCTGAAATACATTAAATACAACGATGAGTTAAAGTAAAGCCTAACGATTTCTTACAATCTTAACAATCCGAACTGCATATATAAGTAATTAACAGTGTAAAAATAACTATAAGAAATAAATGTTTTCCCCTGATGATTTCACCCTCATACTTGGAAAGGGTGCCACGCAAGAGTGTGATGGTATAACACCTATTGATGCATTATTAAACCCTTATCATATCGATTCCGAAGTAAGGGAGTTGAGGCACGTGGGCCCATAGTGGCTCGACCAAAGCAGGAGTGTCAAATCTTCTATTTATGATATCTCAATTCAGTTTTTGTTCAATAATTCACATTTTTGCGTTCAAAATGTATTAAATTACGGTTTGAGTGCATAATTAATTATAACGCATGTTTTCTGGTAGTATTTCGTTGAATGTAAAATTTGTCGAACTATATCAACTTAACTCTAAAACACACCGTACTAATTTGATATCTGTGTTAGTAAAACATATAAGGCCAACTTATGACAACACTATAAACTATAACTGACCAAAAGACACTTACAGAAAGTCGAAACATAACGTTATGGCATAGATAAAACATAATGCGAGTGGCTTTTTATGTATACATACATCCTGATAAATAGCTTATTAGTTTGAATTTGACGTTTCATAAAATGTGTAAAAAGAATAATACAGGATCATTTCTCCTCGAATCGGTTTCTCATAAATTTAAATTATATTAGTGAATGCTGGTGAAGATGAGCTGTCATAAGTTTGAAACATGTCCAGCATGAAATGACACCTTATCATGGCAAATATAGTTAAACTTGAAATAAGAACTGTATTTAAGACATTTTAAGAGTCTAGACACAGTCTAGACATGTTTTGCCATCGGTGAGGTTTATAGTCTTTAACTATTTTTTAAAGATCGTTACTAATTTATTTTAACGCCTACGTCACGGTATTTGATCTGAATTCCAAATAATACGTGTTTCTCTGACTTTCTACAACACAATTTGTTAGGGTCAAATTGCATCATCAGGCCTGTGGTAGCGTCTGATAGTACAACCAGAATATTAGCTATTGCTACTCCGGACAGCAAACTGTATAGTGTATTTCTAGCATAAAATACAAAATTAAATTTCAACTACATATTTTAAACGTAGCTTCGTTGTCCAATAAGCATCACATTGAAAGATAGGAAGCTGAAAGATAACTGGAAAAACTTATGAAATTACAAACATACCAAGCTACACTTTGCAGCACGTGGTTTTATAAACAATAATATATAGTAAATTATTAATACATTTGCCAACACGCATGGCCAAGTAGCAAATCTTCATACAATGAATGCAAGTATTCAATTGAATTGAATTGTGTAAACACTGTAAACAATAACAATATTACAATAATGATAGAATTAATTCTAGATTACCGGTAATTTACAATAAAAACGTCTTATTGTAGACTATGTTAATGAAATTTTAAGGCGTTACAACTGTAACCGTTTATACTTTTTCTTTTATAGTAATACCAGAAACAGAAATACCAGTTACCGAATGGACTACGAGCCGTGGAATGAATAAATTATATTCAACCGAAATTATTTTTCACCCCTGTATGTTGGAAATTAAATAGAACTGCAGAATCACTTTTTGTCGTTGACTCTGGTACAGTAAACGTCAATATTATCATTGCTCAAATTCAGTCCATCGTTATAACAAACCTTTACACTATCATCAGTCGTCCACTGCCTTGCGAATTTCGAAGCCTATAAACAGTATAAATAAAACAGTGCTACCTCACATGATTTAAAAGAGCTTAGAATAAAGTTTAAGTTTGAATGTGCTGGTTTCTCTTACATTAGGGTAACAGTTTACGTATGCACTGTGTTCTTCGGTCATAACTACACAGGGCAAGCAATAATAATTTGTAAATTCACTTTATGCAGTTTGAACAATCTTATAGTTATTGAAATAGCAAAAAAGGTAATATTACTCAAACGCACTGTACGTATGGACATAAACAAGGATATGCTTCTAAAAGGGTTGTGTTTTATATAACACACGTTTTATATAAGTACGAATTTACTGTAAAAAGTAATGAATTTTATTCCATAATATTGATTAAAGACATCTAAATGTACAACAAAAATTCTATTTTTGCATTGTAGTGAAACGATAGCCCTAAACGCGAAAAATGAATATGTAATGAGTGTGGTTTCGTTATAATTAGAAATTGCTCACTAAACCTTATTTTCTTGTATCTATTATTAGAGTTCAATGGTAGTTGTCAGAATTATTATACATCGATGGTCAGAAGGAGGTGGTCGATTTCGGCACACAATTGCTTTTTACGAGCAAATTTTAGAAGTTTAAAAGTGCCGCCATATTCGTTAGAGTCAAAGAGTTTTCACAAACGGGTCAAGATGGCGAGTCTTGTAATCATATTGATCAGTCTTCTGGAAGTGAGTAGTGACCACTGACTAATTTTAGAAGTTTAAAAGTGCCGCCATATTCGTTAGAGTCAAAGAGTTTTCACAAACGGGTCAAGATGGCGAGTCTTGTAATCATATTGATCAGTCTTCTGGAAGTGAGTAGTGACCACTGACTATCACACGCCACACAGGGCAGAATATCATCGACTATGGATACTGCACCTGCAAGTATCCTCACAGTGGTGCATAGAGAAGGCTTTAAAATTTAACAATACTTTTATGGGGAGCTGCTTTTCGTTTAAAACTAGTATAAACAATAGCTCTCAAATAATTGGATTAAAATAACTTCGTATCTGGAGAAATAAGAAGACGTAACTTAGTAAACATAAAAACACAATCTAAATTTTCTTGACAGATATCTTGTAATTTGTGTGCTCAGCTGATCCGTAAGGATGATACATTTGCGCCAATGGAATTTGTTTAACTTTTTAAAAGGGAACGGTCCATACCCTGGTCTTGTTACTATCAACGTCGACCTTTTTGTTAGTTACATAGCATCATTAATTCATAGCCCCATGACAATAGGCATCTGGGTCTGAAAACGATCTCACTTGGAATTGAACCAGCGATGAAGGTGTACGTTTATTCTAGAGTACAGGTGATCGTTCTTCTGAAGGTGAAGGAATTCCTATCGCTATCCGTTTGAACAATAATATACCAATCCACATGAGGACAAGATGAGACAAGACGAGCCACTATGAACCACTGACATCATAGTCATTTGTGGCATAATGCGATATTAGAATCAAGTTCAGGGGAATTGTTGTACTCTAAAAATATAGCAATTACGAACGCAAAAGACTTGGTTGTTATTATAATAAGGTCGATGATTGAATTTTCCTTTCAAAATTTGTTTTACGATTAATTAAACGCGTAATTTGAAAATACTAAATTCGTCGACTTAATCTCTCTGTCTTGGTCAAAATAAAGTATGTGAGCGTAATGATTTATGTCAATTTATGTCGCTCTATCCCCACCAAAACCAGGGGTTCTGACTACGCAGGTTTGCTGCTACAGGTGTAAGTCTAGTTGGTCAGTCCAGGTATTGATCTCGGGGCCAAAGTCCGCCACAACATGCGAACCTTATGCAAATCAGGCCAAGACTGGACTGGACTTACCTCTTACCTGTCTCTGTTGAAAACTCCAGAACACTACTGTGGATCCAATGGTGTTACGACTTGTGGAAACCTTGTTTTACAAATTATTGGATAATATGTTTTCAAAATTAAATGGTACTTCGAAATAAGAGCTAGAAAAAAATAATAGAGCGTATGAAATTTGGCTCGTGTTATCCGACTTGTATTTGGATTATTTCTAACTCCACAGTGATGCGAATACCCAAAATAAGGGAGAGGATAAAGGTGTACGCAAAATGTGCTAACGACGTTTTCAAGTATAATTTTTGTAATGACTTCTCAATATTAACATTTTGCGTGATGGTACAACAATCAAACAGATTCTGTATAGTGAAATACGACACCAATGTTTGCTCTAGTATTCGTTTTTGTTGGGAATACGTCTTCGGCACTATTTGTGGCGTCGTCCTGTAATCCAGCTACTAGGAGGTCACGAATTGTGGATATTTATATGCATGCAATGTGGATGCGATACTCCCTGGTGTGGATTAACGTCCGCACGAGTGAGTACTGCGACTATCCGCAGTGCTATCCTGATAATTAGACCAATTCGTAAATACCAAGGCAAAAATGTGGTTCGGACTCCACTATAAACTGTAGGTCCAGTTGCCATTAGCTGTATGGGCAATTAATTAACAGCTGTGTCT